AAATTGATTTTTGAGAGTCTTTGATGAATAAATAGTTCAAATGAGGCAGATTTATTGAGGTTTCCGTACGTCACGTTGTGTGTGTGTGTGTGTGTGGGGGGGGGGGGTATGTGTTGCAAGTACCAAAAAATCTATCAATAAAATTTGTTTTGTTTTAATTAAGAATAAATTAATAATGCTATAAAGCAGGTTTTTAATGAATGAAAACGAATAATAAATTTAAAAGAAAGTAACAAATTCAGTTTTAAACCATTGAGTTTGTTTCAACAATGGGAGGGGTGGAAAATCCCCTTGAGGCGACATATAACACTATAAATACAATAAAATCACTAAGGCAAAATAAATGTTTTTCTAAGGAAAGTCCAATGGATTTGCTTTCTAATACATACAATCAACAGAACATTTCTAATATAGATTTTCGAAAAGACACCAGAGAGCAAATTAAAAAAAAAAAAAATCAATCAGACGGTAAACACCGGCAAGCTTTGTCAATTTCACCAACTTGTTTATTTCAAGAAGTTAAAACTTCTTGTTTATTTCAAACAGCGTTGAGCGCAAAGGAATGTGGGTAATATGAGGGTCCAACTTGCCCTGAGTCAAGGGGGCCAACTAGCCCCGGGTGCACATTATTTATTTTAAGGGATGGCAGCCATTTATGGTGCTAGAATGAGCAACGATGATACATCTCTGTGAAACTTGAAACATTGAGCTTCAGTTTGATGCCCTATACATATCTTATATTCGATCAAAAGCCTATGAAAATAGATTTTTTAAATCTCTTAAACAAAATTACTTTTAGGTGCAAAAAAAGCTTATTTGGACTCACCGCTTAATTAAAACTTTTTAACGGCCGACACTTCCTTAGCATTGTAGGCTACGGTCACTTTACAAGAGTATGTGGCCAATTTTTTTTACCTCGTAGTTACTTTTTTTTAAATGACGGGGGGCCAACTTACCCCGGGGTCCGACTAGCCCCGGTCTCCCCTATAGCTGCACCGGTAGAGTGGAACAAGCTGCCTAAGACAGAAACAGGAATCTTTTTCATAAGAAATTGAAAAAAAAAAAAAAACATAAAAGATAATTTTTTCGCGACTTTTGTTCATTTTTGAAAATTTACATTATATAAGCGAAATCTTACTGTTTAGTAGTCAACCTTTGCTTCCATTCCTTTGGAGGTGCAACCAACCAAGGTTCAAAATTTTCTAGCGGCAGGAAAAGCAAATGCATCATTTCCAGCACGCATGTTTTCACGTCATTAGATGCTCTATTGTGGGGGGTCGTGTCATATGCTGTACGGTGCATTTTGCGCAAGGGAATAGCATACATTATATTACAAAGCACAGAACACATTCTTCTCACACGTCGAGCACGCTGCGTTTGTTGCACCAATGCAAATCAAAATCCAAGATGCCATATCCCGAACATCATTGTGTTAGACGCACCTCAATCTAAAATTACTTTGAGTATGTATGTATATACCATGACTGGTGTTGCAACTATACTTCAAGAGATACAACCAAAAATAGTGGCGGTTTTGATAAAGCTATTTAAATAGTAATAACACCCTTAACAGCCTTTGCATCTTTATCCTGTGTATTGCTGTACACGTACATTATCTGATAGGCTGTAGAAATATTTGTTTCTAAAAATGTAGAATCTGATAAAAGAAAAAAAAAAAGACTTCGACCAATCCTCTTTACTCTTTCCCATCTACCACTGCTGAGTAACAGCAAAGTCCCTTTAAGGACGTTTGACCTGCAGACAGTAAGTATTTATTCATTCTATTTTCATTGGTTGTCTTTTGTTTTGTGGGCCAACATTTATGTCTTTGTTACATTAAAATAAAAGAAAACGAGACAAATAAGATTTCTTGCTTTTAACTATCTGTGAAAATTGTTCATATGATACATACATTACCAATACATAGGTGTCCAAATAATATGAATGTGTTGTTTTCTATATTCATTGATTGTTCTCTGTTGTCACGACTTTGTGAGTACGTGCGACGTTGTATATGTGCGCACGCATGTTTTTACGTCGCTCATTATTCTTTGTTACGTTAAAATGATACATACGTTACCGATACATACGTTACAATAGAAGTATATANGACGTTGTATATGTGCGCACGCATGTTTTTACGTCGCTCATTATTCTTTGTTACGTTAAAATGATACATACGTTACCGATACATACGTTACAATATATATATATATATATATATATATATATATATATATATATATATATCTCGAAGAATTAAGTCAGTTCACCGTGAAAAAGTGCTCCACCCATGGCGGCGGCCCGTGGGGAGCTGGTATAATCAAGGATGTGAATAACTTAGCTTCCTCTCTCCATTTTATTTAAAAAAAAGCCCTTCGGCCATTTCGGCCCTGAGGCCTCGTCAGGGGCGAAAACAAATTAATTTTGTAATAAGTGTTGGCCCACAAAACGAAAGGCAACCAATGAAAATAGAATAAATAAATATTTACACGCTTTATTGTAACGTACGTATCGGTAACGTATGTATCATTTTAACGTAACAAAGAAGAATGAGTGACGTAATATCAAGCGTGCGCACATATGCAACGTCGCACGCAACCACAGAGTCGCGACAACAGAGAACAAACAATGAAATCAGAAAACAATACTTGTTTGTGGGTGCTGAATATACAACATTGGTCAAAAAGGTTGTCCCACCCCCAGTTTCATGTGCTTTTATTTATAAATGATCACATCACAGGAGTTAATTAAAATGAATGGTGATTTTCATTCTAGATACCATAACTAACATGATAAGTGGTACAGAAAATACAAAATAGCGGTGAAGATTTCGATATTTAATGCCATTTATTCATATTTATTACATGTACCCCCTCTAATCCGATGTTTCACTGTCATTTCTACAGAGCTAAAGAGATGCCCATTAAATTGAAAAGGCACCACCAAATGTCACCAAATTTACACACATTTAGCATTAGGGTGTGCTCGTTAAAGGTCACCTGTCTATTAGCGTGTGTGTTTACTGTGTACTGCAATTACCGCCTGTAGACGGCTCCGCTGCCTTCAACAAGGGTAACAATTCTGTTTTGTGGGATATTGTCCCATGTTTCCTAAAAAGCTTGGCGGAATTGGTCCGGACTACTTGGAGTTTGGTTCTCCTCTGGATTGCACACTTCGATTCATGCCACGGATGCTCAGTGGGTTTATTATCAGGACTCAAAGATGGTTTCTCCAACCTCAAAACATTGGGTTTCTGCAACAAATCACGCACCAGACGAGAACTGTGTGCAAGTGTGCTTTCATGATGAAGCCTGTGTCAACCCCGAAGTCCTTTCTTGCAGATGGAATGAGGTATCAGTTGGTAATATTAGGTCCAGTGACCCCAGCACTACCAGAACGTGGTCAACTATCACTAGGAACAAGTTGGTTTTGCTGAAGAATCAAGGTATCTCTTGTATGCCTATGATGGTCAAATTAGGGCCCGTAGACATGTTGTAGAATACTTTTTGGAAGGTGTGTGCAGGATAATATCGTCTGAGGTGTCTTAATGTTACATTACAATAAGGGAAATCGGGACAAAAATGATTTCTTCTCTTCAACTATCTGTGAAAATTGTTCATATGATACATACGTTACCGATACATACGTGACCAAAAATATGAAGGTGTTGTTTTCTATATTCATTGATTGTTCTCTGTTTTCACGACTTTGTGAGTACGTGCGACGTTGTATATGTGCGCACGCATGTTTTTACGGCGCTCATTCTTCTTTGTTACGTTAAAATGATACATACGTTACCGATACATACGTTACCATAGAAGTATATATATTGATGCATCTTTGAAGATCTACACACGTTACCGATACATACCGAGACATAAGTGTTGGCCCACAAAACGAAAGGCAACCAATGAAAATAGAATAAATAAATATTTACACGCTTCATGGTAACGTATGTATCGGTAACGTATGTATCATTTTAACGTAACAAAGAAGAATGAGCGACGTAATCAGAACAAGCGTGCGCGAAATTAATTTGCATTGTGACAGTGACCCACAGCTGCAGGGTCGGACGGAAGCCGTCTTCTGGGTCTCTTGGAAAACGATCAAAATTTTGCCAAGTTTACATTAACTGTCATCTAATTTTTTTCTGTCGGGAGTTGGTCAAAAGTAGAGGATGGTTCAACAAAGATAATTTGGAAGACTGTTAGAAAATACTTCTGAATCCGCCTAGACGTTTAACTGGGTTGGGTGATTTCAGTGCTTGCCATTTAATTGTAGGCACTACATTTTTGTTTGCCTTTTTGTATAAATTATAGTTATTTACAAGTGTAAACATTTACTCCAGTAAAAATAATAATTACAAGTAACAGTATTTGCTAATGCTTTTCATTCATCATTGCAAAAAGAAGTTAAACAACAATCAGCACTTTGCTGCTGTCTCAGTAACGTTTAATTTTATTGCTCTGTATTCAATCGAAAATTTAACATTTAGAATTGAAACAGAAGGTGAAAATAATTAGCAGGGTGTAAATGTGCTAATTAGCAGGGTGTAAATGTGATTCACATGCATGTATATATATGAATGTATCTGCACCATTACCCGATCGTGACACCTCAGGTATGATCACTATTGCATGTACTTAGTTCAGGATTGCAACAATAATGAGAAATAATCTGTGCATACAGGTAATTAATCAGACAACTAGGCGAATTAAGAGCTTTTCTCATAAAGCAGGTTGAGTATCAATTAAAATCATTTGTCACTGGAAATACAAGTATATGGATAAAACTTGCTTTAAAGCCGTTTAACGTTGAATGTTATAACTTGCAATGCTTGCTCAGTAAGCCTTTGACCTTGGCCAACTGACCTCAGGCACGGAAGGGTCCCATAAACAACTTGGCTGGAGTATCAGTTGTGACTTGAAAGAACTCTTTCCCAGCATTGATGAACTCCTCCCTGCTAATAACCCCGTCTTTGTTGGTGTCTATGGCCTGGAAAGAAGGCGTAACGGAGAGAGGATGAATGCCGTAGCATGCCAAGAAATTTGTGTACTCATCCAGTGTGACAAACCCATCGTTATTGGCGTCCACTCCGTCAAAACAAACTTCCAGCACATTTTTGAGAGACTCTGAGAAATGAGTGTCGGTGAATGTGCGCGCGTGCGATCGCACCATCTCATCAATAGTAACGCTGATCTTTTTCTCTGGTCCTGCCCAAAACTCGTCCCATGCCTTGACAAGCAAGGGCCCAAATAGTTCTACTTTTTCCTTGCTCAAGTACGTGTTGCCCCGCTCCAAAACCCAATCAACGTAGTCCTTTCGGTTGACAATATTATCCAAGTCACGGTCGAATATGATGAAAAAAGAGCGCATCTTGCGCACCCAAAACTCCGGGAGAGGCGCGTAAGTCATCTGTTATAAAAATATATACATTTGGATCTTGGAAATAACAGTGTGTAAGAAAAAGGAATAAATACACACAACATGATATTTATTCTTGCTAGATTATATTAAGTTAAAAAATGCAATTAAAAGACCCAAAAATGCTTTCTACTGGTAGGCCTACAACAACTTGTGCAATCGAATAACTTATTTTTAGATACTTCATTTTTATCTATTTTTTAAAAAATCAATACCTCTTCCCGTTCCAAATATAAATTGAAAAACATTAAAATCAATCGAAGCATACAAAATACTTACCTTAATGTAGTGTTTTTAAGTTCTTAACGCAAATCTTCGCCAAGCCCACTGTGATACGAGAAGGGGTACCACGGTTCCAGGGTTCCTAATTAAAAACCACACTACCTATTTGAACTTTTGTAACAGGCGTTCAGCAGTTGCAAAAAATCAGGCGTTTCAGACTTAATGCTATGACTCCTAGGAATCCAAAGAAATGTATCACTGAAAGGGCAGGAACTACAGTACAATATTGACCTTTATATGGGCTATACCGATATATACAGACACAGAATTTTTGGTGCGCGAGATATATTATATTTCTCTTGGAAATGTTTTCTTTTTCTTACAGCGTGATGAGCATTTTAGTCACCCTGAAATCCAGTGATTACTGGAAACTCACTTTTACTTATCTTTCAGGTGGCATGCTGATGGTACATGCTGATGATATAGTTTCCAGAAATCTCTGAAACCTAGAGCGCACTCAGTCAGAGAGCCGCTTAGCTTGTTTTAATTACTGGATGTGCTTGAAACCTTGAACCCTCGCTAAACCCCTGTTTAACAAATGATTATGTAATCGGTCCAAGTTGAATAAAAGATGTAAAAGTAAGAATGGTAATGATGTTATATTCAGTGATATAGTTATTATCAAGTGTTATCAGCAGGATGGTAGTGGGTTCTTGTTATCAATACTCTAGCGCTTTAAAATATTCTGTTGATAAATTGGATATTCATCTTACACCTTTGATATTTTCTTGGCCAATGAATAATTTGCAATTTTTCAAAGAATATTATAGCATAAAGTAATAAATGCCATCAGCCATTTACTGATCAATGTGAATTTTTGTCTATCAACAGTTCAAATAATTCAATCAAATCCGAATTAAATTTACTTATTTCTTTCTCATTACCAGGGGCACCTGTGGAATGATTCAAATATGAGACTAACATTGCTTACATGTGTGCCACAGTTGTAGGCAAAGATCCAATGAACATTAAGCGACTTTTCCATTCATGTATTATTCATACGCATTACCAAGATTAAATTTTGTTTAAGCTAAGTCAATATGACATTAACAGGTGGTTCATTCTATTATGTGCTGAATGAAGTAAACAAGGTATATGTAATGTCATATAATCTGATTGAAGTATATCACTTGCCTCATTTTGACCAAAACATTGGCGCCAACTGGCCCTACCTACACTGTTGAATGGGTTGATAAAGATCGTTTGCTAGATGGAATTCACTTATGTGTCGCATTTCCCCCGTGGCCACATTTCTTTTAATTCTTTTTTTATTTATTTATCATAATTTTTAGCCACGTTTGGTAAAATCAAAACTAGATAAACACACAAAGACTATTCTGAATTTGTCTATGAGCTCCGCAAAGTCATCCAATAAAATGATACTTTAAAGATAACAACAGTTTGCATTATTCTGTAATAACTTATATTTCATAAATCGACATAATAGTAAAACGATGTAAGATTGTTTCGTTATACCAGGGAATTATATCCGATATAATTCCCTGGTAATACTAATGCATTAAAAACCTTGGTTTAAAAGACTACAGTTCTGAAGAATACAGCTCCAGACTTCTTTTACGATAATTTTCTCTCTTCGTTTACATTTTTATTTGCATGCAAAGATGTTGAAATAAAGGAGTTGAAAAAAAACTGCAACCCCTTTTTCCCTCTGACCCCCTTTTACTGTTTATATCCCATGCTTTATACATGTATTTTTATATAACAGTCCTTCGTCTCATATTTTAACGAAACAGAATCTTTATGCGTTCGAGTCATTATTGCACACGTATCCGGTACCTTTTAACAAATAATACATTAACGATTAACATTATTTACAACTATCACAAATGCTGTATCAGTTTATACCCCGTGCGTCTCTGGTAGTTTGTGTTCCGAATCCACAGGAAGCTGTAATGGAACGTGGATTTCATGCACGTATGTCACGGGCTTTATTTGCTGCACTGGAATTTGTAACAACTGAGTTTTGAAAATCATCATTCCCTGATCTATCACGTGTAGAATTTGGACGTGATCCTCTGTTTAACATAGATGATAATAAAAAAGAGGTAAATAGCGGGTATTTTCCCCCTGACTGGACTCGCTCTTCACTCAGTCACTGGGCGGAGTAGAACTTCTGTCGTGGTATATGTGACAGAAAAGTCTGAAAATATTGAAGAAGTATTTTCAGATTATTTGAATGAAAAGGATTTTGATTCTCTCTCTCTCTCTCACACACACACACACATACACACACAAACACACACACGCATCCCAAGTTTAATTAGTAAATGCATTAATTAATTATCAATAAATAATGACAAGTAATTCGTTTATAAATTTACTCATTAGCTAATGGCGACCTATGTAAATTCCTCAGTATGCCCATCTGCGATTGATTCTGGAAACAGATAAGGATGCTGAGAAAAGAATAGTTTCCACTATCTACTAGCCTTTGAAACTCAGGGTAACAGCATGAACTAGCAGGTACAACTATAATCCATGCATTGCAACTTACTTTATAGCGTATCCTAGTAAAAGCACCGCACATATCAACCCCACCACTGAGTCTAAATACCACACCGCGTGGTTGTCTCTATATGCTAAAGCACTGGCCAGTATGGCAAACGACATTAGGGCTCCTACCAGGGAGTTGTAAGCTGAAACGATACAGAAGTTGGGTTTTAGAACTGTCGCATTGCGTGTAGCTTTGTCACAACTGTCGCAACATCGCTGTGCCTTGCCATATCATATACCTGCCTCATACATTAGAAAACTGCAACAGTTATGCGCTATATGCAGGCAAGGATTAATGATTGTTCGCTATGGGATAATTGTGTTATTATTTTTCTAATTTAACCTCGACTTGTCTGTTTGCTGTGACGGTACACTAGCAGAAATAAAATGACTTATGCAATTCAGTATTTCATAACATATTATTTTCCACTCGTAAAATTTGACCATTAAATTGTTAATTTTTTTTTTAAAGATAACAGCTAAGACCCATTTTCGCTTAGCATTAAAGCTTTTATACATTGTAACATGCATGGGGTGCTCAGTGCAAAAATTATAGTTCAGAAACGCAGTGCAGAAATGAAACGTTCTGGAGAACCACCAGCAGTTTCTCAGAAAAAAAGGTCGGCCTTCCTTTGCATACTGGGCTCAATTTCTATAATAATGTGCTGGTGCTCTACATAAATATATCATTTCAAGATGCTGTATTGTGGTCTTTTTATTTGCTTTCAGTCACATTACGACCAGCATTTGATTTGTCCGCCAGACAATATCATAACTAATATTACAATACGGGAATCTGATCAAAGTTCGTTATGAACTCGGACAAAACCTGCTCAAATTATCCTGATTGAATATAATTATCAATCGGACAGAGCTCACAACAGAACGGAAAGCGACCATCTTTCAGGAAATAACAAAACATTTAATTCCAGTATTTCGTACTTTTGTTTTAAATGTAACGTGACTATTTTAATAGACACTTTGTCAAAACTTTGATGTGCCCAAGGTAATGTCACATTGGTGTATTCTAAGGAACTTTCTTAAATGCCTGTAGATGTCTTTTGAGATTTCAAGTTGAAATTTAAATCCTTTTTTCTTATACCCTACAAATTAATTAAACAAAAGCAACTTATAGATGTTACCGCTTACAGATTTATCTGTGTACCTCTACTGTAATCTGCCTTTCTATCATATCAGTTGGACTTCTTTCACTTGATTATAACATGTATGAATTAAGGGCTATTTGTACATGTACAAGTGTTAATCCTGAGCACGTGCAATAGAAAAATAGAAAACAGAAAACTACCATTCATTGACATTTGATCTTTGTCAAAAATATGATTCTACATATTATAAATGTATAAAGTTTTTTGATGGAAGGAGAGGCAACTGAATCGTTACACCACTGATGATGTATTTTTGAGTTTTCAATCCAGATGTATGGGAGATGTGACAGCATTTTTCCTCCCTTGAGAACGTAAAAATCTAAACTTACCATCGGTAATCAGGGCTCTACTCTCCAGCTTTAGACCCATGGCAAACTTTGCTACGGATAACGATGAGCAGATCACTCCATTTGCAATGGCTATATTCCACAAAATGCTGTTATCCTGTTTAATAGAAAAAAACGAATCGGTTATTTTCAAAAACGCGATGCCAGTCTTTTGAGCAAACACAAAGCTTCGTCGTGCTTGTAAACTTTTGGCTACATTAAAATACTTTTCAAAAAAAAAAAAAAAAAAAATATTGGCTATTTTATCTACTCATACATGTGCATCTATATTTTTTATGTTTTTAATTTCTCCGTGTGACACAGAACAACATTCAACTATCAATAATACCAGTCAAATTTCGTGTATCTATCAAGCACTTATAATCAACGAAGCGTAAGTAACCAGATGTATGGAAAAAGCTCCTACGCTTTGCCACCAGATTGTCATCATAACCCACCCAATCCAAATCCAGATACAGTAAAATACGTATACTGTACTTGTTGGGTGAAAATCGTTGTAAAAAAGCACTAGTACCGAACTTTAAAAACATATTGAAACCGAGGTTTCGATAAGGATAGGGTCACGATAACCAACCTCTGTCAAACGTGCATATTTTATTATGATTATAATGACATGCCGCTATCACACTTGATTACTAAGCAATTAGATTTTGATATCTATCACGAACATTATTAATGATTCGGTGCTTTGTTTAAAATGACATGGTAGGTATGACCTAACCATATGCTGGTAATTGTGTAATACAACATGTCAAACGGTGAACAGAAACCTGAAATATTCAACAAGTAATCGTTCATTATATGAGGAAAATAAAACTCTGTAAATCTTTTAGTGTTTTCTCTTAAAATAAGAAGTTTTAATAAATAGCGTTTCTTATTTAATTAGCCTCAACCAATTACTTAAAGGTAGATTTATGCAATAAAACGGTTTAACTACGACTTCGGTTACATTAGAGATCGACTTTAATAATATACAATGTGCGTGTTTAAAAGAAACGAAATATTTTATTTAAATGAATTCGATTGCAATAACCGGACTTTTCTTTCTATGCCCAATGTCAGAATATTTTTTCTATTCAAAAACGCAAATATTATGCTATCTCTCGTCGTTGTAACTCCATATGCGTTATCTCCTATTTCAATGTTTCTTTCACAACTTATGCTGTTCGGTTTGAGGCAGTGAACGTCTGACTGTAGGTTAAAAATGTCAACTTTCCAACATGCACTCGTTTCGATCTAATTTACTATTGTAACGCAACGGTATGTTTGAAGAAATAATAACTACCAGGCCTTATAAACGGATAAAGCGTTTTCTAACTTGAGCCTCAGATTTGTGAGCACAAATGCCCAAATTAACGACTCCAATGTAAAATTACTTGTCACAAGCACAGCATTTCATTTCACAAACCGTTTAATCAGCTTATCCACACGTTCGGTACGTTCCGTATGAGCCTACCATTAACATAAACAAGTGCTGTGATAATCACAGAAGGAACAGAGTCAGGCAAATTCCAATAAAGCAAATGTAAAGCAACAAATACGCACATGCATCTTGCATCTATTTGTTGGAATTATAAAACTCTTCAAATATTAACCACTTAAAAAGTTTTGTCGTGCTTGTCGAATAATGTTCCTTCATAGGAGCGGAGTGAAGGGACCTTTGGATTCTATGGAAACTGCTAGAGATCAAACAAATGTATTCCCCGGTGTCATTTTGCAAATCAAGGACAGTTAAAGCTAAAGCCACACGAATAAATGCAATTCCATTCTTAATAACAATTATTTCATTAAAGATAAGAAAAAAATCAAAACAATTGTAGTCTTAATTCATATCATGACAACAACATACCTCTCCTGGTCGCAGTTCCACTACTATTGCATGAATAGCTTTTGAGACAATACTGCTGGCAGATATTGTAAATAACACTCCCAGAACAAAACATGCTCTGAAATAAATAAATAAATAAATGGGTAGGGGACTGGATGATTGATTAATTGTAAAATCCGAACGCTCTAAAACTAAAAATAAATAAATAAATAAATAAATAAATAAATAAATAAATAAATAAATAAATAAACATCATCTGAGGCATCTTTTTTTTTTTATCAAAGTACCTTTTTTCTCTGCTTGTGGAATAAAGACGTCCCTCTCCAAACTGAAACCTCCATATCACCACTAATGAGCTCAGAGAATCAAGGATACAACTTAGCTGAAAAAAAGAAGACAAATATAAAACTATTGCTTTGCGTTAGAACTATGGCCGACATTAGCGTCTACATGGGATAAAAAAAATGCGCGTCCTTTTAGTAGAACACACAGTTGCTGTGATCTCTGGCCATATATGTTTACGTTAAGTTTTTCATTCTATAGTAATAACGTAAACTTGATCATTTATAGTTGGGTGAAAAACAAGAGGGTTAATTAACTTGCAGTATTCAAGTCGTCACTTTTTTCATAAGGATAATAATTATAGATATTAATACGCAGTGAGACAGTGGAAATACACAAAGTTCATATGGCTTATCTTAAAATGCGCGGCATATCACAATTTCAATGATCAGTATGAGACAATTATGTGCACCTGGGTGCCAGCAGCAGCCATTATTACAACCCAACCCAAAAAATACGAGGTCTATAAGACTATAATTATGTATGTCATTCTATTATAGATTTGGTGCTTTAATGATGGTGGTGATCACTATCATCAACGCCAATGGCCTTAAGTACAGTGCGCCTTCGAATACTGCATGACTGCAAAGGGTCGGTCCACAAACGAAATTCAAAGTGTGTTACAAAATACTTAAGCCTGTTCACATTTTAAAGTATGGATCCTGCGGGAATGGGGAATCCGCCTGATATGAGGAGGCGTTAACTTTTTAGCGATAAAAGTGAAAACGTATATGTGCTTAGAATCTTGTCTTAGAAAGCAATGTAAAAGTGGCAACCAAAACTTGATGAATTCGTACTGTTATTCAATAGACTGTAATTTTACAGAACCTAACACTTTTATTCGTTGCCACGCCGTAGTCTGCCATTATTGTTGCCACCACTCTCCTCCAAATCCTACAAAATCTCGCTTGATTTTGCTAACTCGTGAGACTTTGGGTAATCTCAAAATTTTTAATGTACATGTACATAGCACTACATTTGTCTACTCACCCCAAAAGCAAATAACGCTGGACTCTTTTCCAGTGCGGAAACCACTGAAAATTTAAAGTCAATTACTGAATTATTGATTCATGTCATTAGTTCGCGAAGTATCGCATACGATTGTCATTATAAATTATTGCTGTAACTTTTTTTTAAAGATTCAGGCATCATCATATTTTTGGTACATTTATTTTTGACAATTTTATAACTTGTGTTTCAACCTGTGTATCACTGGGACACCTTGAACTGAAATTTCAATTTTAAATATATTCCAACATCCCATCCTATACCATTTTTTCACATTGAATATTTTTACTGTGAAATAATATTTTAAAACTAAAACACTCCAACCTAAAAGCAAATTTAGCCGTATTGGAAAGAAGTGGCCACGCTAAATATACAAAAAGAAAACAAAACCATGAAAATATGTGGTAACAAGATGGCAGTAATTTCAAAATAAGCCATTGCATCCTGAAACTGAGGGTATCAAATTTGAAACCATTGAAAAAACGGTTCAAGTTCACAGCCTTCAGGAAAGGCGTGAAACGAAATGTGTAAATGAGTTCACCAAAGAGATACCATCTAGATCTACTGGACGGATGCACCATTATTTACTCTATCATTAGAATTTTAAGTTAATGCACAGGAAAGATACCATCAAAACCTTGCACATGTACACGCTCGTATATCTTAAATCTAACACCTAATCATTTGAAAATACTGTATTGTCGCTGTCACGGACTACAGAAACTACCCCGGTATGTCCGTGTTCTAAAATGGTCCAAATTTTTCAAATCAATCTGACGTCACCAGATTACTTAACAAAGCAAAATCTCTCTTTCCCCCCCCACTATGTGTACGCGATTGCGCGTATGCGTGATTGCCCCTGTACTGTATGTTTAAAGTACAGTGTACATTGTACGTACCAAATGCTAGCACGGAGAGCGCGGTAGTGACTATAACCGACGTCCAAGACACAACTAAAGCCCAGAACCGAAGACGGAGAGCAACTTCTAGGGATACTGCATGCTGCGGTTGATTGATTAAGTTTTCTGTAACAAACGAAATTAAATGTCATTGAAATGCAAACTAGACACACGAATAATGAGAGCATTTCACACTTAAAATTTTGAGAGAACAATGTGATTCTACAAAATCAGTTTACTGTCACTTTCAGCTTTATTGTTCATGGTGGCTATACAAAACAGTACCGCGAAAGAAACGTTGGGTGTCAAAATATGATGGATTGAATACTGACAACACGTTCCACACCTATAAAACGTGCATCAGTGAACTGTATGTACTGGTATACTGGGCTTTGTTAACCTGTGGACATTCATAATAGTACACCAAGTTTTTTATATGGCTGACCCAAGTATTTATAGAATGAAGACGTGTATATAAACATATGGATTGGTGTACAAAGCATGCCGAATGAGGATACTTTCATTCAATACATGTTAATATTAAAGATTGCAGTTATTAAATAAAATATATATCTTTACCAAATAAAAAAAATTGGCAAATAGGCGACATTTGACCTTCCGTGAAAGCTACATGTAATACATAATGAACGAACGAACAAATGAATAAAAAACTCACGCACCATGCTCCTTGTTAAATATCCCGTTCAAGTTATTTACCGAATCACGGCCATTCGGTATATTTAATTTTTCTTCTCCTGGCTGCCTCAATCCATATGAGTCCTCCCGATTTTGCATCTCCGTAGCCTCCATGGTCGTTTTTCATCTGTCTATAAAAGCCACAATTTTCAATGTTCACTACATCATGTCCCTGTGTTTTTAATGTGCTGGCGTTCCACTTTCTCTTCAGACACTGTGTAAATAAAAAAGTTATGTAATAAAGCAGATCCGGTCAGACCCTCATATGAATATCAAGTGTCAAGGCCATGGTGAATTATCTGTGACCACAGCGCTAATTCTACCATCCAATCCTTCTATTTCCCTCCAATCATATGCAGCAATCATCATTTGTTAAAACAACCGCAGGATTACTAACAGCCAAAGGAGTACGACATGTTATGAGATCTCCAGGTCAAATTGACCTAGGAAGACTATTATTATAAATCTATATAAATCTGCTTTGAATAGGACATGGCAAGGGAAGATGCACGTACTGTACATACAAGTATACACAGTTAAACACACGTGTATGTCTCAACATCATAGTTATCGTGCACTCACTGCTGTGCCTTTGTCACCATACAAAATCTTATTCTGACAAAAAGTAGCTGGGACATGTAATAGCCAGTAGTTATTTATTTATACACACTGTAAGTTGAAAAGTAGGTTACATGCATAAACAACTCTTTAAACTTCAACTGACACCCTTTTTCTAACGGAACAAATTAGAGAAGTGCTACATTCTGTGCAGAAAACAGGATGACTTTGCGATAATATGAATTTCCACTGGGGAATGCTCCACAAAACAGCGACAAAACAAAATCACAATAGCAACAAATACCATGAAAAGCTTTCCTTTCAAAATGGAGCAGAAGGTTGAAACCTAACTTGTAGTCCAATGATGGCTGCAATGACCTATAGCGAATAAAGAATTCTCTAATGATCTACTACTCGTTCTACTAACTACCCATGATGTCGACTAGACTAAGCGCGTCTTCAAGGTATTCTCTACATCTTAAGTACTAGTCCCAAGACAAACATCCATGTACTTACCTAACTAATTATACCGATTACTTGCAAAGATGTCGGTTGTTTCACCTTCAAATCTGCCCAAAGCACAGTATCTTTTCGGTTGAAGAAAAGTCCATCTGATCAGTGTCGAGTACGTAGTTGATCTGAAATCAGTTTGAACCCGTGCACCTGTATTTGTATGTTAACCGCTTGGTATATGGCAAAATGATAGCTATAGAGCATACATAATTCACTGGCTTTGCACGTATTCTTTGCGGAATGTCACTGAGTATTTTTATCTGTGTGTAATAAAATGTTACACACCGTCACGCGTCATTCACTCCACAACCCCTGCTCGACAGCTTAGTAGAACAGAACAGTAACCCATCGGGAATAAGCCCTAACATATTTTTGTATTTCGCTTACGGGTGGCAGACTTTGCGTGTTTAACTATGGTGTCAAATTTGAACTTGATCCGCCGGATGCACCTAATGTGCATTAGGCCATACATCACTGTGATTTCTTAAAAGATAATAACCTATTATACAAATAAAATACAAATGTATAAAATAGGGAATCTCTGTCTTGTAATAGCGACATTGTTGAATAAAACTATTTAAATGTACTAGAATGAAATTACGCATTAGTGTTAAAAAGAGTTACTGCTGAAGGATAAAAGCGGGATAAAATTGATAGATAAAAGTGATGGAGACACATAAATTTTAGGACTTTTAATTGTCACTAACTACTGTCTGGCTGTACAAGAGAATACTGAATTAGAGTGAAAGCTTTTTTTATTGAACAGACGGTCAGCTGTTCTGATTAATGCTGCAACATGTCAAAGTGTCTGTCTTGTAAGGTTGTTATTGCTAAGATGCCAGTCACCCCTTTTTACCATATATGGGTGTATTTAAGTGTTACCCATATATTGGTCTACCTCGCATATGAATTTTTGCCATATTTTTGCCTGTCAAGAAATGAATCCTTCTTGGTTTTGGAAATAAAATAATTTCCCATTCTAACGTAGATTTAAATATAAAAAACAAACAGTGTTTCCTCTAAAATGATATTTTCAATTAACAAGATGAAATAAATTATTATCCCGACATCATCAGGAAATAATGACAGCGATCAGAAACAGATAGAACATAAGTTGAGACATTAGTCGCCGTCTAAGTGAGGTATCGCGTTTTTATTGTCTTTGTCCATTGTCTTTTTCTTTGTGGGAAAACATATATGTTTGCACCTTCGTTGTGCATTTGTTATCTGATTTCCTGGTGTGATAATAAATCATGAACTGATAAATATTCTACCCCAGTATCACCTGCGCGGGGACAGCTTATTGCGATAACCATATCATCTCAAATGCCTTCCTCTTTATTGAAATGACCTCGCCTTATAGTCGTACAAGTCTCTAACAATAATAATTGTAAAAAACGTGAGCATTTTGTGTAAAAACCACATACACCAGCAGGTTTTGCGCTGCATGAATGGTCACCATATCATATCAGATACCACCATAGGAGGCATTGTGTGGTTTTCACAAAGTGGGCGAATATTGTACAGGGGGTGACAAAAGCATTGCACCCTTTTTGTATAAATAGTTATCTTGGTGATATGAAGGTCCGTTTGTTCAACCTTTATTCTTATGTACTTTTGTTTACAAATGATCACATGGCAACTGTTAATCGTTCTAAACAGTTTTTTTTTAAATTCTATTTAACATATTTAACATGACTTAGGGTTAAGAAAAACCAAAATGCCGGTGTAGAAATCCATATTTGTTTTATATCATTTATTCAAATTAAGAGCATACACCCCTCAAATATGATTTTCCACACAAATAAAATGGCTATAAATTTAAAAGATAGCACCGAATGCCATCGAAATAATTCACAATTAATGTCAAAATGCGCTTTTTAAAGGCACGTGTATATTGTTTTTGATGATTCAATGTATATGTTTCCTGAAGGATATGCAGAGTTCAGGCCACTCCGCTAGTGTGTCACTTATTCTTTCTGGCATTTTGAGAGAATTAAAATGCATATGATATTAATGAAAAAGTGATGTACTATGAAATAGGTCAACATCACTGTCATGCATAACTATTTAAAGATATTCATAAAATAATCTTAATGCAAAATATACAATTCCTGCCCTCGGGGACAGTCCCACCCCTAGATTCACTAAAATTCTGAAGAGCCCATATACTGTATATGCATGGTGGTAGGTCTATCAATCACCAACGTTTCAACTTCCTCATTCAAATGGTGCAGGGGAGAAAGCAGAAATTACGATGTAAACATCTAGAATCATTCACCCCCATGGACAGCCCAACCCCCAAATGCACTTAGATTCTAAAATTCCAAAAGCCCCTGCACGTCCAAAATGATAGGTCTAGTATTCCCCAACGTTTCTGGGTGTCAGAATCTATTGACAAACAACGGTAGTTTCTAGTTGACAAGTTCGTTTTTGAAAAACGGCACTATATCTGGATGACAGAATCGTTTTTGAAAAATTATGTAAAATCATACTAAATCCACAGTACAGCAGGGGTGCCTTATATCTGTCTAGTATTTGTGATCATAAACACCGATCGCCGGTGGTTTAGGACTCCCTGCACGGCGAGGGGAGATCATATAACCCCCCAACCCCCCAACCCCCGGCTTCAACGGTGAATGCTACACTTTGCCTGGTCGCGGTAGACACTAATCGATGAGAGTTTCTACCTTTGTCCACTCCCTTTCCCATCCCAAAAATTGATTCTAGTTTCTGAACTGGACGTCAGACTTATTTTTGAACAGTACTAGTTTCTGGCTGCCAGAATCTTTTTTCGATAAAAGAAGAGGTTTTTGAAAAGTTCTATTAGGCCTACATTACATTTTATCCTCCACACAGCAAAGTAGGACTAAGACATTTCTCCACCCCCTCCCCCTGCTCCTGCCCCCTTCCTTGTTAGGCCTACTAATAATCGTCAGAATCGTTTTTGAAAAACGACACTAATTTCTGCTTGGAAACTTACGTTCATGCCAAAGGCAGAGGCTATTTTAAGGTCTAATGTGTTCATATAAAAGATATATTTACGACACGATTGTAGAATTCTGTTTTTAATTATTGATTGGTTGAGTGGCTCAATTTTCTTATACAAGTAGTGGTGCATATACACTGCATACGTTTTTTAATAACCAGTGTTTGCGTTTTTCTTTTTACGTTGAAAATTGTGTTAGTTGTTATTTTGCAGCCGTTGTTTTCAAGACTGTTACCTCCGATCGGTATTTGCTAACACACCAACAGCATTCGTCAAGATAGAGGCCTACAACATAGAGCCGTCATAGCCTGACCAGGGGACATTTTATAATTACATGGGGGTCTGAGTTACAATAACTACTGTATACAAAATCTTTTCTGAATAAAGTCAAGGAGATTGAAAAATGTTTAGCATCTAAAAACCAACCCCCCAGTCGTAAAGAAGATATGAAACCAGAAACCAATTTTTGAAATTGGTTTAAAAAAGTCGAAATGGAAATCACTGCTTACGCATAAATGTTGGCTGCATTTAACACCGATTTACTTTTTCATAACATCAGATAGGCCTATTAACATATATTAAATGTGCATCTTATATATCTTTTTATAGGCTCTAGTCATAGGCCTGTAGAACTGTTATTATCAAAAATTTGATGATTATGATTATGATTTCATACATATTTTAAGAAGATGTGCTTGAAGTCTCGTGGGTCCAACCGCTAAACATTTGTTCTTTGGCACAGGATTCAATTTATCGTACAAATTACTCCTAAGCTTTCCATTTGTGTATTTTGGTTGATTGGCATTTGATATCGACCGAACTATGAATGATGCAAAGAAACTGACGTGGAAGAAAATACGAGTACATTTAAACAAGACTTAGCGAGGTATGCCCCTGCATTTCATCAGTCTCTCAACTATAGCAATTGCTATGACGTCATCTAATTGACCAATCATAAACCTCGTAAGAAATCTTTATGAGGCTACGCATGCGCATTTGATGTTTTGCTTCCAGCTGGAAAATGTATACAACAGAATGAGATTTTTGCTGATTATCTGACAGTTGCATTGTTTGCATAACGGAATACATTTACAAAGGAATTGGTCAAGGCTTAACCAGCCTAATGAACCTAGCAAGCCAAGGCGGAGATTCTGATTCCAACCTTCTCTTTGTAAATTTTAATCAAGACTGCACGTAAGTTTAATTTTTCTAGGGAAGTTTGCTTGTCATTTCCTATTTAATTTCTGCTAATGGTGAAATAAATATTGCATAAACGCTAATAAATTTCAGCCATACAGTTTGAAACGGACTGTTTATGTACCATTCAAAATATACAAATTGTCTTTTGAAGATCACTTGCCGTTGGGACCAAAACTGGCTACAAACTATTTTCACTGAGCTCCGCTGACAAGTTGGAGCAGATTTATGACAATGGTAAGTTCGCATTCAGCTCATTTCATCATTTTAACACTAAATGGCGCATAGAATAAATGCATTATGAGTTACATATTAATGTGAAGCACAAAATTTATGACTCTGAGATATTTCAAAACATTTATGAAAAGAAAAGGCCAGTGAAAACCACCCTGTAATGCTCGTTGTAAAGGGTGTGGGTTCGTTTGATGGAATGTCCAAAACAAACTTAACTTCACATCTGACAGGAGGTCGGGGAGGGGGTATTAAACCCTAAGGTAACTATGTGTTATTTTTTGTGTTTATATTTACAGAGGGAGAAGATATATGTATAGTGGAGAGGCTTTTTTCTAGCAGCCTTGTAGCTGTTGTAAGCCTTTCATCTCCACGCAAGTTGAAAGTATGTCACTTCAAGAAAGGGACAGAAATATGTAATTATAGTTATTCCAACACTATATTGGCTGTTAGGTTAAACAGACTGGTAAGTTGTTTTTGTTCTTCTTAATCTTTTCAATCAACAAATATTGAAGATGCAATGATTGGTTTTGTAATTTTGATATTTTGTTTAATGTTTGACAGGAGCATGTTATGTTTAGTTCGAACAATACACTTACCACTCCCAGGTTTTTTTAAAAGTTGTATCAGTTGTATTAGAATATAATGTCACAACTTGCTACATGAAACAGACTTAAAATTTGTAATAATGTCATGGATTTTGCTGTAAAAAATTTCTTCTAAAATTTACATTCATTCTGTAAAAAACATGTACATGGTTAAACTGTTTAGTCACCCAGTTTCTACAATAAGTTGGATCACTTGCATTAAATGTGGGTGGGTGGGTGTCTGTGCTTTACTGTTGTACTAAAATGCAAGTATTTTTATGGTAATACTGTTNACATATTATACAAATAAAATACAAATGTATAAAATAGGGAATCTCTGTCTTGTAAGAGCGACATTGTTGAATAAAACTATTTAAATGTACTAGAATGAAATTACGCATTAGTGTTAAAAAGAGTTACTGCTGAAGGATAAAAGCGGGATAAAATTGATAGATATAAGTGATGGAGACACATATAAATTTTAGGACTTTTAATTGTCACTGACTACTGTCTGGCTGTACAAGAGAATACTGAATTAGAGTGAAAGCTTTTTTTTATTGAACAGACGGTCAGCTGTTCTGATTAATGCTGCAACATGCCAAAGTGTCTGTCTTGTAAGGTTGTTATTGCTAAGATGCTAGTCACCCCTTTTTACCATAATTGCGTGTATTTAAGTGTTACCTATATATTGGTCTACCTCGCATATGATTTTTTTTGCCATAATTCATTAAGATAGCCTGTCAAGAAATGAATCCTTCTTGGTTTTGGAAATACAATAATTTCCCATTCTAACGTAGATTTAAATATAAAAAACAAACAGTGTTTCCTCTAAAATGATATTTTCAATTGACAAGATGAAATAAATTATTATCCAGACATCATCAGGAAATAATGACAGCGATCAGAAACAGATAGAACATAAGTTGAGACATTAGTCGCGGTCTAAGTGAGGTATCGCGTTTTTATTGTCTTTGTCCATTGTCTTTTTCTTTGTGGGAAAACATATATGTTTGCACCTTCGTTGTGCATTTGTTATCTGATTTCCTGGTGTGATAATAAATCATGAACTGATAAATATTCTACCCTAGTATCACCTGCGCGGGGACAGCTTATTGTGATTACCATATCATCTCAAATGCCTTCCTCTTTATTGAAATGACCTCGCCTTATAGTCGTACAAGTCTCTAACAATAATAATTGTAAAAAACGTGAGCATTTTGTGTAAAAACCACATACACCAGCAGGTTTTGCGCTGCATGAATGGTCACCATATCATTTCAGTGGCTATCAGATACCACCATAGGAGGCATTGTGTGGTTTTCACAAAGTGGGCGAATATTGTACAGGGGGTGACAAAAGCATTGCACCCTTTTTGTATAAATAGTTATCTTGGTGATATGAAGGTCCGTTTGTTCAACCTTTACTCCTATGTACTTTTGTTTACAAATGATCACATGGCAGCTGTTAACCGTTCCAAACAGTTTTTTTAATTCTATTTAACATATTTAACATGACTTAGGGTTAAGAAAAACCAAAATGCCGGTGTAGAAATCCATATTTGTTTTATATCATTTATTCAAATTAAGAGCATACACCCCCTCAAATATAATTTTCCACAGTGATTTCCATACAAGTAAAATGGCTATAAATTTAAAAGATAGCACCGAATGCCATCGAAATAATTCACAATTAATGTCAAAATGCGCTTTTTAAGGCACGTGTATATTGTTTTTGATGATTCAATGTATATGTTTCCTGAAGGATATGCAGAGTTCATACCACTCCGATAGTGTGTCACTTATTCTTTCTGGCATTTTGAGAGAATTAAAATGCATATGATATTAATGAAAAAGTGATGTACTATGAAATAGGTCAACATGCATAACTATTTAAAGATATTCATAAAATAATCTTAACGCAAAATATACAATTCCTGCCCTCGGGGACAGTCCCACCCCTAGATTCACTAAGATTCTGAAGGGCCCATATACTGTATATGCATGGTGGTAGGTCTATCAATCACCAACGTTTCAACTTCCTCATTCAAATGGTGCAGGGGAGAAAGCAGAAATTACGATGTAAACATCTAGAATCATTCACCCCCATGGACAGCCCAACCCCCAGATGCGCTTAAATTCTAAAATTCCAAAAGCCCCTGCACGTCCAAAATGATAGGTCTAGTATTCCCCAACGTTTCTGGGTGTCAGAATCTATTGACAAACAACGGTAGTTTCTAGTTGACAAGTTCGTTTTTGAAAAACGGCACTATCGAATCGTTTTTGAAAAATTATGTAAAATCATACTAAATCCACAGTACAGCAGGGGTGCCTTATATCTGTCTAGTATTTGTGATCATAAACACCGATCGCCGGTGGTTTAAGACTCCCTGCACAGCGAGGGGAGATCATATAACCCCCCCAACCCCTGGCTTCGACGGTGAATGCTACACTTTGCCTGGTCGCGGTAGACACTAATCGATGAGAGTTTCTACCTTTGTCCACTCCCTTTCCCATCCCAAAAAATGATTCTAGTTTCTGAACTGGACGTCAGACTTGTTTTTGAACAGTACTAGTTTCTGGCTGCCAGAATCTTTTTTCGATAAAAGAAGAGGTTTTTGAAAAGTTCTATTAGGCCTACATTACATTTTATCCTCCACACAGCAAAGTAGGACTAAGACATTTCTCCACCCCCTCCCCCTGCTCCTGCCCCCTTCCTTGTTAGGCCTACTAATAATTCGTCAGAATCGTTTTTGAAAAACGACACTAATTTCTGCTTGGAAACTTACGTTCATGCCAAAGGCAGAGGCTATTTTAAGGTCTAATGTGTTCATATAAAAGATATATTTACGACTCGATTGTAGAATTCTGTTTTTAATTATTGATTGGTTGAGTGGCTCAACTTTCTTATACAAGTAGTGGTGCATATACACTGCATACGTTTTTTAATAACCAGTGTTTGCGTTTTTCTTTTTACTTTGAAAATTGTGTTAGTTGTTATTTTGCAGCCGTTGTTTTCAAGACTGTTACCTCCGATCGGTAATTGCTAACACACCAACATCATTCGTCAAGATAGAGGCCTACAACATAGAGCCGTCATAGCCTGACCAGGGGACATTTTATAATTACACGGGGGTCTGAGTTACAATAACTACTGTATACAAAATCTTTTCTGAATAAAGTCAAGGAGATTGAAAAATGTTTAGCATCTAAAAACCAACGCCCCAGTCGTAAAGAATATATGAAACCAGAAACCAATTTTTTAAATTGGTTTAAAAAAGTCGAAAGTAGGCCTAAACATAAATGTTGGCTGCATTTAACACCGATTTACTTTTTCATAACATCAGATAGGCCTATTTACAGACATTAAATGTGTATCTTATATATCTTTTTATAGGCTCTAGTCATAGGCCTGTAGAACTGTTATTATCAAAAAATTGATGATTATGATTATGATTTCATACATATTTTAAGAAGATGTGCTTTAGGTCTCGTGGGTCTAACCGCTAAACATTTGTTCTTTGGCACAGGATTCAATTTATCATACAAATTACTCCTAAGCTTTCCATTTGTGTATTTTGGTTGATTGGCATTTGATATCGACCGAACTATTAATGATGCAAAGAAACTGACGTGGAAGAAAATACAAGTACATTTAAACAAGCGAGGTATGCCCCTGCATTTCATCAGTCTCTCAACTATAGCAATTGCTATGACGTCATCTAATTGACCAATCATAAACCTCGTAAGAAATCTTTATGAGGCTACGCATGCGCATTTGATGTTTTGCTTCCAGCTGGAAAATGTATACAACAGAATGAGATTTTTGCTGATTATCTGACAGTTGCATTGTTTGCATAACGGAATACATTTACGAAGGAATTGGTCAAGGCTTAACCAGCCTAATGAACCTAGCAAGCCAAGGCGGAGATTCTGATTCCAACCTTCTCTTTGTAAATTTTAATCAAGACTGCACGTAAGTTTAATTTTTCTAGGGAAGTTTGCTTGTCATTTCCTATTTAATTTCTGCTAATGGTGAAATAAATATTGCATAAACGCTAATAAATTTCAGCTATACAGTTTGAAACGGACTGTTTATGTACCATTCAAAATATACAAATTGTCTTTTGAAGATCACTTGCCGTTGGGACCAAAACTGGCTACAAACTATTTTCACTGAGCTCCGCTGACAAGTTGGAGCAGATTTATGACAATGGTAAGTTCGCATTCAGCTCATTTCATCATTTTAACACTAAATGGCGCATAGAATAAATGCATTATGAGTTACATATTAATGTGAAGCACAAAATTTATGACTCTGAGATATTTCAAAACATTTATGAAAAGAAAAGGCCAGTGAAAACCACCCTGTAATGATCGTTGTAAAGGGTGTGGGTTCGTTTGATGGAATGTCCAAAACAAACTTAACTTCACATCTGACAGGAGGTCGGGGAGGGGGTATTAAACCCTAAGGTAACTATGTGTTATTTTTTGTGTTTATATTTACAGAGGGAGAAGATATATGTATAGTGGAGAGGCTTTTTTCTAGCAGCCTTGTAGCTGTTGTAAGCCTTTCATCTCCACGCAAGTTGAAAGTATGTCACTTCAAGAAAGGGACAGAAATATGTAATTATAGTTATTCCAACACTATATTGGCTGTTAGGTTAAACAGACTGGTAAGTTGTTTTTGTTCTTCTTAATCTTTTCAATCAACAAATATTGAAGATGCAATGATTGGTTTTGTAATTTTGATATTTTGTTTAATGTTTGACAGGAGCATGTTATGTTTAGTTCAAACAATACACTTACCACTCCCAGGTTTTTTAAAAGTTGTATCAGTTGTATTAGAGTATAATGTCACAACTTGCTACATGAAATAGACTTAAAATTTGTAATAATATCATGGATTGTGCTGTAAAAAATTTCTTCTAAAATTTACATTCATTTTGTAGAAAACATGTACATGGTTAAACTGTTTAGTCACCCAGTTTCTACAATAAGTTGGATCACTTGCATTAAATGTGGGTGGGTGGGTGTCTGTGCTTTACTGTTGTACTAAAATGCAAGTATTTTTATGGTAAAACTGTTAAAAAATAATTTTTTGAAGGGCATCATATGCCATATATAGCTTAAGTCTTTTAGTTATTAAAAATGTTGAAAAGGTATTTGTATGAGAGGCAGATGTCCTCCCGAACCTGCCCTTCATTTCACCTTTTATTGTTCTGAAAATCCACCAAGCGTTAATACTACCTGAGGATATCAAATGGCTTTTACTTCCTTTTTCCTTATCTTCATCTTAATGGCTATTATACCTGTCCATCATGAATCTCTTATCACCATATAATTATATTATGCTACCGTTATTGTTGTTGCAGGTTATTGTTATAAGACTAAGAAACATATTTGTCAGGATTAATGGATTGCTCTATTAATATTAAATTTGCTGTTAGGCACTGGGGTAGAAATACATATTATTTTAGGTGCCCCGTGTGTGAACTTTTGCATGTCTTGCTTAGTTCATAAAACCCATACATTATCTGAATCATGAATGTAACCTTTTAAAGGTGAAAAGAATAAATCAAAGAGTTCCAGTTTTATCTTTGAAGCCATCGTTTTTTTTTTTTTGTTTCTTTTTTTTCAAACATTTCACTCCTATTAGTAGTTTGTATTATGAACTGACGTGCAATGGCTTGTATTTTATCATAAACTTACAAATAGCCTTAGCGCTTACATCTGTTCAACAATGCTTGAAGAGTCCTATTGATTCTTATCAAAATACTGCTTTTGTTTAAATTGTCTGTAGATAAAATGTAAAAGTGATAGTGTTACTCTTCCATTGTAGTTTCATCAAAATATAAGGATCTCATATATGATATATTTTATTTGTTTGTTTGTTAATTTGTTTATTTATTTATTGTTTCAGAGGTTAATAGTATGTCTGGAAGAGAGCTTGTATATTCACAATATAAGGGACATGAAGGTTCTGCACACCATCAGGGACACCCCACCCAATCCTCATGGGCTCTGTGGTCTCTCAATCAACAATGACAACTGCTACTTGGCTTATCCAGGGAGTAATCAGATTGGAGAAGTGCAGATTTTTGATGCTCAAAATTTGGTAAGTTATTATTATTGTTGTTCTTGTTATGTAATGTTCCTGTATATGTAATGTACTTTTTTGTTTTGTTTTGTTTAATATTGTATTCTGCTCGGAGACGGTTAAATAAAAATCTATCTATCTATCTATCTATAATCATTAATATTATCTGTATGTTTGTTTTTCTCTGAGATCTTTCCTCATTTAATATCTTTTTACTTTTATTCTTACTGGCCTCTAGGGAGCTTTGCTTCAGTTCATTATATTTCTCTTGTGCTCAAATTGATCAATTTTGTAAAAGATATAAAAATATTTAAATCATTCTTGATTACTTGACAAAGTCAAAAAAGTTTTGATATGTATGAAAACTCTCTAGAATAACAATTATCCTGGGTCGTTGCTCATCTCTCTCAATGTATTTATGTATCCCCCTTAGGAAAGGCCCCATTAATTATACATAAATGTACACCTTGAAAATTACTGCAATAGACAAAGGACAATTACCTGCACAAGTGTCACTTTATTAATGGATATATAACTATAGTGGAGCTAATTGCCTGTAGTCAAATGTGTACTTGCATAGAATCATAATTGATTTGTGCATATCTTATCAGTGTCGTCATGGTCATTGTTACCACGTTTCACCAACAAAGAAATTGGAGAAATCAGACGAATGATTCTGAGATGTGTTTTGAGATTTAAGTTGGCCCCAGTAAGTAAACTAGTTGTGACATCTTTACTTGAGGAAAAAATCTGGAAGTAAATGTTTTGTACTAGAAGTACTAGATTGCAACTTTCAGCCTTAGGCAAGATATTGTGACCAGTTGTTATATGGGTCTTTCAAAGCATATGTTTATATTTTTCTCTGTGAAGGTTCAGACCCAACACTAACCCTCCCTCCCCGCTGTAGTGTAAGTGGTGGTTTTCTCCTTTTGAATGACATCTTTCTTCTCATGTGTGAGGGAAAATGCTTGACTTTGTAAGATATATTCATAATCTCTTTCAAAATAATGATTTGGTGGAAACTTAAGGAGTAAGCACATTTGGCAAAGTTGTTTTTTGGCAAAGCACCCAGTCACACCAGGGGAGAGGATTTCAAATTATATGGGAAACTTTTTTGTTCCATCCAAGCTGAAGCATGTGAATCCATGAGGTTCTCTCTTGACAAGAATTGCATTTTATCACATTGGCAATAGCATGTTTATTGATGTCTTGCTTTGATATTCCAGAGAGCTGTCACTATGATTCCAGCACATGACAATCCCTTGGCAGCCATGGCTTTTAGCCCACAGGGAACAAGGATAGCCACAGCATCTGAAAAGGTATTTAACAAGCATTAGGAGGGTGTGGTCAGATGCTGATGAATGTATTTTTGGTGATATTTTTCTTTAACTGGCATTTGATTTTTAGATCAGAAAGTTTATCTTTGTGAGCATATTTTGTATGATTTTACTTAAATAAAGGGACACATTAATGTGTATATCAAGTTATGTTTAACATTGACTCACATGTAATATTTAGATTAAAAGTTTAATCTTTGCTAGCATATTTTTAAATGATTTTACTTAAATAAAATGACACATTAATGGGTTTGTCAAGTTATGTTTAACATTGTTGGTTTAATAAAATGTGAGAGTATTTAGAGGGGCGTAATGAAAAGTGGCACTCCTTTCAAGTAACATTTTTGCTAACTCAAATTCTGTTTTATTCCAGGGAACAGTCATTAGAGTCTTCTCAGTCCCTGACGGACAAAAACTATTTGAATTCAGGCGTGGTGTGAAGAGGTAGATAATACTTCAAATATGATTAGTTCTAAGGATTTCATTTTGTTATTTTAAGATATTTTGTGTAAGAGATATTACATTTTAGAATTACAACCATTTATTGAAGAAGTGCTCTGAATATTATAAACTGTAACATATTTCTGTATGAGGAAAAGTTATTTTTTCCTGAAGCATGTATTTGCGTAAGGAAAAAAGTTTTGACCAGTAATGTGTGAACTGGAAAGAGGAAAATTAAAAAGAAATAAAGATAATTAGTAGGACAATATGAGCATTTTGATTTGAATATGATTAATATTTATTTTCAGATGTGTAACAATAAGTTCCTTAGCATTTAACAGTGATGCTGCTTTCCTGTGTGCCTCCAGCAACACTGAAACTGTGCATATATTCAAACTAGAAACCACAAAGGACAAGTAAGTACACTTATTTATGAATATATAGAAGTGAGATTATTGCAATTTTTTGGACCCCTTATTGGGTCCGACATTAAATATGAGCACTATATGATATGTTGTTCCATGCTCAGCATTACTGCTCAGCTTACAACTGCCAGTAAACTTAAGGCAAGGTTATCCACTAGATTTTGCAAGATGCACAGGTTTTATGGACATACACTTGACAGAGTGTGCATATTCTTAATTGCCCTCATGTCTGCTCAAATATATTCTGTTTTTAAATATATCTTAAATCTACCACCTGTTTTCTTGCATTCAAACAAGCATACCAGGACTTGAGTGGCTGAAGCTTCTAGTCATTTTTTGTGGAAAACTTAAAGTGGTAACAGAAGCATGAAAAAATGAAAATGTGAGCAATCTGTTCATTTACCCTGTAGGACTCAAGAGGAGCCCCATGGCTGGATGGACTATGTTGGCCAAGCTCTGAAGACATCTGCCCACTATTTACCTACCCAGGTGACAGAAATGTTCAATCAAGGCAGAGCTTACGCAACAGCAAGACTTCCTGTATCTGGACTGAGAAATGTTTGTGCTTTAGCTGCGTAAGTTGCATTAGGGTTCAATTGCAGAACTTTTGAAGTTTGTTTGCTAGGCTATCAGTTCTTAGTTTGAACATTCAGTTTTGCTTTACCTGTGGTGAAATATTTATTTTTCACGTTAAGCCATAATAGAAAATAATTTAATTATTAGTTAGGACAAGATCAGACTTCAGCATAGGTCTTATTTTTATGTTATTTTGTTTAAGTTTTACTATTATTATTTAATTGTTTTGTCTAGTCTGAGGTGCAGTGACAGTCTTAAATTGTTACAATATGCAGCAGTTTTGGAATGATAGTTATAAATTGCTACAATATGAAGTGATTTTGTCCGAGCAGAAATTCATTAGCAATTTTTGATTGATATATGCCAAATGTACACCCTTAGTGATTTAATTCCAGTTTTGACCATCAGTAAACTAGTTTTACTCACAATGTATTCAGTTTTCCTCATTCATTTTCTAGGATTCAGAAGATGCCTCGACTACTGGTAGCCTCCCAAGATGGCTACCTATACATCTACAACATGGACCCAGCAGAGGGTGGGGAGTGCACTCTACTCAAACAGCATCGGTTAGATGGACGTCAGGAAGGGAGTGGGACCTCACAGGACCTAACTGGACATACACAAGACAAACCCCTCACACATCCAGGTAGTGCTACATATGCTGCCACAGTCAAACAGCAGCAAGTCCCTGGTAGTGCCCAAGTGTCTGCATCGCCAGGTAAGCACCTTCCGCTTACACCTGAATGGGGAGCAGAGAGTTTTGCAAATGTGTTGAGGAGGAAAGGAGGTGGTCCCCAGGCTATACCCCCTACTGAGGGTAGTAGCCCCAATGGATCTATCCCATTTTGTGGACAAGGTGAGGTTCTGACCAGAGCACTACACTGCACTGATGAAATATCCCTTTTTAGGTTTGACTTTTGCACATAAGTACAGATATGCAAACATCTGAGCATAATGAACATGGTAGTTTGTAGCAGAGCTTTGTTTTGCTTTACAGAAAGGGAAATGGGGATATTGTTAATGGTATTTTCTAGCAATTTCTGTTGTATGTCTGTAAAAAGAGAGAAAAAAACTCCATTTCTACCTGTGCTTTCACCAGCCTCACTGTCTTTTAAAACAAAATTGATTTGGAAACTTTCTCTGTTTGAAGGTACCTCTATTTTTGCCTGTGACCTATTCTGCTTTTGACAGGTTTAAAAATGATTACTCTTTTTATGTTTTCAAAATTTCTAAACTTTTGCATGTATATTGATTAATATTCTTCTTCTTCTTATTATTATTATTAGTTTGGTGATGGTGCTGCTGTGCATGGTTCAAATGTTGTGTATTAAGTGCTTGTTATATGGAAATTGCTTAATTTAGATGAAAAGAAAAAGTTGAGATATTAGAATTCAAGTAAAAGGCCTGGAAACTGCTTTCCTCCACAGCAAATATGTCAACAGTTTCTCTGATAACTCCATTTATGCATATGCTTCGTTTGGTTCATTTTGCTTGATATGGTAATGTTACCTTTTCTTCTTGTTTGAAATATAATTCCTTTGTGAACAAATTAAATCCAATCTGCCAGAGGGTGTTCACTGTAATACATTGTACCTCACTGGAAACAAGTAAAAAGGTGGGATATAATAATCTGATTTCTTTTTTTCTTCTTTTCTAACCTTCTAAATCTAGTCTTTTGAAAAGAATATTTTTCTTTACTTAGGAATATCTTTTTATTACTTTCTTTGTTCAGGCATTATTATAGTACTTTGATGATTTCATGCATCTTGCATGGCAGCCCAGTACATGCTTACTTACATTAATGATGCACACTTGATAACAAATAAACCAATCATGTACTCACACATGAAAATTAAGCCATTAATGCTCATAGCAATTATGACAGACTGTGCCAGCATGTGGGTGGTAAGAGCACTACCAGTGCTGTTCAATTCACTCATATAAAAGTTTGGTGTTTCTTCACCTTATACATTTACGTAATACGGATTTCCTTTCCTGTCAAATGTCATAACTCTGTTGAAAACCTTATGTACAAGGGGTCTACTTATATTTAAGCACAGGAATAATTTTGTAGTTTACCTGCACTCCTTCCATAATGACATTCATGTGCCCTGTTTTTCTTCAGTAGTGTGTTGAAAGGGAGTTGTATTACTTGATGTGTTTTCAGAGGTAGTGAGAGTTGATGAGTCTCTGAACAATTTGTGTTTTCTGTATTTCTATAGTAAGTGCTTCTCTACTCTAAAGGGACTTTGTTTCATAGCCAGTGCAAGCATAAGATTAGATGATCCAGTTGGCTTGTAGAGGAAGTGGCATGCTTGCTGTTCGTTTGAAAAAAAAAAAAAGAATTCAAAGCTTCTTGTTTTAAGTATGCAAATTTGAGGTGGCAGGCTCATATTTAAGGTGTGCTTTTGTGAATGTTAAATACGTTTGTTATTTGGATTAAGGGAAATTGGTTTGTCTTGGTATCTTTGTAACAAATTTTTCTTGGATATGCTATCCCAGTTTCTTTGCACAAAAGGGATACAAAAAGGGTGCATTAAAAAAAAAACAGCTTGGAAATATTTTCATTCTTTTCTTGAAATTCTTACCAGTGAAAGATTTTGCCTGAAAAAAAGTTGTTTCGTGTATTACAGGATCTGGATTTGGGAATCGAATGTCTTGCATCAATTAACAAGTTAACCTTTACCTTCTTCTAGATTCCCAGCCATACTTGGACGTGGACCATGGAGCTGTGGGGGGTAATGGAGAGGTTCCCAACATGGCCGCCTTGAAACTGGATGATGACAGTGAATTTCCACCAATGACACACAAGAACGAGTGACATCATTGTCAGAAGGGATTGGAACAAATCTTGGCTTCGGTATATATTAATGAATCTAGGTCAGCTGAAGAAATGATTCTGATACAGAGCAGAGTAAGATGTGAAATGAATTGCATGTGCTTTTTTGAAGGAACAGCTGGAAGAAATATCATGATGTTTTTGTTATTGATTGTAAATAGAGTGCATAAATTATTTTCAATGAGTGAGGAATGGTAGAAGAGATTCAGTGAGAAGCGAGATCTACTAAGAATATATTGGTGTGTAACATGTCGCTTTTTGTCTGATATGTTTGTAGTATTTGAACTCTGAAAGGTGCTACCATTGAAGCCTCTTTGAATGAAAAAAAAATACAGGACTACTAACATGTTTTCTTTAATAACTGTTGATTGTGAACTTCACATTAGTCACATAGTCCCATTCAGTTTTATCAAGTTTGGTCAGTAATTGAAACAATGTAAGATTAAAAGGGAATCTTGATCTCTCAGGCTACTGATGTAAATAGTTTCAAAATAAGTGATGCGTATGAAATGAAAAAAGTTAAAAAGTCCATAGCTTAGACTCTTGGAATATTAAATTGTGGTAAAGTAGGGAGGTTAATCAACATTTTTATTCAATAGATATAGAATCTTATTATATGAAAACAGAAGGTGAATATCCATATTTTAAAAAGAATATGAACACTCAAAATGAACATATACTTTGAACAAAGTGGTAGTATTGATTAACCATGAGTACTTCATACAGATAGCTCAATCAACATAGTTAAAAAAAATGGACGCAGTTTTAACTTGTGTCCTTTTGTCTTCTAGCAACCAATATGATATTTTGTGTGCTTTATGAAAACTTTAAGATGTTAAAAAAATTGCCTTTTTATATTCATGTCCTTGGGCAGTAAACCCCATATAGTAACAATTGTGTGATGTAGAATTTACGCAGGTTAAATTTTGAAAGTAGTGAGTACATTTTTTTCCTTATAAAGCACCCCCTGGAGAAGTTTAGTCTGTGTTCAACTACCAATATTGCTTGCAGACACTTAAAATATACTTCTTATTGTGTTAAACTATAGATCTACACTGTTGTTGATAAAATGCAGCTGGTTTTATGTGAAGTCCCATTGCATGCTAGTAAGTTTAGCCTATTCAAAACTTGGTTTTCAGGCTTCCAAGTAAAAGTGCCACAAACATGAAAGAGGACATGGTTTGCAATTGCTTTTTCTTCTAAGGCAGATGCACATTTTTTTAAAAATCACTGTTGAAAGTAAAACAAGCACCATATCAGTTATTAAAAATTCTTTTTAATTCATCAAATGGTTTGGTTTCACCAAAGAACCATTGAAATTGATGTCATCAGCATGGTAATAAATTGTGATAAAAACTTCTATTGGAATTGATTGTAGTTTGATTTCTATTTTAGTAGTTTGTTAACTTTACATGCATCTTCCCCCTTCTGAGAAAGCAAAGTTATTCAAGATCTAATACCCCCTCATCCTGAATACTTTTGTTTTTAGTGATTGTACTTACTAAAAACAAAAGTATTCAGTAAGTACAATCACTAAAAACAAAAGTATTCAGGATGAGGGGGTATTTAGTGATTGTACTTACTCCTCCTTGTATCTTTGGGAATTGAAATCAAACGGAAAGACAATTTACAATATCCATCTCTTTTATTGCAGATCAAAGCATTAATACATGCAGATTATCTCTGCTTTCTTAATAAATAACAGTAAACATCTTACCAACTTGAAGCAAACCAAACTTTTTTTTCAAAATTGAAGTTAAAACAAAATTGGCAGATGCATAAATGCCAAAGAAGTTGAAAGAAAAAAAAAACTGATTTTAATCTCAGGAGATAGGTAGCGTCCAGGGTCCAGTTTCATCAGCACTGGAAAGAATCCATTGGAAATAATTATCCTATGGACAGTTATCCTGTAAATAAAGTGATGTTTCACAATAATTGTATACTTTTTTCCTGTTTTTGATGATACTATCCAGTGGTTATAAATGGGTGTTATCTGCAGTATAACTGTCCAGAGGATAAAAAATTATCCAATGGATAGTGGTATCCATAGGATATTATGCTATCCAGTGTGCATAAAAACTGGGTTCAGAAAGGCAATATAATCCCTTCCATTGATAGATGTATTTTATTACAACATGGTTTTCTCAGAAACATCCCAAATACATATTAAGCATTTGAAAATGACTTCGAAGTTTTACATCCACCAGAGAAAAGGTGAAGTAACGAAATGTCTGGCATCACTTAGCGTAGGGACAATTTCAACTTCTTGGTAGTGTGCACATTTCACACTCTCCCCTGCCTGGCTGGTTGAAAAATGTGCAATGTGCACAGGGCCATCCACGTATTGGTGGGAGGGGTTCAGCATTTGGTCCAACAAAAGATCCCTCCCTTGGCAGTGGGGTTGGAGATGGGACTGAAAATGATAAAATGTGATTACGAATGATGCAAAAAATTTGACTTCTAGTCCAGAGGTATCAATATAAAATACTTATAGATGATTTTCTGTAAAAATCACATGGTGCAATATTTTCAGTGTAGTAAAACTAGAAGACAGAAGAGGATGACCTAAACTTTACCATTTGCTTCCATCAGCTGTTCTACAGTTCCCCACTCTTCTGTTTTGGATAGGTGGTGTGCTAATGTCTCATCTTTGTTTCTCACTGCTTCTAATAAGCTATTCATGTGGTCCTGAAAGGAAAATTAATGCTTTTCTTGAAAACCCTAATATTAATGTTTCAATAAACAGAATGTGACAAGAATTGTAGCCCTAAAATTCTGAAGTTTCTACTTTAAATCTTTAAAGGTACATACGAACCGAGCATCGGTGGAACGTGGATTCCCAGTAACACATGTAAACCACTTCTACTAGATTCTTATATGACTCAAATAAATTTGACATGCCAAGGGATAAACTTAATAGATCACTCGATCAGCCATAAAAGACCTTTAGATTGCTCCTTTCTTTAAATTTATGGTTGTAAATTTAACCTACTTCCGTGACCTACTTTCCTGCCCCATTGACATACAGCTTAGAATGCCAGCAGAAAAATCTGTTCAAACATCATTTTCAGGTAAAATTGAACAATGCCTTTTGGTAATTCTCTTAGTTATACTACTTGAAACTATATGCTGGCATTTGGTTGGTTTTTGTGACAAAAAATTGACTTTGTTTGCATCTTTAAAGTATAAGAATAAAGAATAAAATTTATCCATTTAGCAAGCTTTAAATGTGAAAAGAAAAACCCCTTCATTTTTCATGACACTATCTTATTAAAATCTTTCAACCCTGGTTTCAAACTAGTGTGAGCATTAAAAATATTTATTTTGCCAATCGTAATCCCACTTCCTATTTTAACACAAAACTGAAGAATATAATTCCAACATAACAGCAATCTTTGTTAATCAGTGGAAAAATGGTAAGATTGTGCCCAAGTACACTACATTGTGATTGTTACCTTTGGTACAATCATAAACACAGGTATAAAAAATCAAGTATCTCACAACTAAAAATGAAAACAAACACCCAGGACAATACTCCCTCAGACTTCACATATGTACTACACTCCACAAATTTATGATCTTTCCTCTAAACCTACCTTCAGAGGTAGCATATCACAAGTAGCCAGGAAAATTAACAAATGGAAATCTGACATAGCATTGAGAAAATCTTCCCTTGTAAACTGGTGCATGTAGCTGGTCAGGGCATTAAAATCCTTAAAAAGTAAATTAAATGAAATAGAATGTTTTATAATAAATAATATATTTGCAATCCTATGCAACTAGAAACATTACACATTAAAAAAGAATTTTGTTCAGAGATAAGGAGCTTTGCATTATTCAAAGCAGTAAAAAATAATGGAGTGAAAAGATGCAACAAAGCAATAAATGTTTCACTTCCTGCCTAATTTACAAGAAATATGAAAGCACAGGTGATTTTGCTGGTTTATAATCAAGTTACATCTGTTCCCGAATTCCACAAATACCCACTAAAAGATATTTGGGAAAAAATCAAAAGAGATGAAAAACAATGGACTTTCAAATGTTGTGTTATCGAGTATACATGATTTTTAAACAGATCATAATTATTTAGCACAAGCTGACAATTTTCTTTCTATTTAAAAGTGTTATTTTGAACATTTCTAAACCTCAGCCTCCTCACCTGGATCTCCCCCACTTCTGCTCTGTTCTCTATGGGGAAAGGCTTGATGCCATCTCTGTAAAAGAAAGTATACTGCTGCTCCACAGGAAAGGCTGCTGCCATGTCTATGAGAAGGTACTCTACTGGAAGAGGACGGGCAAGCTGCATCACTTCATTGCCGTATTCATCTTTATCCTGTAGGAAAGTATTATAAAGTTATCTTATGCATAATCCAGCATTTCTCATTAAATTGCAGTGTTTCTATGCAGCATAATACATTCTACAGTATGCATAATATATGTAATACATATGATGTTTTGGTATTGAGGGATAGCGAAAGATTAAGTGAACAGTTGAGAAATGTTTAGTGCATGATGATATATGTACATGTATAAGTATATGCTGCACAATTACAATTTACACAGGCAGCCATCTATGCTCTGCAATTTTTATATGCAAGTATTATTCAGAAAGTGCACTTGCCTTGTAAAACACATCTGGCACATACTGCTTGTTTGACGATTCCTTGATAAATCCCAGTTCTGGGGCATCTTTAGTGGGAATAAAACAGTCATCTCTCACCAAGGCCATGCATTGATCTGACACCTGGTACCCTTCAAAATGAATCTGTCCTGAAGCATCTCCTGGAAGATAAATCAAACAAATATAAGTCAGCTTATCAGCTTTGAAATCAAATATAAAGAATATTTTTCATGAGTGTGGCCAGAGGTAGCCTGACGGCCAACTGATCTGAAGAATTTTAAGATACTTTTATCATGTTGAGTCTGACTTCATTTGCCACTACTATCAGAGAACAGGGGTGATGTCCAAAAGGCAATCTTTGAAGTCAATTTGCCATCATTATCTGAGAAATAAAACTTAAGCTTAATGCGCCCTTATACTGCAGACTTGCACCCGATTATGTCCAATACCATCTCAGAGCATGCTTTTGGAAAATCATGTTAAATAGTGTAAGTGTAAAAAGTAATTAATTTTATAAAATAATAATAATAATAATAATAATAAAAGTATTAACAGTAAACTGATGGCAATTTGAAAAGGAGCCATGGACAAACTTAAAACTGGAAAAAGAAAAGATATTATTTTCTCAAATCAATTTGCTATCCAAAAATGTTGACGTCTACCTGCCCTGTAATAAAGAATATTTAAACTTACCTGTTACTACAACAGTGACAAATTTTGATCCAAAATGCCCATCTGGAGAAAGCTTACAAGGGTTGGGGTGTTTATTCTGAAACTCTGCAGCCATGATGCATTCTTCTGCACTTAAGAAATGGGTATCCTGGGGACCAAGCATTTACATGCGATTTAGAATGCAGTTGTTTTTATAACATACAGACAGCAATCCCCATTGAGCCACAACACATACTTCAATATGGTCAATGTTTGTGCTTCTTAATGCTACTTCATAGTGACTTTATCTCCTAGAAAATGGGCAATACGGTTTAAGCTATACAAAAATGCAGTGTTCAACATATCTGTAGAGGCGAAAACAGACAAATCAAATCTTGAATAATTCTTATTCTATTTGACAGCTCAGCCCCTCTATGAACATTACAAACAACTGCTTACTGTGTTGGTTTTGAAACAGATATAAGATACAATATCACATTTCCAAAAAGGTAGACCTAAAGGACCACTTAGCTTAACAACATGACATGGTTAACAGATTCATATTCATGCTTTAAAAAAAATTAATTAACTTTACCACAGTTCCTCTGTAATGCTTTACTGTTCCAGTCTTCAAGTCCTTGGCTATTAAATCTGTAAAAATCCACCCCACTTTTTGCAAGCCAAGCTGAGCAGCTATATTACTGACTAGTTCCTCTTTCTCATCTGGTAACAGCTCTACACTGTCTCTTCCACTTACCTATACATAAAATAAATTCTCCATCAATGAAAAAAAGAAAAATAATAAAATAGGTTAAATTCAGTTTTTCTAATTCTTAACAGATTACTCTTCTTACAATTAACTGCTGAAAACTAATTGCTTTCACATGAAAGGACATCAATAAAAATGAGGCTATGTATAAATTTGGCATCCTTTTTTAATTTTATTAGAAAATTCGAAGATTCATTGGTCTGAAACTGTTTTTTTTTTTTTACATTTGTGCAGCAGTTCATTGCTCTGAATTTCAGAGGCAATTTCTATAAGAAAAAGCTATAAAAACATTTCTCTTTTAAATTTCATACTTGTGGTGGTTCATAGATGGCTGAAACTGTAGCTCTAATTCCTAGAGGAATGTCTTTATGGTGTTCATATTTCCCATACAGAAAGCCAATTCTTTGGTTGCCACTGCTGCGCCAATAGTTGAAAAAATTGTCTACCAGGGCATGGTTCTCAAACATAATGTAGTCAACATGCCGGAATTTCTGAAATCAACAAACATAAAAAAAATTCTAAAAACATGACTAAACATACTTAGTAAACATCAATCAATTCAGGTTTAAGCAGTAAAATAATCAATAGGAAACATGACTTATGATCACTATTTTCATTTTACCCTGCACTAAATGCCATTTTGAAAATAAAACTTCCCAAACAAGTTAAAAAACAGTGTACAGCAATTGTTGATGTAAGTTTTAAATGTGAACAATGATTTTATCTATAATATCTGTCTAAAAATTATTGGTGCACAGGGAATACATAACTGTGTCTCTCGGTTAAAACTACAAGGTGACCTAAAAAAAAAAAAAAAAAAAAGAAATCGACCAAGATAACTAAAACTTTTGGGAATGATGATGCACATATTGAAGTTCAAGTCCAGCAAATTTCTTGAATGGGTTTAATAAATTTTTTTTTTCTTTGGGGGGGGGAGGGGGGGGCACCCTGTAGTTCCATGCAGAGTGTCTCAACATTCTCACCTGTCTGCTCAGAGTGACTGCACTGGGCTGACACTTTGTACAGATACCACCAGGCCAGGGTGGGTGCTCTTTACAGCCAGGCTTGATTTTACAACTTAAATTTTCCAAAGTTGCAAATTTTCCTCTGAAATAACAATGTTAAATATCTGAAAACTAGGCACTGAAGGAGCATATCTATCTTTTACTGTTTAAAATGAATATAAGCAACATTCAATGAGTAAAAATCACAATATTTCACTTCAATGATGTACAGGTACTATGCAGGAAAATGGATGGATGTCCAACTGATAAATTAGGTTAAACCTGTGCATAAATTCACTTTTTTATCTGATATCTATCAAGGTTAATACATTGCAATGTCACCTACTTGTCAACTCCAGATTTCATTCTTCTTATATTTGAATGGAAAGATAAAAACTTTATAGGTGGATCTGCTTGTTTTAGATACTGCTCATCATATGGCTGAAAAAAGAACACGACCAATATCAAACAATGAGCATTAAATTCAATATAATTAATGATCGGATGTTTTTTTTATACCCAAAGAAAACATATTTTAAACAGACAATTTGAAAATCAATTTTTCTATTTTACTATATAATTACTGAGAAGTAACCCAATAAGTCATACCTCTAGCGGAACACAATGAAGACACTTCCCTGAGCTACCATGATGACATCTGGAAAGAAGAAAAAATTGTCACACCTTGAGAAAATATAATACTTCAGAATCTACTAAAACACTGCAGAGGGTATAGAATCTACAAAGATTCGAAGATTCATTGGTCTAATACCTAATACAGAGTGTATAGTACAGACACATTAGTTAAAAACTTGTTCAATATTCACTTTCCAGCTAATTTCTTTCATGCTAGTTTAATTCAACGGTAACAGCTAATCAAAAAATCAGTTTTTAACTTACAACTGTTCATTTTTTGATCTGTATATCTTCCCATCCATTTTTTCCAGCAGCTGATCCACCTCATCTTCCACAACATCACTACCTAATACTGGCCTGCTGTCATCAGGGACATTAGCAGCAGGCACTGGGGAGCTGGAGACCTCAGGAAACGGGGTATGATCACCTTCAACTCTTGCCCCACAGGTAGGAAACAGGTAAAGCATATCCCCATGTCTGTAATTCAAACAACAGTTATATCTAAATAGCTGTAAATGGCCTCGATTTAGTGGACAACTCAGACTGAATATTTCATATTAAACTATATAAGTGTACAAGTGAGCTTCCTGGAACTTGTAACTGACAGCCAATACTTTTGCTTTTAATTTCACATTCTGTTCTTTCTTATTTTCCATAAAATTTTCAAAAAATACAAAGGTGGTAAATAGATAATTCAAAAGCATTGTATCCTGGGAAGGGGGTGTTGTCTTGGGGGGGGGGGGATAGTCCTGGAATCGATAAAAACATGTAGTATCTAAATTGACTACAGTTATCTTCTTAACATGTCATGACAGAATTGAAGGAGTTAATTCAAATAGATATTTCCCATGGGCTTACTTGAGATTATATGAAACAAGACTTCTGGATCGTGAACCTTTCAATTCTTCTGTTTTGTCTCTGCCTTTATACACACTCCAGTCTGCTCTGGATACTCCAAACTCTTTGCAAACCTGTTCCAATTAAAATATTTATTTATGATTCAAATCCTTACTGAACACAACCCAATATAATGGAAAACATTGATTATGAATATTTTGTCTACTCACAAAAGTTCCTTTTATCTTCAAAAACTGTTCAATAAAACTTATTCCTCTGTTTAAATGCTGTACATGTACTTGCTGTGTGATGTCATACACCAACCTTTTCTACAAAATCAATGATTTTCTCCGATGTTGTGACTTGAAGACGCTTTGTTCCATGTTCTGGTGACTGAATTCTTAAAATCTGAAGGAAAAATATACAAACAGAGATAGAAAGTCATTGATAACAAAATATTAATTTGCATCATGCTCAAAACATTTGACATCAAGTAAATGCCGATCATATGACTATGACAATAGAAATACTGAAAAAAGTACAGTGAACGACACGTGTCTTCATAAACACCACTATATTGAGTAGGAGCCCCATCTTAAAAATCGATATGTAAAAAGGAGTTTTCCCGTTTTGTTTTACATTTGACAAATATATAAAACAGCTGATTCATTCAATTATTCGTTATCTAGCAGACAACAGTCTGAAGTAAACGTACACAATAGTAATTCTCGTCTCACTGGCAAAAAAATCGTCCAAACCTTTTAAAGATAAAGTCCCGGTGTTCCTTATCTAGAAACTTACCAACTGTTTGCTCATCTTGGCAGTCCAGTGTCCTCGAAAAATCACACAACGACAAACAGGAAATTTTCTACTGCACTGACTCGGCCATGTTAGATCTCGCACCTGCCGGTATCGGTAAGACGTGAACTAGAATTTTTAGCTCCTAGATGAATATAATAACAATAAATACCGTGTTTTGTGGTTAAAAACATTTACTGCTGAATATTTGCATCAAAGTCCTTCCTGACAAACGAACAGTTCATGTAAATCTGGAATATATGAGCTTATAATCATACTCGATATTGGGTTCGTCATGACAAGTTGCTGGTGTAAACAATCATGGCGGACACAGGAGCTATTTTCTTGGCAAAAAACTTACTTGAAGAAAAAGGTGAGGCCAGTATGATGGAAATAATATGATATAATGTACAAAATGAAAAGGAACTAAACTTGTCTGCTTTGTAATAATTTTAGACAAGGACAACTTCTAAGTATCTAGAAATGGGATTAAATCTTGTGATGTACATGTAGAATTTCCAGACGGGAGTAGTTTACTAGCACTACTGGTAGGTAATAGTACACGCCTGTAAGTTGGCTGTAACCGTAGGTAGATTCTAATCAGTACAGTTGCTGTGCGGTGACACCTCCGTCATTATACCCAGTAAGTGAGTGTGCCATTTTAAGAACTTACTCTGCTACTTACCGACAGAGAATGGCTTTGAACTGAGCCAAAGTAAGAATGTACTTCGTTTTTAATTCACTCTACCGGGTCTTTACTATGTTCGCTTGCCTTACGTTCGTGTTAATATTAATGGGTCCTGCATTTAATACTACTCTTATGTCTTTATGTAATATGTAATATGTTGTATGTTGTATGTAATATGTTGACCCAAGTCTTTTTCCTTGATAAAGCATAACTGCACATATACTGTATAATTTCTTGTGCTAATACAACATATAATTTGTCTCTTTTAAATCTTTCTTAGTGCTGTTAAGAAGACCTCCATCAGGATCAAGAGCAGGCAAAGCATGCACTTCTGCATATGCCAGAGAGCTTTCTTCCACAACAAAATCCTCAAAACTCTTCCAGACAAACCATTCTCTTCCACCAAGACCAGCCACTAAAGATGGCAAACAAACAAGTGATATTAAGAATATGTACACTGGGATGAAGAAAAGGATACAAAGTGCTCATCCAAAACTGGAAAGTTCCCAAGGTCATTCTGCATATTATGATACAGGACAAGATAGTATAGATGATAGATTGAAACCTAATGTGTACAGCCTATCAGAGCACAAGAAAGTATTTGGGAGTAATTCAGATCTTATAACTGAGGCAAAAGGAGAGAGATGTCCATATAAACTAGAGACATCACCTAGAGAATTCCTGCCAGGTGTTCTCCACAAGCCATGTGCAAGGTAGCCTATTGTGAAATGTTTTAGTTTTACTGTGAGCCACACAAATGTATCTTATTACAAATACCATTACAATATTAAGAAAAACTGGAGCAGTGTATTAAATGTATTTCTTTATTTTAGTAGTCTGTAAGTAAATTTCCTTCAAATAACTTGGCATTCAATACATAAGAAATTATCGGTTAACAGCACAAAATATGATAGACTACTATAAAACATGCTTAAGCGAATTATTACATAAGAATACTCAGTAGGTGGTATTTTTATGCTTTTTCCACCAAAATGCTACAAGTAAAGGAAAAGTCAGTATAAAATTCTGTTACAGTGAATAAATACACCAATGTTGATGGTATTTTTTAGGCAACTTCCATCTAGTTTAAAGCCATTGGCACCATGGCTCACACCAGAGATCCCACCTCGTCTTATAGGTATGAGTCCAAGGGATGGTTTGATTTTCTTACCAGGATTTCCTAATGACTATGAGGACCTCCCTACAGTTCCACCTGTACAGAATCCAGAGGATGATTTGCCATATAAAAGCAAAGTTAAAGAACCAGAACCGTGGGTAAGATTATTTAGCTGTAACCTTTTCAAAATGTTCCTTTATATCTAAAATGCAAAATAGCATATTATAATATATTATTCTGGATTTTTGATGACAAAATGATTAACTTAATCTATTGACTAAATAGCTTGATGAACTGTATACACATATACTGTATATGTATATAGCTCATTGATTGGCTTTAAAAGTAGAGATGTCATAGATTAAAAACACAGTAGTAGTGTATTATGAATTTGCATGTATAAACACTGGGGATGATAGTAGATAAGTAGTCAACTCTTTAAAATTACTTTAATCATTTGACATTTTAGGCACCAAAGAGGTACAGATATTATAGGGTAAGAAGTTACATTTTTTTCACTAATAATTTTTCTCTTAAATTGACAGAAAGTGTCTGGAGAGTTCTGAAAAAGAAAAACTGGTGTTACTTGAAATGTAAATGGGTCTGAAACTTGTCATCTGACAACCAGTTTAATTCAAAAGGAATTTTTAATTAAAAAATTTCAGAGTCTGATGGTTGTCACATAGAAAAACTTCAGACATCTTAATCCTGTTTTAAATAGACTTTTGATTATGTCTGCAGAGTTTTAAGTTAAATTTAATCTAAAATGAAGAAACTTTATTTTTTAATTAATTTATTTTATGGTTATCATATTTTATTTGTTTAATTAATTATTTTATTGTTATTTTTTAACACTGCCTTTTTTTTCAGAATCCCACCCCGGTGCTTGAGGACTGGATGTGCAAACATGCTGGACAAAGACAAGTCAAAGTGTTTGCAAAGGATGGAACACTGTTACATGAGTGAGTTTTATCCCAAAATAACTGATGAAATAAATTAAATGTAATAATGAGAACTTATGGCAATTGTACAATTGATATCTAGAAGGACATAAAACATAACCTAGCTAATACACTAAAACCATAATCTTGTGCTAAGCAGCTTATGAAACCTGTAGTATATTTTTATTGTTTTAGAATAAACTTTTTCACGACACTAATGTTAGCTATTTTTATCAGGCGTTTTGAAGGGAAAAGGACAGCTGATGTGGTTAGAAAAGAAATACAGGAATTGGAGGACCTTATGAGGGGTATTTAAATTTGATTTTATTACAAGTATAAATCCATTTATTGAAAAGCAATTCAAGATAGAGGACATTCGCCCCCTCCTTTCATGTCTGCTTGATCATATGGTACTTAGCAGAAATGTCCGTTGCATTCTATCATGCATAGACTGCTGTATATTTTGATAGGGGATCAGGTGCAGATGGCCTTCTTCTGGATATTTTCAACTTTTCTTTTATGAATGAATGTAGCTCCAGTAATTTTGATTCTGACGTGTGTGTGTGTGTGTGTGTGTGTGTGTGTGTGTGTGTGTGTGTGTGTGTAGCTATGTATAATTTCTGTCAAAACCCCACTTCCATTTGTAGGCATTGGGACAGAGGGAGGTACCAGTATTGTAGTGCAATATCAGGCTGAGATCACCAAGTTAAAAGAAATGGTGGATGATACATTAGCAAGGGTTATTCACAGGTACTTTTTCTGTTAAGATCTGTTATTATACTTAGCAGTGGAAGTAGAAATAGTTGTTGTCATAGTGGTAGTGGTGGTACTGTAGCAGTAATAGTAATAGTAGTAGTTGCAGCAGCCACAGTGGTGGTAAATGGTGTACTTTTTCTTGTTGATTTAACTGTGGTATGTTTGTTGAAGAACAAACAACATAGAAAAGTTAACAAGAAATGAACATTTAGAAATTCATATGTAGTATGTTGACAATAAACCTGATCAAATGTTCCAATTGTTTTAAGTGAAATCTTTAAATTTTGTACTACAATTTAAATTGACTTTAAGATATAAATTGTAATACTGCCACGTTTATGGAATTGATAACTTTCTTTGTTTTTAATACCATATTAATTTGAGAGTGCTTTATTCCGATTTCAGAGATACAGAAACAGAACCTGAACCAACAGACTATGTGAGTAGAGATGGACATCTTTATTCTTAGCACTTGCCTGTAATGAACATTTCAAAGATAAGGAATATATAAGTTGAGGAAGAGAATTATAGAAAAAATATATACAAGTTCTAGTGTTGCTGGTGAATCGGCTAGTTATTACCTTTCATTATCTTTTGTGACTGAAGGTACCTATTCATCATATTATAATTATCAAAATGGAAGACAAAAACAATTATAAGTATTCAGCAATTTGAAATCAATCTACATTCCCACTTCATAGCAAACCAACACCTGAAAGCTTTGCAGATGGGACAGTATAACACCTGAAATTATGCACATTGAGAATGCGTGTCTTTATGTCTATCATCAAGGCAACCATTCATCAGTCACATCCCATAAATAATTAATTTCAAGTTTTGATGAGAAATATTTCTAAAGAACATATCTAACTTCAGTAACTTTTTTTTTCAGTGTGGTTTAAGAAAGTTTTACAAACACCATGATGCTGTAATGGATCAAATCAAAAAACAACATGAGCTGTGTGTGCAAGAGCTGGCAGAACTAGAGTCGGACATGGAGATGGAAGATGAGAAAAGATATTTTTCTAAATCTGTCATGAGTTAAAAGTGAATACAGACACATAGTGATGACTTTTATGTAAAATATTTAGTTCTTGACAGTTCTTCAAAATATATTGCACCTCTATGTGCAAAAATAACACTTTATATTAAAATATAAAGAAGAACAATTTCTTTTAAAACATTAAATTATGATATTTATATAAATTGTAAAGCAATATTTTTCTCTTTCAACAAACAATTAAGGAGGACTTTCATTTAATATCATTTGACTGTTACCATTTACTGTCTCACTGGCACTGACACTCCATTATATCATTCCTTCATTTTCATTTTAATTTAAAAAAACAAATTGGTTAAATTGTTCATAATATATGCACCTTGATTGTCTTGTAACATATACAGCTGACAGGTAAAAGAAAAACAAGACTAATAAAATAATCATATTCATTAACTTGTTTCATTAATCTTTATTAAATCATGTATTAATATATGCCCAAAAGGGGATAGTGTCACATATTTCAAGTGACAAGAGGCACACTATCAACACTATGTCAAAATAAATATTTCAATCATGTGAAGATTTAAAAAGACATTGTTGACAAATAGAAATATATTTCTGAAAATTGTTTCTGTCTTGTTTGCTGCTTACATAGTATATGAAACCAGTAAAGCCCCCTTTACACTGGACGGCGTCCTTTCTGCGTCCAGCAGTACGACCCCATTTGAGAGTTAAAAAATTATAATACTTTACGTGCCGACAACTGGCCGATCATTGAGCATTCATTTTCATGCAAAACCAATGCTCCTGCCTTCTAATTAAGACCACAGTGATGCCAAATTTCATGGTCGCAGAAAGGACGCCGTCCAGTGTAAAGGGGGTATAACTGTAGTAATTAGGATACTATTTGACAGGTACCTTTCCTTGAAGAATTGGTATCAGTTTATCCGTGTCAATGTTTCCTCCAGATATAACACATACAATGTTCCCAGTGCCTGCTTTCCCAGCCAGTGCTGCTGACACGGGGGCCGCACCAGCACCTTCTGCCACAACACGATTTCTCTCCACCAATAACTTCACTGCATCTGCCACCTCCTGTAAACTGACTACCAAAGAATCTATGAGAAGTTCCTTTACCATTGGCCACATCTCATCAAGTACGGACTTCCCTCCCATGCCATCCACAAAACTTGCCTTGTAATCACAGGAAGTAGGTTTTTGTATCTTGAATGACTCAGCCAGCGGTGCAGCAGTTTCTACTTCACAAGCGTACATTCTGGCACTAGGTTTGAGAGCATGAAAAGCTGAGGCAATGCCACAGCTTAGTCCACCACCACCAAATGGCATTATTACAGCATCAACTTCTGGAAGGTCTTCTAAAATCTCAAGTCCAATAGTACCATTACCTATATCAGAAAATTAAATTGACAAAGAAATACAGAGCATATATTATTTTTTCATTGGGCTGGTTTCTTAGACAAGAGACTATAAAGACGTATTTGCATTTGGACTGATGGGAAAAGGAGATATATTAAATCAAGAGCACCAAGAAAGTAAGTTTCGGGGATAACTGAAAACAAAATAAAATGATGTTAGTTTCCATTTATCTCTGATCGTAACACAAGGTGCAGACAACCAGTTTCCAATTTTTAACTATCATATCAAGCAATTTGTAGTCTTAACAAACCTGCCATGACAGTCTTTTCACAAACTGGATGAATGAAGGTCCCGGCAACTCCATCGTAGTGATGCTCCTGAATGACTGTCCACCATGTATTAAAAGGCACCTTGCAATATTTTCCACCTAGTCTCTCAATGGCATCTAATTTGGTCTGTGGTGCATGGTCTGGAACAATAGTATTACATGGTATCTTCATCTGCTTGGCTCCCCATGATAAACCCTGGGCAAAGTTCCCAGCACTGGCTGTGTAAACACCATTAGATAGTTTTTCATGTGGAATACAGTTGATAGCGTTGTAAGCCCCTCTTAATTTGAATGAACCAATAGGTTGTAGGTTTTCAAGTTTTAGGTAAATCTATAGTGGATAGAAGAAATTGAAAATGCTATCATCATCAGTTATTGGCTGGATGTACTGGTACTGTATATGTACATACTGTACCTACATGTACATACTGTACTGTGTCCTATAAAAAATAAAAAATACATGTATACGATATCAAAACAGGTTAACCATACACAGAGTACCCTGTATGTGTATTTTATTGTTAACTGCCACAAAGTCAAATGAAGCTCCTGTACATTGACCAGTTGAGTAACGGGGGTAGAGTACATGTACATCTTGCAGTTATATATTTTATACCCCAGTACTAGTACTGCAGCTGTTCTGGGTATGTCTTCCGTATGGATTTCCTCTAAATATATTGGAGGCAAATGACAGGTTTACATTGGCGCACAGAATAACCTCTTATGACAACTGCACGTTTGTTCCAGTGAACAGCAGTACAACCCGTACTAGCATATGTTTAAACTACTTCTTACCTTGATACCTTCTGCAGCAGAGTAATTCAATGGGACAAGCGGCGTTCTTAAAGCTGTCCCCTTTAATGTCGTTTGTGCACTTTGGATATCTTTCAATGGAACTGCAAGCGACATGGTTTATTGCCTCTCTATTTAATCTAATAGTTATTTTCCCTTAGTGATCCTGATGGCGCTGTTGACTGTGCTCTGCATGTTACACCCCTCCAACTATTGACACCTGTGACCCATTTAAATGACCTAGTTTCAATGTCCAATCAAAAGGTTCCATACATACCCTCAAGCAAGTGCGTGTTGACATGTTTTGAAGTGTTTCTGCAACTGAAGCCATATCTGATAATTGCAGCATATGTGATTTCTCTAAAGCTTGATCTACTATTGTAAATGACAACTTATATGTTAAACTAGTTTGTGTACTTCTGAAGTTGGTTTTTATTGAGACAGAATCGTTGTAAGTAGTACTGTAAGTAAATGGTACATGTACTCGTGACGTTGGTACCACATGTACTGTACCCTCTACCAGGTCCTCAGGTTTACGTGCACTTATCTCTGGAGAAACGTGTCATGAATTAACCAGAGACATATCCAGGGGCGTAACCAGACCTTTTAAAATTGTACGCACAGATTTTGAAAATTCCCAGGTACGATTATATTCCGTGAAAAATACACTGAATTTATGGAGAATAATACCATGGTTGGCTCAAAAAATTGTACGCACAGTGCATCCGTGCGTATGCCTGGTTACGCCCCTGATATCTGTGGAAAATCTGGTGAAAAATCAATCTGTGGTCCTGGTAGTACGATAATACTTCCATTTACATTTTAGCAATTGGATTTTAGTACATGGAAATGTTATCAGGAGAAACTGTATATCTGTATCCCCTTACCCAGCACATCTCTTTTGCTCCTTGTATTATGTATGAGGTTCCCGGTGAAGAGGATACATGGATTAATCCACCTACATCCAGATGATTAATCTGTGACGATATCAAGATTGACTTTCTTTGGAAGGAGAAAGGATGCGACTTTGGGAATAAATCAACTTTCTCTGTTGACTAAGGATAAAAATGTTATACCCTGTAGATGCAAATTATATCCACATAAAAAGAATTGATTCAAATGAAAAGTACATTTTTATGCCAAAATATGCAATCATACAAAGGGAGTTTGGAGTCTCTACATAAATGATTGTCATAGAATAATTAAAATTTATGTTTTGAAAATTATGTTTGTGTGCATTGTTTGTCTCACATCTGTGTAGACTACATGTACTTACAAAAGAACATTTGATCAGGCATAATGCAAGTTGTTTAAATTTCATGTTGGTAAGAGTCCCAATTAGTATCACAATGGCATGCTGTTCTTATACCAAAAAATTATGTTAAATAAATTTATTGTTAACAGTTGCTCGTTCCTACCACTTTTAAAAGTAATGAATCAGTTGACTGTCTACATCATATTGCAATAATTTCTTTCTTTTCTATTTGGAACCTTCATTTTAGTTCACCCCAAGACATTTGAAAGGCTCTGTGCTACATCTCATCAGGGAATTATATCCGATATAACTCCCTGATCTCATTGAGTACCAGAGTACTATGAAGAAGTATGAAGTGAATTTTTATTGAATGACAAATGATAACCTTAGACAAAATTATTAAATCTCAATTCAGGTACATATTTAAAGATAAAGCTTTCTTAAATTGGGCAAGAAGGTTCCATCCTTACTATGACATTTCATGTGCTTTGTGCAAGATATTTTAGTAGCAAATATTTCTAGCCAATAATGATACTGAAACGGTTTCTTACTACAGTACTGTAGTACTGTGCATTTCATGCAACACTATTTTATACCTTCAACTGATGTTTTATGTCAGACCACACATTTAAAAGACATGGTGTGAATCATTTCTATATAATAATATATAATTTCTATATATCTAATAATTCCTGTAAAGCCTTTTTTGTTTTGGCAAAATTGGTGATTAGTTTTCGATGAGAAATAACAGGTAGTACTTTGCAAAAGGTTAGCAGCACTGGTACTCTTACAGCCTTTCTTCAGAGTGGCTCCTCTCACGTTATGTCCACTTGCCTTTAGTCCAGAACTTTTTAACACAAAAATTATGTTCAAGCTTTATTGTACTGAAGGTTATCTCACAGCACTGACACCAACAAAGCTTTATTTCCATAATGCAGTAATTTTTATTTGTTCTTCAGATTTATTTTTGTTAATAAAAGCCTTTTTTAAAAATTAGTGTTTCTTTCAGCATAGTATTGGCATTTGTACAATTTGATTCTAGCCTTACATTCTTAAAAGATATCTATTAATTAATTCATTCTATTTGGCTTTGAGTAAAAAAAAAAATACTATTGATAAGGCCTACTAGCACATCTAATTTCAAAAGGTGTGATCATAGTCTTCTGTTACTAACAGGCTTTTATGAGCTGTCACCTTTTTAATCCCTACCCTCACCCCACTGGGAACTGTAACATCCTAGTATTGGCTTTGTATTTATTGATCATCAGTACATGACCCATGAACAATGTAAAAAGTGAACATGGCAGCCATTCAGCTTCAGCCCCAGGCTTAAAAGCCATTCAATTGTCTCTCCGAGGTTAAAGATTATTAAAATTTGTTATTGGTTGTGATTTTTTCAGTCCTAGTGTAGTTAGTAACTGATAAATTTTTCTAAAGGGGTAATGCGTGTTGTTGTTTAAATCTGGAATAAAAATAGCTGTACTTAATTTTACTTAAAATGGTTTACAGTTGTGATTATTTCCAGTCACATGAAAGAGGTGCAACAAGCTTTTTGATCAAGAGTGTATATCAATAGCTGTCACTCAATATGTCTGACTTCAGAAGCCTCTCCCTATGCTTCATATGTTTGTTATGTCACCAAAATACATGCAAAAAGCATAACATTTGTAATAATAATTTGATCTTGCTGATTTTCTTGGAACAATCTCTTTTTCTATCACACAAAGCCATCCAGTAAAATTACAGTAAAACAAACAATGTGGTTTGGCAATTATATGGTGCACAACTCACTAACACATTAGACAGCATCAGAGATGGTAATGACAAAAGACATACACAAGTGATCAGAATGCATACAGACAGATCCAATGGAGAGGGGAATTTAAAAAATGATAGCTCATAAAAAGTTGCCTGTGTAAGGAGGTTATCACACATTTTTAGAAACTAGAAATAAAGGCCTAATCAAAAATCACTTTATGCATTTATCTCCTTTTGGGTAATGAAAAATGTCTGTCTCCAAGCATTTATATTGTCTGAGTGTTTATAGTCAGCTTAGCATCTGCAGGACTTGTCTTGCCCNTTGCTCAACCGAATAGAATTATATTTTCTGCAACTACGTATCTGATAATTGCAGCATGTGATTTCTCTAAAGCTAGATGTACAGTTGTAAACGACAACTTATGTTACAGTAGATTATTTTGCTAATTTGTGTACTTGTGAAGTTCGTTTTTACTGAGACAGAGAAGCGTTGTGAGTACCTGTAGTGGTACACGTGACGTTAGTACCACACATGTATTGGTACCCTCTACCAGGGCCTCGATCAGATTTACGTGCACTTTTCTCTAATAGTGGAGAAAAGTTTCATGAATAAACGAAAGACATATCTGTGAAATATCTGGTGAAAAATCAGTCTGTGGTCCAGATAGTATGATAATACCTCCATTTACCCCCATATAATATTTATATTTTAGCAATTGGATTTTATATGGAAATGTTATCAGGAGAAACTGTATCTCTCCCTTCCCCTTACCTCATTGGAGGCAGCATCTCTCTTTTGCTCCTTGTGTTATGTATGAGGTTTCTGGTGAAGAGGATACCTGGATTAATCCACCTACATCCAGATGGTAAATCTGTGACAATATCACATCTAGATTGACTTTCTTTGGAAGGAAAAAGGACGTAACTTTGGGAATAAATCAACTTTCTCTGTTGACTAAGGATAAAAATGTTATAGATGCAAATTACATCCACATAAAAAGAATTGATTTAAATGAAAAGTACATTTTAATGCCAAAGTATGCAATCATACAAAGGGAGTTTGGCTTTTTCTTGCAGTCTCTACATAAATGATGAATAATTAAAATTTATGTTTTGAAGTTTTGAAAATTATGCTTGTGTGCATTGTTTGTCTCACATCTGTTTATGCTACTTACAAAAGAACATTTGATCAGGCATAATGCAAGTTGTTTAAATTGCATGCTGGTAAGAGTACCAATTTTTATCACAACGGCAGGCTGTTCTTACACCAAAAACTTGTGGTAAATAAATTTATTATTAACAGTTGCATATTCCTACCTCTTTTAAAAGTACAGTAATGACTTGGTTGACTGTCTACATCATATTATAATAATTTCTTTCTTTTCCATGAGGAACTTTCATTTTAGTTCACCCCACGACATTTGAAAGGCTCTGCTACATCTCATCAGGGAATTATATCCGATATAATTCCCTGATCTCATTGAGTACCAGAGTACTATGAAGTAGTATGAAGTGAATTTTTATTGAATGACAAATGATAACCTTTGACAAAATTATTAAATCTCAATTCAGGTACATATTTAAAGATAAAGCTTTCTTAAATCGGGCAAGTAAGTTCCGTCCTTAATGTGACATTTCATGTGCTTTGTGCATGATATATTAGTAGCAAATACTTCTAGCCAATAATGATACTGAAAAGGTTTCTTACTACAAGGAGTTATAACTCGTTGCTTACTAGTACTGTGCATTTCATGCAACACTATTTCATACCTTGAACTAATGTTTTATGTCAGACCACACATTTAAAAGACATGGTATGAATCATTTTACACATTGTAAAAATAATTCCCGTAAAGCTTTTTTTTTTTTTTTTTTTTTTGCAAAATTGGTGATTAGCTACCTCCGCCAGGGAGGTTATGTTTTCACCCGTTCGTTTGTCTCTCTGTCTGTCTGTCATTAACATAACTCAAAAAGTTATCGACCGTTTTTGATGAAATTTTCAGGAACTGTCAGAAGTGGGCCAAGGAAGAAATAAGTTTTTGGTGGTGATCCGGATCAATAATCAATCAATAATCAAAAATATCGAAAATTTAGGGGTGAAATGGCATTGGATGGAGACTTTGCTGCCTTGGTGGAGGTCTGCGCTCTCTGAGTGCTTTTCTAGTTTTCAATGAGAAATAACAGGAAGTGCTTTGCAAAAGCTTAGCAGCAATGGAACTTTTACAGCCTTTCTTCAGAGTGGCTCCTCTCATGTTGTTTACCTGCCTTTGGTCAAGAACTTTCTAACACAAAAATTATGTTCAAGCTTTATTGTACTAAAGGTTTTCCCACAGCATTGACACCAACAAAGCTTTATTTCCAAAATGCAGTAATTTTTATTTGTTCTTCAGATTTATTTTTGTTAATAAAGGCCTTTTTAAAAATTAGTGTTTCTTTCAGCATAGTATTGGCATTTGTACAATTTGATTCTAGCCTTACTTTCTTAAAAGATATCTATTAATTAATTTATGCTATTGGGCTTTGAGTCATTACAAAAAAATAAAAAAAAAAAAAAAAAAAAAAAAAAAAAAAAAAAAAAAAAAAAACTATTGATAAGGCCTACAAGCACATCTAATTTCAAAAGGTGTGATTATAGTCTTCTGTTACTGGCAGGTTTTTATGAGCTGTCACCTTTTTAATCCCTACCCTCACCCCGTTGGGAACTGTAACATCCTAGTATTGGCTTTGTATTTATTGATCATCAGTAGGTCATGACCCATGAGCAATAAAAAAAGTGAACATGGCAGCCATTCAGCTTCAGCCCCAGGCTTAAGAGCCATTCAATTGTCTCTCAGAGGGTAAAGAAAGAAGACGGGCAGAATGGCTATGGAGATTGGAATGTAATGTATTCAGTGGGTGTGGCATTGTAAACCATGTACAGAAGAAGGCCCTGCTGTTAATATACCATGGAAACAATCTTGATTACATCATTGACTGTTTTGATCAGGCTTTGTTAGAGAAGACGGCCTTCCATGTGCTGACCCATATGCATAAAAAACAGTTTCAGAGACAACAACCACTTGGCGTGAAGAGACTCACCGCCTCTGGTATTGCCAGATTCAAGGACATGAAAGTCAGTGAGCGACGAGACTCAGTAAAAAATTCACCGACTTTGTGAAAATTGTCTGATGAACAACCACTCCACCTTCAATTGTAGAAAGCCCTCCGTGTGCAGCATACCTGGGTGTGGCATGAAACACCAAATTTCTACATACATGTATCTCCAAGGAAGAAAACTCCATACCCAAGAAATCTACTATCAACAATTGCAGCTCAAGTACTGAGTTTGATGCACCATATCTTCCAGTTGTAGAAGTGAGAGTAAATGCCCAGTATTATTCATACACACTTTTAGATAGTGCATCTACCTCTAGTTTTTGTACAAATACAGTTGTATATAAGTGAAGACATTTGGATTGCAGACCAGAGAAGCATCTTACAGCATAAGCACGCTCAGCAAAGAGGATGAAGAAAAAAATACGAAATGTGTCCATTTAGAATTAGACAGCTAAGGATTGGCAGACACATGGAGAATGATGTTTATGAAGTAGAAAACATCCCAGCAAACTTGCCAACAAAAGAAGTTGATCATTTCCCAGACCTCAAGGGAATACCCCTCGCCAAGGGAAATGTCAAGGTTGAAATCCTTATAGGACAAGATAATTCTGAGGCTCTAATTCCACTGGAAGTAAGAAGAGGAAACAGTGGAAAACCATTTGCCACCAAGACCATACTTGGGTGGTCCTTGAATGGCCCAGCCAATATTCGACAGTAAATAAGAAAGTGACGTCACACTTCATTACAATACATACAGAGATAGGCATCCTACAGACAGATATAACAAGTGAGAAAACCAGAACCAAATTTTCAGGCAAACATAAGTCAGAATGGTGCCATGAAAGTCAATACTTTGAAGTAGATGAAGAAGATCTTGACGTCAAGGGAAAAGAGTACACAAGAAGTGTCCCATGGCTGCACTGTACCAAGACACCCTTGTAAGAAAACCAAGATTGAATGGAATCCAGTGCAGCGCATAGTTGACTATTACTCAAGCTGGTATAGGCTTCGTCACTTTTCCTGTCAAAAGAGGAAGATCTGAATTAAACGCTATGGGTATATCTTCACATGCCTTACAACCCGAGCCATACACATAGAGATACTTGTCTTGACACAGATTCCTTCATCAATAGTCTTAGAAGGTTTATAGCAAGATGAGGAAAGCCAAGGACAATTTCCTCAGACAATGGAGCTGGATCAGGAGAAAATGATTGGAAGTCTTCTGAAAAAAGGGATTATTTGGAAATTTAACCCACCATTGTCGAGTTTCATGGGTGACAAATTCAGAAGATAAAAAAGACCCTGACCTGTCTCATGCGAGAGCAGCCGCTGAGTGACAAAACCTTGTACACTTTGATGTGTGAAGATGAAGCCATATTGAACAATCGACCCATCACTCCAGTGAGTGAAGATTCAAATGACCATTCAATTGCTCATGTTAAACGATGGACCTCTCCTTCCTCCATGTGTGACAGAACAGAAAGACGCAGAAGATGCTGGCGCCAAGTGCAATGCATGGCAGGTCCACCTTTTGGTGGCAATGGACCAAACAGTATTTGCCAGAATTACAATGTCATATGAAGTGGCACGCAGCATCACCAAATGTCTGAAGGAGATTTAGTATTACTGGTGGAAGAGAACATGCCCCGAAATCTCTGACCTTTGGGCAGAATCATGCAATTGAACCCAGGAGATGACAAACTAGTGCGTTCCGTAAAATTCAAGACAAGATCAATGCTCTTAACAAAGCCAGTTACAAAAATCGTAGTATTAGAAAGGGAGTTTTATTAGTTTTAATTTATGACAAATTTAAGGGCAGGAGTGTAACATTTTTGATAATGTTATAGTAGTTTAATTTGGTTTGGCAACAAACAGAGGCTATCAAGTCCAAGCATCACATGTCCAGCAGCTGAGCTGCAGTGCTTGATCCACTAAGTGCAAATGGTCATCAAAAGCTAATCAATCATCAAAGATACACATTTTTAAGAGTAGAAGCAATTCCACCCGTAGAGTAAAAACAACATCTAAGTTTATATTTATGAAAATCATATAGGCAACGACACCAGGAAACCAAGGACAACTCGAGATCAAGTGCACAAGGGCAAAAGGGGCCAAAGTTATTCACAGTAATTTGGTGTTTAGATACTCCGGTATTCTGGTACTATCTATGAAGGAATAACATTCCATCATCTAGTTATGTCGTCACCTCATCAAACGCACATGGGGTTTTTTATCTTTATTTCACTGTGGACCTAATGTTCTTATTAAAGCTTATTAAAATTTGTTATTGGTTGTGATTTTTTCAGTCCTAGTGTAGTTAGTAACTGATAAATTTTTCTAAAGGGGCAATGCGTGTTGTTGTTTAAATCTGGAATAAAAATAGCTGTACTTAATTTTACTTAAAATGGTTTACAGTTGTGATTATTTCCAGTCACATGAAAGAGGTGCAACAAGCTTTTTTATCAAGAGTGTATATCAATAGCTGTCACTCAATATGTCTGACTTCAGAAGCCTCTCCCTATGCTTCATATGTTTGTTATGTCACCAAAATACATGCAAAAAGCATAACATTTGTAATAATAATTTGATCTTGCTGATTTTCTTGGAACAATCTCTTTTTCTATCACACAAAGCCATCCAGTAAAATTACAGTAAAACAAACAATGTGGTTTGGCAATTATATGGTGCACAACTCACTAACACATCAGACAGCATCAGAGATGGTAATGACAAAAGACATACACAAGTGATCAGAATGCATACAGACAGATCCAATGGAGAGGGGAATTTAAAAAATGATAGCTCATAAAAAGTTGCCTGTGTAAGGAGGTTATCACACATTTTTAGAAACTAGAAATAAAGGCCTAATCAAAAATCACTTTATGCATTTATCTCCTTTTGGGTAATGAAAAATGTCTGTCTCCAAGCATTTATATTGTCTGAGTGTTTATAGTCAGCTTAGCATCTGCAGGACTTGTCTTGCTCGCATATAGCCCTCTTTAGCTGCTGTAAAACAAAGTGGAAATATATTTAATTAAAGTATAGTACTGCATTTCAAAAGTAATACTTGAACAACAACTGTATTAGAATTAACACTTTAAAAATATTTATAATGAAAAAAAAAACAAAAAAAAAAACAACAACATAATTTAAGTAATGAGAAAGGTATTAGCATACTCAGCACATTTCTCATGTTCCACATATTTAATGACAATGTTTCATTTGTTTTTCAGTATTATTCTGTTTTTATTGTACAGTAAACCAATATAGTTTGAGAATAACACTATTGGTAGTCCTTATATAATTATACAATCTAAAAAGATTTCAAACTATACCTGTGTCATTATCTGTTTCTTCAAATTTCTCAATCACTACTTCTGCTTGTTTTATTGTATTCTCCCTTGCCTTCCCCTTAGAATTCTCCATGTATTCCAAAAGTATTTTAAACTCCTCATCTGGTACCTAAAAATGAACATGAAAGAGGTTTAAAAATGTAAACCTACATAATGGAAGTCATGGGTTGGGTTGTAAAAACTGAAAATCTTGAAAACACATCAGTAGCTTGCAGTTTCTCAAATGCATTTCGACCATATGAAAAAATGATCAAAATGAAGACCGAAAAACCAGGTCTAATCCTGAAAACTTTCACTCATGGGATTCTTGCCACATGATCACAGAACTTGGCCTATTTTGTATGTACTTTTTAAAGCAAGGATAAGTTAGGTGGCATACATGGTGAAAACCCTTAGAAGTGAAAGAACATTTGTTCATTTTATATAATAATCAAAATAATTACAGTAATTAGTAGTTACTAAAAAAACAAATGTAATATACATTTAAAGTACCTTCTGTGTATCATACATGTGTTGCAGAATCCACACCTGACGCACTTTCTGAAAACTCCACTGTTTTCTATTTTCATGCCACTTTTTCAGATATTCCAAAGCTAAGTCCCTAGCACTTGTCTTTTCACTGTCTCCTACAACCTTGTCTGTCTCAGAAGAAACCTTCTTCTTTTCTTTCTTTTTCTTCTTTTTTTCTGTTATTGTTTCTGTACATAATTGTTGTGATTCATTTGCCGTCCTTTTTTTGGTCATGTTCAAATTTTCATTGTTCTCTTCACTGATTTTATTCTTAGCTGAAGCTTCATCATTTGAGTTATCATCAGCTTCCACTTGTTTTCGCTCATCTTTGTGTCTCTTTCTAATTGTTACTTCATCTGATAAATATTTGTCATTATTAACCAAGTTGTTAATTTTTTCATTCTTTTTCTTGGCATCTCCTGATTTGGGAATCTTTTCTTTCTTTTCTTTTTTTGATTTTTTACTTTCAACATTTTGATTTGATGAATCATCCATTTTCCTTTTCTTTTCCTTTCCCATGGATTCACACTGCAAAGTAAAAAATATTATGATAACATATCACAAGATGCATTTTATTAAGACAGACTCGATGGCACAAATATAAGACATTATAGGTAGCTACAGTAGGGGCTAATCATTTAAGGCTGGTGTTCAAAAGGGAATTAATCCAGATGATAATGGATCAGGGATTAAAACAAAGAGCCACTGGTTCACAGGTACAGGTTAATTTGTTACCTACAACGATAGGCTAAGTTTCCACCCGCACACAGACAGTGAAGGAGACTAATTCAATTTTGGAGGTAATAAATAGAACAATTGTATGCTGGAACATACTCAAGGTACACTGCGTTAGAATATGGAAATGCCATGACTGACACAATTTTTAGGTGACAAACACATGTAAATAAGATACAGTACATGTAAATAAAAATTTAAAAGAAAGCAAAAAAACTGTGTATAGAAATAAACAGCCACCCATACAGAAAAAACCTCAAAGAACTAAATCTGCTCTTAATGCATTATAGAAAGGCAAGTAGGAGCATGATTCAGGATCAAGATATTGAACAATACGAAGTTGACAAGTACTATGAGATAATTAACAGCCTAGTGCATTATAGAAAAAAATTCCTGCATAAACAGACATCTGAAAGTGATAGTATGTTGGGGATTATTTCCCACCTGGAAATAGACTTTCAAGCAATCACACTGGACAAGCAACTTCAAGTGTACTGGTGCTAAGAGTAGGTAGTGTACATCGTAGGTAAAAAGTTTGAGTCATTATTTGATCTAACTTGCACATTCAGAACTCAGTTCACAGTGGCTATTAGAATTGCATTTTTATTTTTAATGTGTAATTTTACAGCAGCACAACTGGCAGACAAGCAGATTAATCTTACTTTAATCGCAGCTTTGTCAATAGGAAAACTGGTTGGCTTTACAGTAGTGTACAACTGGGGGAGGAGACGGGTAAGTTAAAGGTTTTAATGAGAGGCCGTGCAGCACAGTTGACGCACTAGCTGGCTGTCATTTTACAATTACAGATATGCGTATCTATATATTTCATACGTTAACACCTTAGTCCTATAGTACATATCATAATCAGACCCTATGAACAGCTGTGCCAACGTATTGATTTTCGTGCTACAGGTACTTGGCTTACTACTACCAGTACATGTACATGTACGTACTACTAGTAGTACTGTTCACACACACAAAAACTTAAAAAATACTAATAAAGTATTCTTTTTGTAAAAGAGTACAAAAAAAATCGACTAATCTCTAGGGTAAAATCATTTAATGTCTTTTAAAATGATTAGATCAGATCATGTAGTGCGTCAGTTTCTAAATTTTCAAAACCTTATCTGTTATCCACTGGTTATACGTTTGCGGGAGTATAAGCTCTTACTTTAAACTAATCCCATTTGAACTAACGCCAATAAAAAGGTGATTTGTTTTACCTTGATTTGCTAAGTAGGGGTGTTTTCAGCGGTTATCAGAATACGGAATTTTGAATTAAATCTAGTCTGCTACTGTGCTTGAGTGCACGTGTAGACAGATGACAACTAAAGTGCTATAGATGGGGGTGAAATCAATACGCGCCGCATTCGCAGTCTTAGGCTTTAGTAATCGTAAAAGAAGTTTTTTTGTTTGTTTGTTTGTTTGTTTTATTTTATTTTATTTTCTGAGTAGACCACGTACGGGGGGAATAATAGTGACAACATGCATAACATTAAAGCCATTAAAGCAGATGTCAAACATGAGGAAGCATTAGCAATACTCATCAGTTAATTTTTCCAAGCATTTGATACATGTAGGCTTAGGGATCTTAAAGAACCTCGAGAACTAAGAACAAGTTGCCGAACACTGCCAAAACGATAAGCAATGTGTTAGCACAAACCGACGGGTAATGGCTGTTTCGTTTACAAATAGAACAACACATTTAAGTATATCATTTTATCTTTTGGTGTAGGCTTATACTGTAAACAGCAGGTCTAGTGCGTTATTGTTATTGTAATTTGTGGTAACTCAACAAAAGGTATATATATATATAAACAGTAAAAAGAAAAATTTACTGTTACAGTTACAGTTTTTTTTCATTTATATAGCTATTATCTGCAATCCTTAAACGTCTCATCAATGGGTCCGTGTATTATTAATATTTTGATGGGAAAACCCTGTTGTTTTAAAAGGCTTAGAGTTAAGAAAGGAAAAAACTTAGATTGAAGTCATAAAAAAATGAGAATAATGAAAAAAAAAGAAGTTAAGTTCAAGTTATCATCGGTGTCAACAAAAATTTGCATCAGAATCATTCTTACAAACAAAAGTGGCAACGTCTTAAATTTGCCCATATTGACAAATGTTCAGTTATTGAAATATATGCGAAGGCTCAAAACACATTATACTAAAATTAACTTTTAATAAACTTCAATTTCTATATGTGCAAAACGGGAGCTAAACCGGTTTTCTTTATCATCTTTCACATCGNTGAGTCATTATTTGATCTAACTTGCACATTCAGAACTCAGTTCACAGTGGCTATTAGAATTGCATTTTTATTTTTAATGTGTAATTTTACAGCAGCACAACTGGCAGACAAGCAGATTAATCTTACTTTAATCGCAGCTTTGTCAATAGGAAAACTGGTTGGCTTTACAGTAGTGTACAACTGGGGGAGGAGACGGGTAAGTTAAAGGTTTTAATGAGAGGCCGTGCAGCACAGTTGACGCACTAGCTGGCTGTCATTTTACAATTACAGATATGCGTATCTATATATTTCATACGTTAACACCTTAGTCCTATAGTACATATCATAATCAGACCCTATGAACAGCTGTGCCAACGTATTGATTTTCGTGCTACAGGTACTTGGCTTACTACTACCAGTACATGTACATGTACGTACTACTAGTAGTACTGTTCACACACACAAAAACTTAAAAAATACTAATAAAGTATTCTTTTTGTAAAAGAGTACAAAAAAAATCGACTAATCTCTAGGGTAAAATCATTTAATGTCTTTTAAAATGATTAGATCAGATCATGTAGTGCGTCAGTTTCTAAATTTTCAAAACCTTATCTGTTATCCACTGGTTATACGTTTGCGGGAGTATAAGCTCTTACTTTAAACTAATCCCATTTGAACTAACGCCAATAAAAAGGTGATTTGTTTTACCTTGATTTGCTAAGTAGGGGTGTTTTCAGCGGTTATCAGAATACGGAATTTTGAATTAAATCTAGTCTGCTACTGTGCTTGAGTGCACGTGTAGACAGATGACAACTAAAGTGCTATAGATGGGGGTGAAATCAATACGCGCCGCATTCGCAGTCTTAGGCTTTAGTAATCGTAAAAGAAGTTTTTTTGTTTGTTTGTTTGTTTGTTTTATTTTATTTTATTTTCTGAGTAGACCACGTACGGGGGGAATAATAGTGACAACATGCATAACATTAAAGCCATTAAAGCAGATGTCAAACATGAGGAAGCATTAGCAATACTCATCAGTTAATTTTTCCAAGCATTTGATACATGTAGGCTTAGGGATCTTAAAGAACCTCGAGAACTAAGAACAAGTTGCCGAACACTGCCAAAACGATAAGCAATGTGTTAGCACAAACCGACGGGTAATGGCTGTTTCGTTTACAAATAGAACAACACATTTAAGTATATCATTTTATCTTTTGGTGTAGGCTTATACTGTAAACAGCAGGTCTAGTGCGTTATTGTTATTGTAATTTGTGGTAACTCAACAAAAGGTATATATATATATAAACAGTAAAAAGAAAAATTTACTGTTACAGTTACAGTTTTTTTTCATTTATATAGCTATTATCTGCAATCCTTAAACGTCTCATCAATGGGTCCGTGTATTATTAATATTTTGATGGGAAAACCCTGTTGTTTTAAAAGGCTTAGAGTTAAGAAAGGAAAAAACTTAGATTGAAGTCATAAAAAAATGAGAATAATGAAAAAAAAAGAAGTTAAGTTCAAGTTATCATCGGTGTCAACAAAAATTTGCATCAGAATCATTCTTACAAACAAAAGTGGCAACGTCTTAAATTTGCCCATATTGACAAATGTTGAGTTATTGAAATATATGCGAAGGCTCAAAACACATTATACTAAAATCAACTTTTTATAAACTTCAATTTCTATATGTGCAAAACGGGAGCTAAACCGGTTTTCTTTATCATCTTTAACATTGAAAAAATATTAAAGTAAGTAAATAAAAAACAAGTAGTAAAAATCGAAATGTCCCCGATTATTCAACAGGACAAACTTAGGGTGTGCAAATGCAGTATTTAACTTTCAAGTAGGCACCATTTGGTCAAAGAAAGAAGGCATCGTGTCACATCAGTTTTAAGCTCAGGGGTAATGACAGGTATCGAGCAGTAGTGAGCTTCGCCTGGAATGCGGTAGTTGGGACGATGTTGCTGAACCGGCAAGTTATCATTGCGTTTTGTGAGAGAGGAACAGCTATCGCAATCAATGTGATTCCAGTTCATAGGTTATATAGCATTATACAGCTGAATGAATGCCAACCGAGTCCAAATGCTGGCATTACCACGCCTTAAACACCAGGAAACCAAAAACAAGTAACCAAAAGCGCTTAATTTTAGATCATTCTAGGTTTAACTTTAAACTTTTGAATTAAAACTGCCTTCAGAAGTAGCCAATCGAAATTAAAATCTTGTACCGCAGCTGGGTATTTCTACACGATTAACTCAAACGTTCACCATATGGGGTTTTATTGTTGGTGGGCCTGTTACACAAATATAACTTAACAGCCCACCCATAGGAGCATAGACTAGTTACCGGGGCAACTATTATTAAAAGCTACGGGGTAGGGAGTTATGAAATGTTCTTTGCACCTTGTTTTATGCTGTAAGCTCACTGTTGCAAATTGATTCTGCTATTAAATATGTTATTTGGGTGTTTTACAAACACACCGAGTGGTAGATATATGTAAAAGTCCAAGACAATTTTCTCCATGGATAGCGATGTTCGACAGGTTATTTGGTTTGTTTAAGCGCTTCCATTTTTGAGACGCTTAGTGAGCCGGGACCCTTCTGCTTCCGAGTGCGAAGAAGAATTTAGTGTATGCTTAATTGGTTCTATTACACGGAGTCCTGCCAGACAATATTATGTTACTCCGCAGCAAAGTCAGGTGTGAAATCTCACACATAAACAGTAGATAATGTGCAAATCTAAATTCAATTAAACAGTGTAAAACTATCGCTTTTACACGTCAGCTCTGAGCCATTTCGCCCGTGGATAAGGAAAAATAAGTTTATCCAAAAATCTGAATCAGCACGAGCGTGATTGGAAAGAAAACCGCTCTAATTGATCATAGAACGGAGCACCGAAACAAGAAGGGTGATCTTTTATATAGCGGTATTTCACCATTCTCTCGATTTTCTTTCCTCATACATACATCCCCTCACAAATTTAGGAACAAAAATATTGACATAGCTGCTTTTCGCACTTGGCTCTAATAAGCGCAAATTCCCAACAGCATTGTAAAGCCGCAGTGTGTGTAACAAAAGCGGGGCCTTGTAAACAAGCTTATATTGAAACTTCGCGCTGTCGGCTCTCGGCTGTCAATCACAGCAAAAGAGAAATTGGCAATTCAATAGGTCAAAATCAAATGATCGCCGATTAGCAAACGATGGTATTTCTAAGTAAGAAATAGTTTAGTTCTCCCACAAGTCCCAAGGCGTGCACGCGCATATTACAACGCAATTGAACTCGCATTCATTCGCTCTTTCACAATAGCCTTACATTAAAACCCGACTATTAACCCATCGGCTTATACCAGCACCACAATAGTAAGGCGAAATGACAAAGTTAATTAACAGTGCGGTGATTTAATGACTAAAGTTAAAACCCTTTCACAACATACTTTGTCAAGTGATAAATCGGAATTTAAGCGCACATCTGGACTTAAAAGTTTTAAATCAAAGACCAGCAACGTGAGACTGAATTTTGATATCGAGTTATTATCGTTACTTTTTTCTATATATTCCTAAATCCGAATGTATATGTTTGAGTTTTAGCTTAAAGCAGTGGTTTGCATTCATCACAGACACAGAACGTTGATTGGGCAATAAAATGATCATTGGCTTTATTAAATTTGATTGACATATAATGGGGTTGGAAGAGGCGCATTTAACCAGAGGGACGATACTGCGATGTTTAACCCAGCGTGCTAAACAAAATCCGTTGTTTATGTGAAATAAATGCCACAGAGCGCAGATTTAGTGATGTTTCTCAAGCGGAACTAGTGTATCTTTTTTTCTTACATATCAGAGAGGACTGAGACCGACGAACTCCCTCCCACACCTACAGTTATTCCACGGCTCTCACTCGCTGAGATTTTGTATTCTAATTGGTAGTGACGTAGTGAATAGATATAAGCTCCGCCCACTCGTACACTCGGAGTGGTCGTGGAAAGCAGGCGAAGGTAGCCGCAGGCAGCTCATTCAGTTGGTCATCCACGTGAACCTAGACAAGCTGTGACAAGATTCGAATCACTGCAGTCTTCCCAGAGAACACCATCTCTTAACCAAGGAGCTCTCTGTTTTACTGGCACAAAAAGATTTGTGAGTGCTACCGATTTCTGCTGATTTCATAGTGAAACCGATATAGGATGTGGAAGTAACATTGCAATGCACGTTTGTCTGAAAGTAAGTAACGTCAATTAGCGCATTTTTATTGGATGCGTCTACACCCGTGAACCAATGCATAAAACATAAACAGAGCCAAAGGAACTTTGGAGATATTGGAGATTAGTGAAAGATAAGTTTGCAGCTGCAGTGGTAAGTCAGTGCTCTTTAATAGTCTAAGATAATTGAACCAGACATAAATACGCAATATCATTTCACGATGAACACGCGAGGAATAAAAACCTGGACTTTATCAAGGGATTTTCATACACAGACCCTACTCGGCGTATTCCTGTTATTAACTTTGTTCAGCAAGGGAGCTTTAGCGTCAAGCTCTTTTCTAACTATGTTTGCTGCCCAGCAAAATCCACCCGATCCTTGTTACGACGAAATGGGAAATCCGAAGAGATGCATTCCAGACTTTGTCAATGCGGCTTTCGGTAAAGAAATCACCGCGTCCAGCACGTGCGGCTCTCCTCCAAATCGCTTTTGCCAAGTTTCGCCCAGTGTCGATAAATTCAAGGCTATGCATTGTGATATTTGTGATGCTAAACACCCTAAAAGGATGCATCCTCCGAGCTATCTTACCGACTTAAACAACCCCAATAACTTAACGTGTTGGATGTCCGAGCCGTTCGTCCAATACCCAAATAACGTCACCCTCACCCTGAGTCTGGCGAAGAAGTTTGAACTCACTTACATCAGCCTACAATTTTGTTCGCCGAGACCTGAATCCATGGCTTTATACAAAAGTGTGGACCACGGCAGAAGTTGGGTGCCTTTCCAGTATTACTCAAGTCAGTGCAAAGAAATGTACGGCAAGCCCCCCAGGGGGATGATAACTAAGGCCAACGAGCAGGAGGCACTGTGTACTGATATTAACAGTAATTCCCCCGAACCCATCAGTGGGGGGAGAGTGGCGTTTAGCACCCTGGAAGGGCGACCCTCGGCTTATGATTTTATGAACAGTCCCGTGCTTCAAGACTGGGTTACAGCGACAGACATCCGCGTGGTTTTCAACCGCCTTCGAACCATCGATGAAAATGTCGACAAGGCAAAGGATAATTTCTACTACTCTTTGGCTGATTTTGCGGTGGGAGGACGATGCAAATGCAATGGCCACGCTTCGAAATGTAATATCAACCGAGACGGTACCCTTGCCTGCGAGTGTAAACATAACACCGCAGGGACAGACTGTGAGCGGTGCAAGCCTTTCCACTTCGACCGACCCTGGGCGCGGGCTACTGATCAGAAAGCCAACGAGTGTGTCGGTAAGTTCTCACTTTCTCTGTAAACCAACAATTCCATGAAAAGAATGTTAGTAAATATTCCGAATTGTCAGTAGATCTTATCCTTTACCTAGGTAAGGGCTTCATTTAACTCATCAGTAGGTGTAGATGGAAAAGATAAGAAGCTGTCAGAGAAACGGGTAATTTTTCATAATTTAAGTATCACCTATCGTTCGCGGCCTCTTCACTCATTCACGTTATAATAACTTGACCTCCCATAAAGCATGGAGTGTATTGCGAGACGACATAAACCTGCTAACTGTGGACAGGATGAAACAGTGCGAGAAAAATCCCCGAATTCCTCTCATAATTACACCAGTTCGCTCTGAAACGCGTGTCTAGGACTAAAGAAACATACCGCTCTCAGCTCATGTGGCCGAGTCGTACCTTTCAACAACCACAAACATCAAAGCCCCCAAACACCCCTTGCACATGTCAGTTCAGTCTTATTTATTACCGAGTTCTGTTCTTCATAAAATTTATTTATTGTGGATATACTATCCGTTGCTTTCAATTACTGTATGTGCCTTTGTCTCTTACGACCTACCAGAGCTAAAAGAAGCCAGGGAGATGGTTCTTATTATCTCTCTATCTACGGCAGAGATTCATTCATTCAACTTCTTGTTTCCTCCCTGAAATCGGTTTCAGCTTGTTAAGATTGAAGATAGATTGTTATCAAGGGCCTGTCAATCACAGGAAGTGCTATTACTTTTCGGAATGTAAATTAAAGCATTCAGCAAAGTGCGAATTAATACAGAGACCTTTTTCATTTACTTCGATTTTTTCCTCCTTCCGAGAACATCTCTCATTGATTAAAACGCTGTGTAGAAATGTGAAGCTTTTCCACACGTCGTTTTTCTCTCTGTCTTTTTTGTATAATTGCTTGTTGGGTTTGTCTGTATAATCCCCAAGTGTTTTCCCACATGGCTTAATCCCCACAGCTCGTCGCAGCTTTCAGTCAACTCATCGATGTATGTCCCCGCCAACTCGTACATCGCCCGATTGTCAAAACACCAACCCCTTTTCCTAACAAGACGAATGTGATGTTTTGTTTGTGGTTCTTTCTAAACGACCTTTTCACATCTCAGGCGTATGTCACTAACAAGAGCAGCGCGTTAAAATGTCTATTTTATGGAGCAAATACTAATGTATGAATGAAAAGTTTTTTTCCAACCCCTAGCTCTTTGGCCGGCGGGAATGTGCTCTTAATAATATCCGAATGTTTTCAGTAAAAACTTGATGAAATACGATACGCCTTGTCATATATACTCTAATGTCCCTAATCGTGATTGCACCAGCGATAGTTGTTTGTTTTCTTAAAATCGGGTTTGGTATAGGCATCTACCATCTACGTGTAAAAGAACTACGCAGACCTTGATGACTGAAAAAAAAAAATTTTGCGGACGAATTGTCAATCTCTGAAATCCTAAGCGTGCGTCGCTGAGTTGAACTACAGAAGTGATGAAATAAGATCTTGACAAATATGAAGTGGTTTGTAAGGATGAATACCAGAGTGCTATGGAGTCTCAACATCTATATTTTTGGGAAAGGTGTAATTAGAGCACACATGCAGTCGTTAAGCTCATTCTGATAGCATAAATGCGTTTTAGCAGTGGGGTGAACATTTTTGAATGAAAGAAGGGAAAATTTGGCTTTATCATTGATAACATTATGTCACTGCTCTCAGAGCGCACTCGAAAGCAGGAGATGAGATGATAGAAAGGGAGTGAACGCGATCTCGAAATTTAATTAAGCTCGCAAATATTGTCTCTTTTTTCACACATACTCTGACCCTTAATCCGTATAACTGGTTTATCCCCGACCATCTTGTTAGTAGTAGCTCGTTATTTGCCTCCGGACCAAGCACGAATGTTTCGTGTGTTAACGCTTCACGTGTTTCCTGACGTGTTAAAACCTTTGATGGGCTGGCTGCTAGTGGTAAGCGATCAGGCACCCAATTAATCCCCACAATTGCGGATACTTTTCCCTCCCTCTGCATATTTACTCCTGAACTTTCAACAGAGAGTTAATACCCTTCAATATTTATATGTTATGCACATCAACACACCACAAGCACAGATATCGTTCTTCACTCGTAAATCTTTACGGGAAACTACCGCTACTTCATCAAGTTAAAGAGGGATACTTGCAACTGGAAGCTTGGCGCTTACCTAAACTTTAAGCTTTTACGCTGGTATTTATTTGGACTATCGAGTAACACAGGGTAATGGTATAGCATACAAACGTTTTGGTTCAATTCAAAATGTATAGCTCAATTCAACTCCTTTTCCTCTTACTCATGGGTCCGCCACAGGCGGTTAACACTTCTTCACTAAGGGTGGGACAATTACCGTGACTTAAAAAGCGGAACCTGCACTTTTGGTAGCTTGAGGGTACTAATGTGTTTGTCTGTTTGTCTTTTAATCATTCATGACCTGGAAGGGGCGGCTTCGTTGTTGTTACAATGAGACTTGGGCCTTTACCTTTTTCCCGGCTTAAAGCAAAAAAGAACACTGTTTTTTATTCTTTTTTATATAAAAACGAGCTATGCCATCGTGATCACCCCAACTTCAGACGGCTCAAATTACCTGTAGCATATGTGAATGATATTTGCAGGATTATATGTTGAATATGCCCAAAGCATATGAGAAATACATCAAAAGAATCACATCTCCTCCTACCAAATCCTAGTTGTTACCCCAGGCAAGAATATAGCTGCACTACGACATATCATTTTTATCGTCCAATTAGCATCGAGCTTAATTGACAGTGACAGCGTTTCACACCTACTCTAAGTGGCTAATCATTGAATCGGTAAACAGCAGCGATGGGCAGTCGATTGTGAAGTCATTAATTGAAAAGAATTCCTTAACAGGCGGTGATTGACACACTTAACACACGAGGGAAATGACCACTCGCCGAGAGACAGAAATCACTGAGAAAGGTGGCACAATCAAAATCATAGAGACGATAACAAAGAAATCTGTCTGCGGTAAAAAGTTAGTGGTGGGGCAAAAATGTGATGAAATGCGACTTGTGTCGCCTCTGTATTTTAAACTTTCAAGAAGTTTTGTAATCACGGGCGTCTTGATTTGACATCAATTGTACGACAAAGCCCTCTTTTCTTCTCGGATCCCGCAGTGATTTTCACGGGTCACAGGTGCACAGATGAACTACAAACCCCTGAACGTTCCGCTTGACAACCCCCTCAGTATCTCTGTCTATCTTTCTGGTTCACACCTAGTCGACTGTTAACATTATCAACCAGCTTGTTAAGATAGAGCCAGTAACACATGCGTAATTTTTTCACATTATCTCTATTGTCTCCCCTTTACTTTACTGATTTCTTCCTTTTTACCTGTCACTTGACAAAAAAAGACGGTGCACCTGTGTCTCGGTTCATGGAATTCGGCCAATTTGGCTCATACAAGGATAGTAAAATTTGCCCTCGCGGTTTATAAAGGTATAAAAAGGCAAATGAGAGACGACGATAATTACTTGCTGTGTACTTTCTCCCGTCTTACAATAAAGATGGATTCGTGACTACACATCCCGTGTTAAATTTTAGTCTAGAGAGCATTGGAAAATAAATAATCGGGAGAAATAAAAATAACAGCGGCACGCACTATTCCCCTCTCTTCTTTTGTAGGGCAGATTGTAGTATCATTGTATGTTGTATTTGCCAAAACGATCGAGTGCAAATTTACACTGTCAAAGCAGTGACTTTGTGAAAAATTCTCCTGTGTGTTTTTGCCGACAGAACTTTTGTGCCCTCAGTGTCACTCGGTAAAAAGAGTCAATTAGAGAGTGCCATTAAATTCTTTATTGTTCGACACCTTTAACGTATCTTGCCCCCTATGATCGCCCAAGGCCAAGAAGTTGAATGATTCACTTCGTTCACTTTAATGGGAAGAGGAGATATTCTTACAGGGGATCAGATCATTCTACGCAAAAGAATAGTCGTTTAAGAGCAGGAAGGAACTCACATGGTGATTCAAAATGACGCGCCTTGAAAAAACATCTCTCAATACTAGTGAAAACAACCTGCAGTAATCTTCATTTCACGTCAGCATAAAGATAAATATATTACTTACAAAGCCTGTAAAGTGAAAATTAATTGCTGAATCAATATATGAATACCGACCAATCTTGCGGCTTGTATCAACATGTTCTATGCGGATCTGCCCTGCTGGAAAACAATAGGGTGACAAAAGTTAGTATTTCGATTACATGATATCAAGCATTTAAACTTCGCTTCACTTCCGGCCATCTGTGTCGTTCTCCCCCCAGCTGGCAGCGCGATTGCGGTGGCCTATTGTTATGACGAGAAGAGATCTAATTTTTCGTAAATTCCAGTCTATTGTTCTGATCATTTATACAGGTGTCAGTGGAAGGTGATCGCCGGTACCCATTAAAGTAAGAAGTAAATATCTAATTTGACAGACATTTGCTTTTCTTTCTGCTTTAAATAGTTGGTTTTGTGTCCGGTATAATGGACACATAACATAGCGTTTTCCGGCAATTTACTCGCGTACAAATTGATAAATACTCATAATTCATGTATAAACATTTAATACATATTTTGTAAATAGCTGTAAATCTGTCAATCTAAATTGTTATAATAGGTACATCGCATAAGACCCACGCCGTGGTCGCTCGTGAAATGTGGAGCTTGACAAAATGCGAACTGATCCGGAGGTATGTCGTATTTTTACGAGCAGCAGACATTGGAATAAATCACCTCCGTCTAGATTAACGGTGATATAGGAGAGATCTTTGTCGTAAAACTTTCTGCCATGGTTCAAGCACCAGACTTGTACTGTTTTTAAGTGGCGGTGTGCTCTCTTGTGTCTTTTCAAGGGGTGATGGTGGATATTTATTTCTTTCGCACGTCGACGCTCAGAACAAACGTTTGATGACAGAATCCTTTTCCAGATTCAAATTACACATTGCATAACGTTGGTCATACTAAATGTTCGACGTGCAAAGAAGTAGAGATGCAGGCATCGTATTGCAGAAATATTTGTCTTGAGCTCAAAGACAGGCATTTTTGCAATGTTTATGAAAATTATACGTTATAATGAAGTAGCGATTGATACCATTATCGGTTAATGTAAGCAAGAGCTCATGTCATCACCATTTGCATCCAATCTGGGTGTCGTGTTCGGTGCACGACCCGCGGGTCTTGTGTAACGGGAACAAACGTACTTTCATCGATAACATGATCAATCTTTTATTTCTTCATCAACACCATTGAAACCATCACGTGGAAGTATTTTTCGAAAACCAGAGTTAATTACAACTTTGAATACACGAAAGCTTCGGAACAGCAAAGTAAAGAAAAAACACCCATGAATATATTTTTCTCCGACCATACCAATTTCCTGCAAATTGAACTCTGAAATGTGTCAGTCTATTATATCTCACGACCTCGCCTCTATGTTTATTTCACAAATAAGAAGGTACCGAAAAGGTGTACGGTGCGTTCTTTAGAGGGATACAGAGAAGGTGGTTTTCATAGCAACCTGACTCTTGTTTTCTTTCTGTTATCGCACCCGTAGACTCACGCTCGACTTTCAGTTTTTCTATCGCAAGTAATTTTCTCCCGTGCGTTCGGTGATATCCTATTAGCTTCTTAGCAATTGTTGCGTCTTGATGAAAAAAAATATGCGATAACCTCAATTAACAAAGAACTCGGGCCACCGTTTCTCACACCAAACTGTGAAGATACAAAAGAGTAAATTTACAATCAAACACCGCGGCAAACTTAGAACTTAAGGCTTACTGTACTCTCAAAGGAAAGACATTCTTAAAAACGTTGCACGAAAGCAATAAACTGTTTTTCTATATATGGACGGGTGTCTCCCTTCACCCCCGGTCAAGCTGGGAGCTTGGTGCGATAAAGATCAAACGATTGTTAAGGTGTTACGTGGCGTTGGTCAGATCCTAAGTGTTGATACAGTTTGCCAATGATAGGTATTTACAATTACCCAGTTAAGGTATGCGCTGGTATATAATTATAAAGCCCATAAGACTTACTCGCTAACATCGAAGTGTCAATTCGGTGTTGCTATATTGTGTGGACGAAGTGTTCTGATTGTCAGCGTTATTGTAGCACTAATAACCCATACCCTTTTTATCAGTAAATCCAGGTCTAAACGTTTGAGACATCTGTTACATATTAACTAATAGACCTTTCTGAGGCACTAACAAATTATTAAAATATTTCACTTGAGACTTTCCTTTTTTAAAATGATTCGAAATATAAATAGCTAGATGTTGCGATATTTATCCCATATTAAACCGTTACCACGGCTTGTAGGAAATTAACGACCTTCGTATAATTTATTACTCCTGTGACATAAAATGCGTTCTGTTGTTCATCACATTCTCGCTCACGGCTAGGACCTACCAATGCCCGTCTTAGCTCACGGTTAGGTCGTGAGAGATGGCACCCTCTCTCTCTCTTTCTCTCTCTCAAACGAATGCAAAGATGCCCTTTGCATATTTCCGTGGCATAAAATAATTACAAGGCCACACAGTATAACAACGTATGTCCATAAATTTGCTTGCTTCATAATATCTTCCAAAGATTTTTATACATTAACTTCAAAGCATCTAGTAATTAAAGTTCCACACAAAAAATATGCTCCGTGCTCTATGCAAAAACTTCAATATATTTAGTATTTGAAGTTAGTATTCTTGAACGTAAGTCCAGTGACAGTGGTAATACTATGTGAGGAGTGATTGATTGATTCAACTTCTGTCCGATTCTTTACAGCAAACATAATGATTTTATACAGGGCGGAAATTTGAGCACATAACAAGGAATTTGGCCATCATCTTTCGCACTTACGAAGACTTGAAGATTGTAATAGTGAGCTCTCAAACGTGGCTATATTCAATACATCTACAATACCGCCTTCATACTTAACCCTCCACCCCCAGTTGAAATGTACACAAGAAATCTTTGTAACAATTTAACAATGGCCATACGTCGTGGTGTGGTGTCAAGCGGGTAGATAGTCGGCAAGTATATATTGCCATGGGAAATTTGAGGTTACCTTTTTCAACATCTCTCTATTTATTCAGCAATTGAGAGAAGGGAAATAACCCAAAATCCAAAGTGCAAATATTGCTACTGGACTGTTAATCCCCGACTGTAAATAAATCCAAATTTAAAGAATGTAACTGTATTTATTGTGAGAAACTTGCCCCCGACGCGCCCTTCCTGTGATAATGGCCTTACAACAATATCGTTTCAACTTTTTGCATATTTCAACTGGGACGGCAAAACAAATCTATATAATAATTAGTTCGTCAGTCTTACAGTCAGTTAACTCCGATAAAAACACCCCTAGCGCTGCTGATGGTGAGCAAGGTAAAATCATGTATACCGGTTTCACAATGGAGTTTACACACCTGCAAATTATCCCAGTTTTCAATGCTACTTTGATCTACTCATTTGAAATGTTTTCATGGGGAAGCAACCATGCCTTCCAGCGCCCAAGCAAAAGCGTATTTGATTAATACGAATATAATAATACTCGTTTCTGTTGACAACGACTTTTAAATCATGTACTTTTTTTTTAATTCATAGCTTTTGATAAATGATGTTTTCTTTATTTATCAATGCGATATTCTAGTTTTTTTAATATAGATATTTATTGCCATGAGTGTATGTGTGTTTTACATGTCAATATGTGCAATATGTTCCAATATTGAAATGTGAACATGTTGACATTTGTTGTCTGATGTTTAAAATATCTATAAACTCATATATATTATGTCTTGTGCAATTGTGTGCGTTTAAATATCTTTTTAAAAATCGCCAAAGTTACGACCAACTGGCTGGATAAAAAAGGAGAAATCCAAACACACCTTTATTGAGTTTTACTGCTTATTGGAACCGGGATTCTTTATTTCTTTAACCAGGATTCTTAAAAAACCAATAACAACCTCTTTTACTAGTTTTGTTATTTTTAATATGCACCATGTGCTGCGCAGCTTTCACTCCATAACTTTTCTTTCTAGACCTACGAATAACATAACTAAAGCTGCCATCCGTTTCACCCAAAAAACATGCTCTGATCGTCTGCTCCTTTGCCCCGCCTGACAAGTCTAATTTCAGTTGCTTATAGTCTAGATTCTAGGCATGTCTTTTTAGCGCGAGCCAGGTGATAGTTTTGCTGTATTCAGACTAGCTGCTCCTCAATGCCAAAAAGGACAAATTTACTGCGCCCTTCCGATTTCTAAACCAAGAATGAAACAGTTTGGTCATGCATTTGCTTACAAATTCTAGTTTTTGTACCGAATTTCGTGGCTAAATTTTAAAATTGACTTTAATGAATTCAGGAAACTTTCGTAAATGTAAATTAATGCAAGGGTGTCGATTTTGCTACTTACGACCGATACCCGAAACGAAGCTGTCGCTAATGATAAAAAATTAATAATTATAAATTTGTTTTTCCAATTGTCTGTTTTGATTCATTATCAGACAGTTTGAAGTTATGTATTGATTTGCTTTATTTTCGTGATTATCAAAATCTGTGAAAGTAGTTTCTTTACTAATTTATTTTTTCCAAATTGACACCTTTTCATTTATTTTATTATGGAAATCTTAGTTGATTATTTTATATCTTTGTGTCGAAATCTAATTCAGAACCCTCATATTTCTTAAAAAGAAAAAAAAACATCATGCGATTTTCGGATCAATTGTAAATCAACACCATGATCAACTTTAATGTCACGGAAAAGGTAGTCAGATACCACAAATTGCGTTGGATTCTTTTTTTGCCAAAATTCACTCCCTTGTTCAGGACAGCTGTTATTATCAAATATGCCATTCTATCTCTTATGAAAATAGAAGCAAAATTCCATGCATTGATGTGGATATAATAAATCGATTTCTAGTATCTATGTCAACTGGTACAGTTATCAGACACGGTTTCCTTATTTGGCTGGGTGACATTGGCTGACCTGATTTCTGATGGAATAAAGAAGCAAAATAGTCTCTATCCTAGGACAAGTTTAAAAACAAAACTAATCTCTGCTAACTCGCACTTGCACTGTGACTAAAATTTGATAAAATGATCACTTGGTAATGGTTTGTACCTATTTTGTTTAATTCTCTTTCTCTTTATGACAGCATATCGAATTTTGTTTTTCAATTTAGATCTTGAAAAAGAACCTCATATCTTTCACCTTTTTTAATGTAACACACATTTTCATTGTTATTTTATATCTAGTCTCCAAAATCAACGTAGAATAACAGCACTCCTGAAACTATCAAATTGCTGAAATAAACATCTTTCTTAACAAAATATTAAATACAACTGCAGAGGGTCCCATATCATAATACACACGGTTTCCACACATCTTTTGAAAAATACTGTGACGCAAATTTATCATCACATGCAATATGTTCATCATTTACTTACACATTTTTAATATGGAATCTAGTGACAGCCAGTTGCATAGTTTAGTGCTAGTTTGCTATGACTTCATCCTTTTTTCTCAATTATAACATTTACTTCTAAAATTGAATGGATCTGCCATTAGTACTTTATTTATTTATTTTGTTGTGCACTTTTTGTGTGAAATGATTACCCTCAGTAAAAAGTGTGCCGCATTACTAATTTGTTAGACAAAATAATAATGTGCTTTTTCCACAAACTAACTGCACCTAATTTGTTTGTTAAGTGTGTTTCTACCTTCCATCTACTTTCAGCCTGTAACTGTAACCTCCATGCCCGGCAATGTCGCTTCAATAAGGAGTTATACAATTTATCTGGGCGCAAGAGTGGTGGTGTCTGCCTAAACTGTAGACATAACACGGCAGGACGCAATTGTCACTATTGCAAAGAAGGGTATTATCGTGACCCCACAAAACCCATGACCCACCGTAGGGCTTGCAAAGGTATAGTATGTTTTCTTACCACTTTCTACTCCTTCTTTTCTTGCAGCCTGCAATTGCAACCTACATGCTCGTATGTGTCGTTTCAACAAGGAATTGTACCTGCTGTCTGGGAGGCGCAGTGGTGGCGTCTGCATCAAATGCAGACACAATACTAAAGGACGGCATTGCCACTATTGTGTAGAGGGATATTACCGTGACCCTACCAAACCTCTGACACATCGGAGAGTTTGTAAAGGTAAACTGAAGTGTGTCTTTCACTGAATGCACCCATTCCGAAAACACTGCCGTGTGTTGCTTGTTTTCCACGTGGTAGAAAATTCACTGGCAAATGAATTCCAAAAGTGTGGGAAATATATTGTCACATATATATATCTACATACAAATAGTACTGCTACTGCTTCCTTCTAGAAGGTTTCAATGCTTCTGTCTATTCAGCAATAAAATAATATTTTTTGGGGGGATTTTATTTAATGGGCAGCAGGGTAACTTATCATGGTGGCAGGTGAAACACTGGTCTTGACATTAAGCTAACTTTATACTTAAATTTTATCAGGTGGGATGTGTGGAAGTTTTATCCACCCTCTGATGTTTATTAATTTCACATGTTGAGCCAGCAAATTAGGGCCCATATGGTTTTTTATTCCATGGTTAATGCTACTAAATGATTTTTTTTACATATTAAAAAAATATCCATTCATTTTATGGGACAGGTTGTTTTGCTGCAGCATTTTTAATACAGCATTTGCATTTCAAAAAATTAAATACTTTTATTATTTTAGGCAGGAAAAATTATACTAAAATGATTTAAGAGAAATTGATATTTTATGTTAAAGCAGGTGGCTAAATTAAATCTAAAAAAACATAATTTACAATGCCCCAATCTTATTTTGAACCTAGGGAATGAAACAAATTTTAAGAAATACTAAAACCCTTTCATTTTAAGCAAAAGAAAAAATTATAGCAACAAACCCAACACCTTTAAGGTAAAAAAGTCTTTCTTGCTTGTATTTTGAAAATACATGGTAAATAATGTTTGCAAATGTATATATTTATCTAGCTGCTGAAAATGTGATAAATCAACTTGTCCAGAAAGCTGCAACTCAGGATTTCTGTACACCAGTTTTTAAAGGTTATCTATCTATCTAGCACTGGGCAGAGCTTTCACCTCTGTATTACATTTAGAAAAAAAAACTTTCCCACATATTCTGAATCTGTACTATCAAAAAATAAAGTCCTTTGCACTGTATGTTGTGAATTAATACTGTATTTTAGTTCTTGTTTATCTTTATGAATTTTAGTCAGTATTTGCTGTTTAGCTGAAAAAGTTGTATAACCCACGAAGCAGCACTCTTTAAAAATGTTAAGGATTAAAAAAAACCTTGAACTCGCAAGAGTGGTGTTGTCATTGAGCTTTCAAACCAATTATAGTTTTGAACAGGAAATGCTGTGTCTCAGCAAGGTTTGAACATTTTTGTCACCTTGACCCTAAAGTACATTTCTTTAAATTAGTAACAAAATAATTGTTTATTTTTTTAATCACAAGACAAAAATCTCTGTTGTACACAACCTGAGTCTGTTCTCAAGTCTGTCTGGGGACAGGATACATTTTAGCAGTGGTTCTACCCTATATCTAATAAAATCTGACCTTAAAGTACATTTTCCTTAAAAAGATACAGCAATTTTGAGAGATAAAAGTGGTTTTAGTGGTTTCTTTGCTAAAGCAATTATGGGCTCCCCCTGATAACTTTGTAATTAACACATGTTTAACATGTAATTTGTACTGGTATTCCATGTACAGGGGAGTTTATTTGTTCAACAGATGGCAAAATAGGACCCAGAGAGTTGATGAAGAGCTCACGTTTCTCAGAGAAACGTTTTCAATCAACCTTTTTCCTGTTGGAAAGAGTATTTAGCCTGAAACACTGAACAGCTGGGGGAGTGAATATTATTTTTACTCCATGAAAAATTTTCTCAATGACGAATATATATTAAAACATATCTTATTAGAATATGATTAAAAATCCTGTGGACATTCTCAGAATATTACCACTGTTTATTATATATATATATATATATATATATATATATATATATATATAAAAGAAAAATTCAATTAAAAGACAATGATTTGACTCCTAAACAGTTTTGGTATTAATATAAAAACAACCATTAGCCTTCCAAATTATACTTAATTTAGTACTGAAAAATTTACCTTTTACATGTAATTTTGTGAATATTGTGGCTAGATGAATAATGCATAACAATAACTCTACAGGTTTAAATAAAACAGGGCGTCTTTTGTTAATTTGGCAAATTAATTTGGGCTAGAATGTGAAAAAAACATGAGTCAAATTTACTGTGCACCTTGCCAAAAAACCACAGCAAGCTGATCACTAATTTCACTAGTGATGAGCCACTCAAAACTGCAGGTGCAGGCACTCCAAAACTTGCCAAGATATTGTCATTCTTGAAGATGACGTTAATCTCCCATCCCTTATGTCTAATTTGCAATTACTTTTCAAACAGATATTATAACTAACTTTCAAGTGTTAACATCTGCAGTACTTAAAAGGTGGGTGGGTTTTTAATGGTTAAGAAATCTTTCATGGTGTACAGGTTGTATAATAAGGTATTGCAAATAATGGCATGTACAAAGTTATGGTAAGTCTTGGAAGGAGCACACACACATGGTTATTGATATTTATTTTATTAAGATTCCACCTGACAAATACATATAAATAGTAGCTGTTTTAGTACTTTATCAAAATATTCTAAAATTGGAAGAAGTTTTTGAGTATGAATCTGAAACAGCCAGAAAAAGTTTGAAAATGAAAATGCATCTCAATAAACCTGACAAATGCAAACTTTAAATGTGAAAGAATCAATATGCTCCAATCCATGGTATCATACCCTTATAGCCCGAGGATAAGAAAACGGTGCTAAAACATGACCAATTTATGGTGTGGTGTGCTTAGAAAATTACTGCAGCATTATCATATAACATGGGTCTTCACAGGTGAGATGCTGGAATGAGTGTCACCTTGAGAGAGGGTAATGAATCCCCTTTGAACATTGCTACTCTAGTGTCTTCTTACAAGACCCTTCCCCAGGGGATATTTTAGTGAATTACAGGACCAAGATATTTGTTATGTAAAAGCAAACTTAATGATGGTCTAATGATGCAAGAAAATTATCAACCTTATAAGAATCTGTCCCAACTTAATTAAATGTGTGTGAAACCATTATGTATCTTTTTGTATGTGACCACAATGTATCTTTTCATACCAATGATTGTGACCATTTAAAGTTATCTCTGTTATCTCTGTGTTTATCCACAGTTTGAATTCACACATCTGTCCTGACATATGTTCAAGTTGTGGATCCGCAATACTCAAAATTTATGGACATTTTAGTCCTTCACCGAGTAGAACACATCTTTCAAATTAACTGTTTTTAGCAGCATTATTTTCAGTGTCTGGATTCTTATGCTGATTACTTCTCCATTAAGGTAAATTAAAGTTTCCACTAAATTCCTTGTCACCCTAAAGGTCAAATAAAACCTGTGCACAGTTGGTAGAGGATGATATATCATTTTCTTACTTTTGAACGTATTACTGAAACTTGGTGAAATGCAAATACCTGTGGTACAGTATTAATTCCTGAGTTTCATCGACCAGAACTTAAGTTCAAAAACCCTGCCAAGCAAAGGTTTTTAATGGAAAGTTTATTTGACCTTCCGGGATTCCCAACAGACTCATTTCAGCAGTTTTCAGAACCATTCAACATTGTTAACAACATTTTATACTTAAAATGTGGTGACTTTTGAAAATGAGTCGGCCTAAACTTTTCCATAGCTCATTATGGCTCTATATGATCAAAGAAAAATTTAAGATGTGAGAAAAAAAAAGCACCAACACCCTCATTCTAATGTTTCCTCATTTTTCACCATCAAGATGATGCCTGTCAAAAAAAGAAAGACCAGCATTGGGCTTTAAGAAATAATTTGGATAAAGGAATCTTCAAAAAATATTTTTTTAGTTTTTTAGAGGACATCTCCCTGTGGGAGGTAGAGCCCAAAACTGCAAAACAGCGGTGGCCATTCCCAAATTAAATCTTTTCACTCCATGATTGTTAACTGCACGTTTAATTTGTTTATTAGACAGATTTTGGCCCATACATGCCTTGGGTAAATGTTGGGAGATAATGACTTTTCACCTTGCGTGCAGGAGCAGCATGTGTTGGGATAAAAAACTTAGTCAAAAATCCTCATGGCTGTGTCTATAGCACACAAAGCGGGGATTATAGTATTTAACTTCCCACTGAAAAGATTTTCTTTACAAGCTGTGTTACTCATGCAAGAATGTGGGAAAACTTCCACCCTTGTGAAGAAAAAATTACCCCATATTTAAATTCAAACATAGACAAAGGATAGAATGTACAAATATTTAACACATATAAGTAAACTCTAATACATCCAAATGTCTAACACATACATGTGCTCTACTATTATCATATTTTCTACCAAATATTATTTACATTATTCTCTTTTTTTTTTCTTTTCAGCATGTGACTGCCATCCTATTGGATCTTTGGGTAAAACATGCAACCAGACCAATGGCCAGTGTCCATGCAAAGACGGAGTGACTGGTATCACTTGTAATCGTTGTGCCACAGGGTACACACAGAGCAACTCTCCAATTCAGCCCTGCGTCAGTAAGTGCATTCATTTTCAACTTACTTTGCATCCCAGATTATGTTCTTCTCCATGCCAAGACATGCATGTGCATTGTAATATTACACAATATAGCTCCCTGCATCTCATAGTAGTTATGAATATTGACTTAAAACTTTTGGTAGCAAATTGTAGCCTGCATTCACACTTACCAACACAGCAAGAATGAGTAGAGCCTACAGTTATTTGAGAAATTGGATGATTGTCTTTTTTAACTTAGCAGGACATTAAATACAAACTAAACTGGGGTTGTATACAAGAAAGTGAGAAGCTTGTAAAGCTGCTCTAGTTGTTAAGACAACATGCTTTAAAAAATTAAGGCTTATTGAAAATTAACAACCTTTTAGTGTTATATGGTTCCTGAATTTCATAAAAGAGAAATGTTAATTTAAATGACCTAATTTTTTGGAGCAAAATGTGAAGTAACATAGATTTCTAGACTAAGTCAGGAACTGTTTGTACACAAAGCAATATGCGTAAAAACCACCCACTACTTCCATAAAAAAGACAAATAGCAGTTTCTGTCAGTATATATCATACAGAAATAGCAGTTTGTAATGAAACCCATGTTGAAGGGAACAACATGGTGTGATTTTGCCCCAATTCAGTTTGGGAGTAGTTCCCGTAAAGGCTAGATCCTTTGTGCATCCCTGCGGGTGTGCTTTGTTATTGGGATATTTAGCTAGTTTATAGCTAAATTGGCAGTTTAAAGGCAAGATTTAAAAAAAAATCCATTTTATAATGATGTGTGAGAATATGAAGAAAGTTTGGAGGGTAAATTTATCTTTTGATTTTGATATAATATCAAATAAATAAGCAGTTTCAGTTCCCAGGATATGAAGGAAACAAAGTGAATAAAACACACAAATAGAATTTTTGAATAAATCCATGTAACTCTGTATAAAGATGAAATTAGTTAGTCTGCTCTTTATAGTAGTAGGATAAATTCCTGTTCTCATGACCAAGTGTGTAACCTTGGCATTACATGAGCGGGAATTCTAGCCCAAGTTTCTTTTCTTTCTAATTTTACTACAAATCAATCCCAGCCGTAGACCTGGGAAAAACTAATTTTCCAATTTGTATGTGGTGGGTATCCAATCCTCCCCATGATCCCCTTTCAAAGCAAAGTGGACCCATTTTCTGGGGGATTAACTCCACACTTCATAAGACAATTTGTATAGAACTTTATTAAAGGGATGGGCAGGTGGGTATTTTGATACAAATACAGATTCCTATCCGACTTACTCATCACTGTCATACAGCTTCAAGGGCTTGGCAGGATGATAGGCTGCCAAGGCCAATATGAGAAACTTAGGTATGATTCTAGTTATGTAGCTACATTCACTCTGAGAGATCCCTCTGAACAGATAATTCTATTGTGGCATGGTGATTTAATGATGTTGCAGTTACTACTGTGTAATGTATCCTGGGTGGGCCACCAGGACCACCTTTGCACAATATTCTGCCAAAAACAGACCACCTAGATGAAATTGTGTATTCAAGTGCAGAATTAATCTGAATGATTTTATCATAACAGCCAAGTTGTCTTACTCCAGATTCAATTTTTAACAATATATTTGTATTTATATGTTAGGAAGAATGGAGCTTTTTTATTATTGAAAAAAAGCATTTTAAGTATAACAAATATGACAAGGGGAACATTCAATTTTCATCCATCGACAGTTTTTAATTTAATTTGCCACACATAATTCAGAGCTGGTAATTATTACTATACTTCCTCTTCTCTTATTTGTTCCCAAATTTAAAAATATTATGTCCCAAATCTGTACCATAATAATTTTTATGTGTCATGAAGTCGTCATCTGAGAAGCTTTGAGAACATTTGGCCTTTAAACAAAAGTCTACTGGGAGGAATTTTCATTTCTTCTCCCCATAATATAATTGCTGAAAATTACATCAAGTAGACCCCAATTTCAGAACTGTGATGATTCCTATCACAAATTCACCTTGGGATTAAAAAGGAAATTGATCAAAATTATCAGCAGCTACTTGATATCTTATGACATTGTATTTAGAGTCAGTCTAGCCCAAGTAAAAAAGAAATATTTTCAGTGGCCACATGGTATCAAAACTGTTAGCTGGGGTAAGGAAGAAATATTTTGAATGGGCGCTCTTGCACAGTTTGATACAAAGAGGCATGGTGGTGAACTTCCTGTGAAGTGCACGAAATACCTTATTTGGTAAGGTTCATTAATAATCTTGTTTAACATTACTGGATAACATCTACAACAAGTAAAAAAAGTGCGAAGAAAATCACGAAGTACTGAGACAACTGCCAAAGTTACTTGTTCTTTCAATGAAGCATGCTTCCCTCTTTTTTTCTGCATTTGATGTGTAATTTGTGCTTATAGGCCGCTTCAGTTTTGCAAATAGTGGTTGCCCATGCTATTCCAGTTAACAGAGACTTTCTGCATGCTGGTTTTAGAGAATCAAAGTAAAAATCATCTTGAAAAGTATTTGACTTAATCAATATAGAAAAATAATGACTAGGTAGTGGCAATGCCCCTTTTAATAGAGAAAAAGCATGAATGCTAAACTGTAGATACATTCCTTTGCATGTTTTGCTTGATTAGAACTCCATCCATGCTTGGGTTATTTGTCATATAAATATTATACCACAAATTGTGAGGACACACAGTAGGATAAAAAATACTTACGGTCTTTTGATGAAAATGTCATTTTGTGGCCATGTTTCAAAGCCAAGCTCTTCCTCTATCATATTTCTTGGAACCCTTCTGCTTTTTGCTTCATAAACTTTTCTTTTCATTTTTACAGTCAAAACCATTGAATAATTTTGAATTCAATTGAAGAAAAAGCATTTAAAGTCCAAGTTTTGTTGTTACTACTGACAGCTCAGTTTCATGAATATTTTCAGAAATACTGTCAATCACTTGGTTTTTGTTTTGTTTTGTTTTGTTTTTTTTTTTGTAAAAAAAGAAGATATCAATGGCAAAATAATCTAGTAAAATTGTTTGGTGAAGATCAACCAGCATGAAATATACTTTGCACCACTTCTTTTTAAGTGATCACTTTTTTGGCGAAGAAATAAAAACAAATGTAATTTTAATTTTTACGTATCCAGATAATGTCAGAAACAATCTGTGCCCATTTTCTGTACCAGGCAAATATCCAAAAGTGATTAACAGTCATACCAGGAAATATCAATGAATTGTGATTGACAGTAATTACTTTGACTCTGTGTTTCCGGGTGTCTTAACTCAAAGGTTTCAGGTGTTTCTTATTAACTTTCATAACTCTTTCATTTTCTTCCAGAGGCAAGTAACTCATCTGCAGATTCATCATTAACAACAAGTTAGTTCTATTTTTGTCTAAGCATGCAGATTAAATACCAGGTCTCCCTATTCATTGTCATGGCTCTTTATTAGGTTTCATTTCTTCAATTCACCTGGTGGTGGTTATTTCTAGAGCACATTTTATTCTGATATTGATATCAAACTGACCGTCCTCTTTTGTGAAAACAGAGATATTGATTCCAGTATGAATAAAAACATCCAAAAATGCCAAAAGGTATCAAGACAAATGGGTGGAACTATAATGTTCAAAGTGTATCTGTAAGCCATTCCATGATCATAGTAATTACTGGCCACAGCTTGAAAGAAAGGGAAAAAAACAATGTTCTGTCTTTGCCATCAGCCATGGCACAGTGACATCTGCTAAAATAAAATATGATTGAAGAAATACTAATGACTCTCTTAGACAAAGGTATTAGGAAATATAAAATAATTAAGTAAATCAACGCACACACACACACACAAAGAGAGAGAGATTCAGCTGACAGCTCAGCTAGAGCCAGTTGCAACATGTTTACATGTAACATTTCACCTTGATTTCCTGACAAATAAGAATTAACAGAGACAACAGGATATAGAAAGGGCAACTAGATACACACTTTACTGTCTAAACATTGCATACAAATACATTTTGACATGTTAATCATTAACGTATGGTGATGCTAAAGGATTTTCCCTCAATAGCATGCATGTAAAATGAAAACAGGGATCTATGGTTATTATAGTCAACCAAATGTCTGATATAATACAACTTTAAAAAATTGTCAACTCCGTAAGTTCAGTGTCTGAAGAAAGCATTTTCTTCAATTATAACACCTCTTATGTCTGAATTTTTTACTTTTTAGAAACTCACCAGCCTAAAGTAACAAGTCCAAAACCAAGTAAGTACCTAATGCCTTTCCATTTCTGTTCAGTGTCCATTGAAAGATGCATGCACATTAAAACAACAGATTTTATAAATGTTATAGAATATGGTCTCCTAAGTGAATCTGTTATGTGTTAACATGTTTAAACTAGTATTTAATTTTTTTTATGTTCAATTTCTTTTAGCAGAACCTGTTTCATGTGACAGAGACAAATGCAAAGCTGCTTCTAAACGCATCAGCAAGAAGAAGTTCTGCAAGTACAACTTTGGTGAGTTCCTTTTGCACTCAAGAACTAAGACATTTTTTAACTTTCAACTCAAATTGACAATCACCTTTTTTCTCCAAACCACCAGATTTTTCCTGAGGTTATTCAAGAAAAAAATTGATAGCAGAAAGTCGTTTCACCTTGTTAGGAAGAAACAATAAGAATGACCAATTTTTCAGACACACTCTAATTGTTCATAATTGCTGGGAAGGTGGCTTTGGCAGCCAATAACTTGTCCTTGTCTGCTACATTAAACTTTAGTGCTTTTTGAAAAGTTGCACAAATAGTTCTAACAAGACACTGTCACATGTAGTTTCAGGGATCAGTGCTACAGAGGTTATAAGAAAACAATTGAACCCTTTACTATGTGGTTAAACCATTGATAAATCCTGAAACTTAGAGCACAGGTTGCCAGTGAAAAAAGAATTGCAGCATTAAAAGTTTTTGTAACAAATTTCCATCCCTTTGCTAATATCATCAGAAATTCTCAAATAGCATAAGTTGCCTCTAAAAATGCATTTCAGCAACATATTTTTGTCCATTTTAGCTGTAAATGTCCAAGTGATCACCAGAGAAAACATTGGTGAATGGGTGAAATTCACAGTAAACATCCTCAGCATGTTCAAGAGAAGCAGTTCCTCAAAACTACGCCGTGGTGAAGAGCAGGTTTGGATACAGCTCAGCGATGTTCGTTGCAAATGCCCTCGTTTAAAAGTCGGCAGGCGCTACCTGCTTTTGGGACATGATCACCAAAACACAAACATGGATGGATTAGTCTTAGACAGGAGGAGTATAGTGATACCATGGAAAGATGAATGGCAGAGAAGACTACGAAAATTCCAGCGATATGAACGTAAAGGAAGATGCCGGAACTGATCAAATCGCATATCTCTTGCCAGCCTATCGAAGGTTCTTTTTTATTTTCTCATGTGTGATGACAAAATGACAGCCTGTAGTGTAAAAAAAGTGTACAATATATTTATGTTGAGTGGTGATGTGTTACTCTATGGAAACCATGTGGGTGTTAATTTCTGCACTGAACCTCAGCACAAAAAGTGCAACCCGACAGAAAGAAGGGACACAAAAACTCAGCCCTAGTAATCGTTTCAGACAATACCAGTTAGGAAATCTAATATGTCTGCAATGGCAAACAAACTAGTTGAAAGATATCCTATATGGCAAAATTACCTCAGCAGAAGGTAAAAATGACATCTGATGTGCATTCCAACCATTCAAATCACAGTGGTGTGAGTGGTTGATGAATTTATCAAGGCAGAAGAATGAATTCAAAGTAGATTGAGTGTAACCACACATGGGACAGACTAAATGCTAAGAGGCTGAGGTGACTTAGACAAACTATCTGTCAATAACAGTATTATGCTTCGACTTACAAAATATTAAAGTGAGAAGTAAAGGGACCTGTATTCTGTGTATTGGGGCGTGTTCTCCCCCCTCATTCTTGCTGACCTTAAAGTAACAGATAGTTCCTTGTGTAAATGGATGGTAGATAAGAACAAAACCCTTCTCTGGAGTTCAGATGAGGGAAGCGTTGAAGGTCATTAAATCATGCGCAAATTGGAGGATACTTTTGCTTGCCACACTGAACTTTAGGAACAACCCACATCAAATGTGTATGTAAATAAATAACAGACAAAGATGGAACCTACAGCCACAGAATGTGTACACACCCTGCCCCCAAAATACTCTTCTGAATGGAACTTGGAATATTTGATAGTAAATAACAAATTTCCATGTACGGGACATTGTGAGGGTTTATACTGAGAATTTCAATACTTTTTGTGCATAATATGTTACAATGTGATATAATGATAATTACTGAATGATCCTGTCCTAGTGTGTAGGTTTTCATACCGCCTTTGTAATCATGAGAATTTGTTTTGTTTTCCTTAAAAATTCCACCCTCAGAACAACATGTTGTGTTAAATGAAAAAAATATGGGTGGAGAAAAATTAAAAATGACAGGGGTTACAGATAGATCATATACTAAACAATTGGGACAATTTTGACATTTGCTGCATTGGCAAAACACCAAAATGAGAAACTTTGTAGTATGGTGAATATGTACATATCAAGAGTGAATGAACCTGTTTGTCTTGAAACAAACCATAGGGTTGTGAAATTGAAATCAGACTCTTTATCATTTTTCTTGTAGAGACGGAAAAAATTCTCCCTCTGGTGTAAATTGCAGTATATCATGGCTTGCAAAAGTAAAATGAAAAATCTCAAACAAAAAGATGGATGGTATATAAAGCACTTCACAAAGTTTTTATTTTCATTTTGGGTGGAAATGAACACAGGAGTGAAGAATTATATAGTATTGGTTGTGAATCTGGGCCTGACCTGCTTGGGTATATAGTCTAACCTATATCAAGTTACTTAATATTTAGTGTCTATGTACATAAATTCATAAATACATTTTGAAACATGTTAATGTTACTCCTTTGTATAGTATGAAGGCAAACAGGTAACAATTAAATAAATAAATCAGTTCTTACATATTGTAAATACTTATTTATGATCAAATCATACTGTGTACATTACACTTAGAAATACATCAATGTCACAATCCCTTCTTAGTTAGATTGCATAACTGCATTTTTTAAATAACAGTCTTTCTGTACATTTATTTTTTGTATATCCACTTTTCCTTTTCTTTCTTTTTTGTTCTTTTTAGCTTTTTTTTTTTTAATGAAAACAATTTTCTTAGTTTGACATCTTCAACTAATGAAAATTAGGAAAGAAAGCTATGCATTAACTTGCTGTAGAATAAGCCAATAGTAAATCTTGGGAGATATCAAACTACTCCTTTTTCCTTCTCCTCTGTATATATATATTTGTTAGATTCGATGAATAAAATATTGATTTATTATAACACACTGGTTATTTAACCCACTTTGTTTGTACTTTTGAATAGATAGCATTACAGCAATGTAACTTTTCTTCCACATAATAAAAAGTCATCTCTAATATTTCTTACTTAAGTCAAATGATACAAGATGATTATTTCCAAGTCATTTTTATTTGAACCAAGAGAAAATTCTTTGAAAATGTATTTTTAAATACATAACCAGACAGAAAGAGTAAGCAACCTTCATCACTGGTAAGTGGTTTAATTGCTTTACAATCAGGCCAAAGGCAATTTATGTGCCAAAGTTCTCCCTCCAAAAACACATAGGTGGTTTTCTATGACACATTTTTTTTCTGACAGAGATGTTCAGTTTTCATTCTTGATGCCAAGTCAAACAACCATTAGCAGCTGCTAAGGCAGTTGGGTGTTGTAAGCCATTTTGCCAATGTTTTCATTGCTAGAAGCTCCAGCTGATTATAAGATCAATCCCCATTGGTATCTCTCCTTATTTTAGCCAATCTTTTCTTTGCACCTTACATTCATTTATAGCAGAAATAACAAACTTAATTTTGGGTTTCGTTTTGCCAGTAATGCCACCTGGTGGGCACTTCATTCTAGGTACAATTAATGAAAATCATGTGTTCTACATCACCGTTAAACCTAATTTACAAATTTTTTTCTATTTATTTTTAAAAACTGCTGTAACTGTGTCAAGTTGAAAAATTTACAGGACCAACAATGAGAACAATCTTCAAAGCAGAGTGCACAAAGGATGAAACGTCATAATGTCTGATCAATCTACCTTCCAAATGATTAATGATGTAACTGTAGAGTAATATTTGACTGAATGTTGTCTTTTCAATGAAATTTCTTTTAACTTTTTGACACTATTCATTCCAGGCCCGCATCTTATGGAAGACCACCGTTTTGTTATGTATTCAAATATCTCACAAAGGAGAATGCCTTTTCCTCTGTAACAGACTAAAACTCTGTCCCCTTAGAAAGTTAAAAGTACCTTTACATAAAATTGCTGTACTGTTGGTTTGTCCTTCTATAACTGGTACTATAATGCAGTCAAACAACAAAACAAACTGATTTGAAACAGTTTATTCCATATAAATTATTATTAACCAATTCATTGACCTGAGTTCAGATATATTCATTGGTCTTAGTCTCTTAGATACAGCAAGGTTCTAAGGCAGTTTTCATGGAACACATCTACCACTACCTCACCAAATAAATAAATAAATAAATAAATAAATAAATAAATAAATAAGTTCATGTAAATAAAATGGTCACAGTATTTAAAAATGTTTGAAAACTTTTTGCCCTCATCTCAAGTATTATCCACACTTCTATTCCCAGTACTTGGATAAATATGACATGTATAATACAGGATACTTTTTATGTGCAAACTTTCAAAAATATTTCAACCAAGTACCATAAGCTGTTTTAAGGGAAAAAAGAAGAAATATCTGCACTGAAAATTACAAGATCTATGTTACAATTACAGCCTTCACATACTCAGTCATGATGTGTAGACATATATTTAATCATGATACTAATAAAACATACAGGTTTATACAGAACATTGCTACAAGGTCAATTTAGACCAGGAAAACTTATTTCAAGAAACCAGTTTACAGAGAGTCCCCCAAACACAATCTCTGTTCTGAAGTAAGACAAGTTTAAACAGTCCTTTATTTCTTTATTGTTGCCCTGTGTCAAACAAGGCAATAACATCTAAATGGGAACCAAAGTAAAATGTCATCAGAGCATAAACCCCACTGTTCAAAGTAAAGACTCCTTTGAACCCCACACCATGTACTAACCATTACTAAAATTACTACATACTGAACCATGTTTTAGGCCATGTTCATACAAAACAATGAAATACCAAGCTAAATTTGTCTAAGCGAAGTAAGCCTCATCTCAGTACATCATTGCCATGTGAATTGCTAGCCACCAATGAGAAAAAAGAAAAAAAAGGCCAGTTCCTGAGATGGGGCACCTTGTAGTAGAATCTGATACAGCAAGCAGTGTTCACATTATTAAATCAGAAACAGTCCACCTGAGCCTAGTGTGAACATGCCTAAGTGCTATATATGTAAGTATAATATGGATATCAACAGTAGCACTGATCATGTAACAATAAGGATCAGGTTGCCATTAAAGAAAAGCTACAGAGCTAATGGGGATGATTTCATGAAATTTATGTGACACTTTGAAATACATGGCTTGATATAGTTTGGCATAAAGTTCTTATGGTCTTATAGTTTTTTTAAATCAATTCAGAAAAATTGTTACAGACCACAGTCAAGGAAGTGCTGAACATCTCGTGTCACCAGCAGATCTGTTACGTGTGAATTATTCCAATTCCTTGGAGTTCCTGCACCATTACTACAAAATTACAAAGGATATCAATAAGTCTCTGAGATTTTCTGACTGATTTAAAGATTGACAAAAACTGACTTATAAAAATGGTAAAAGATGCATATTTGATTTTCCACAAACAAACAAACATTTTCAGATTAAGATAAACTGGAAAAGGATGAAACATGACAACTGACGTTAAGAGGAATTTCTATTTCATGCTGAAAGGCAAGTTTGAATAAAATCCCTTTTTAAGTGGAAAAAATTTGTTTCTGCGTGAAAGCACTTGGCCAATACACTTTGTTGAATAAGACACCTCAGTCCCCACCCAAGTTAAAGCCCAGAAGAGCTCAAATGAACATGCACGCACATGCAGAAGTTCTTCAAATTCTTATTGTGCAACAAAGGGCAGCATGCACACACATTCCATGGCTCATCTACTCTGTATACTTATGCTGAAAGGCCACACACATAGGGTGCAAGGACAATAATAGCAATCCCTCTCTCTTCTTACCCCAGGTGTGCAAAGCCACATCAACAACATTTCTAAGACACAATAACGCATAGATTAAAGGTATCATTTTCCTTACTTATATCTGTGTTTAAATGAGAGAAAAATCTAAGGGCATATTGTACAGTGGCTTTACAAGTTTTGTCCCAAAAATGACATTGTATACAACAGTCTTAACTCATTTATCTATGTCTGTAATGTGCTCGGGATACAAATAGAGTGCACAAAAAAAAAAAAAAAAAAAAAAGGCAAGTGATGAACTCGGACAAAAATGCTATAGCTAATCAAGAAAGAATAGCTAATCATGCACAGCTCAAGCCAAACTTAGTAACAACAGATTATAATAAAAACTATGATGCAAATTTCAGACCAATTTTAGTTGAATTTTTGCAGAGAAAAAAAAAAGCAAATGTCCATGTTGGCATTGGACATTGGGGTAAAATAGAACAACACATTTGATATTATTTAAATTGAATGACAGTCATTTTGAAAAATATTAACCTGGATGTGAGGGTGTGGGTCTGCATCTACTCCACAGTACATATGTTATGGTAACCAAAGATATAATTAACATGGAATTTTGGCCCCTGTTCTTTCCTGGTCCTTTAGTAATTAACAGTCCCACCCTTGTACCCTTCAAATAATCAGAGAGACACCCACTTACTTATTCCTGTTTCCATTTAATATCCGTGACTCAGGGTTTTCCATCGTAGGGAACAACTGCTATCACAACAATGGCGATAAATAAGAGGACAATCACCACCCACATCCCTGAAATAGAAAAAGAAAAATACTTTATCTCCCGATTACTAAGCAATTTCTGCCCCTTTCGTAATGACAACAATACCCAATTATATTTCTGCAATAAACAGAAAAAAAAAGAAAATAATATATCTGTGAGTGAATGCTTCTTTGTAAAGCCATGAAAGTCTGGTTTTCTGTTCTTGCCTTGAAAACAAATGGAAAGAGAAATGATTTTCAACAACCACCCATACTCCTGAAATAAAAAGAAACGAAGTCAATTTTTTGGTTTAATTAGTTATTTCTCAACAGATATCCTCCATGTCTTGATAAGAAGAAAGAGCACTGCATATCCCCATCAAGAGACAATTCTCTAATATCTTTGTAAAAATGCTACATCCTTCTTTTATATATATAATATAAAATACAAATAACAGGGAATGATTTTTATACCTTACAGACAGAGGATATTGTAATTTCTCTTTCAATAACTGGTCAAATCTTGGATTTTTATATTTTCAATTCAATTCAATTTACTTCTGTACTGGTACATAAACTGTCATGACCTTGTACAATATGATATACTAGTGATGATACAATACAGTTATTGCATTACCATTTCTCTAGTTGGTGTTATGTTGCCTAACCATTTGTGAAGGAAAAAATAATCTTTATATAATGAACATACGCACTGGTAAAATTACTCATAAAATATTCATTTATAGCACCTTTGGCTTTGAGGAAAAATCACAGCATACATCCTTCTTAGTCAAAACCAAACCATCTAAAATTAGGTATCTCTATTCTTAAACCAAATTAAAACAGGAATGACTTGTTTTTATATTCATCAATTGTATTTTTGTTTTTATTGATATAATAAGCATCAACATCCTTTTCACATATGTACTTATGCTTATTATAGATCATAACATGCTTATCCAAACTTGTAGAGAAAACAAACAGCACATCTTATAATGTCAACAGTACTAGAGAATGCTTCCATGTCATAGCTTTTAACCTTTGGGATCTTAGCGGTCACCAAAATAAAGGTCCATCAGAATAGATTTACATATCCTCAGTATATACTCCTTCACATAACAATTTGATATGAACATATGAACTAAGACTTACAATGGTTACTTTACTCATTTAGCAACTCTTTTAATCTTGTAATATAAAGATTCATGGTTTATAAAGTTGAGATTTTAGTGGAAGATAAGCTCTAAACAATAGCAGGTGCCTCGATTTATCCCCAGATTCATCTATTCCAATTTCCAAAGTCCCTGCCACTACATGACATATGTTCCCTCCCCTTACTAAGAGTTCAGACAAATACAAAAACTTTCCAAAAAAGCTCTCAATTTATATCAATTTAATCTATATTAAATGCAAAATGGTAGTTTTGATTGGACTCTCAAGATAAGCCCCAAAGTGTGTGAAAATTTATGAAGTCTAACTGTGTAGAAGACACCACAGGAGTAGCCCAATGGAGTTATTTAGTTAAAATTTATGTTCTCCGCTCCATATTTTTTATGTAAGTTGAGCTACACCCTGTTGAATTTGCTGACATTTCTCTCCGGGAATCCAAAATCAAGCTGCTGAATGATATGATATTAATTACAACTATATGCACTATATGGTATGATGCAACTTAAAAGAGAGTCTAAATCTAGATTTCAGTTTATTTATAGTATCTTTAAAAAACACTTCAACATCAATTATTTTTTATGAAATCAAATATAAAAACAGCTCAGCAGGTTGCTTAATATTTTTCAAGCTGCTGCTCAAATTTCATGCAATATCTGGTGATAATTCGAATATCCTCAATAAAAGCTGTGATCTCTATCAAGTAGCCATGTAAAGGGCAAGTATGGTGTAGATGTTTCTATAACAATGGTGCAAAACCAATGTCAAGATATCACAGCAGCAGAGGGCAACATGAACATAAATCACGGAGCTGTTGAAAATGACACTTGGTCTTTGCTACTGGGTTTCTGCTGGCATTTTAAATACAACCATATGTGGGAAAAACTTGTACTGGTAAAAATGTCATTGTCACAACAGTGATTTGTACCATTAAGTTTGAACAAAATGTTTGTAAATTGGCCAACTACTTTGCTCTCAGTGCCCCTCAAATCCAACAGCAACAATGACTTTTTCAAAAGTGTGCTATATGCACATACATGTATCAAATGAAATTTTTCCTTGGAGTTGACCATAACTAACAATCTAAATATCATGAAAACAACCCAAAACATCAACTAGCATGTATCATAGCTTGAAAGTTGTGTGACACTTGTGATCACGCCTAATAAAGGTTAGGTAAAACTGTCAAATTCAGTTGTAACAAAGGTAAGTCTGACTACAAGACGTTTCAATCCAGCTTTAATCCTAATCATGGGGTATCTCAATTTTCAAAAAGAAAATCAAATAAAATTAGTTGGTCAAAATGGTAAGATTAATTGAATCTTTCTACTTATGGTCCACTTTGTTTAGTCTTGTCAAAAATCAAAATAATCGTCTTTCTGTAAAAATTGTTTTCAAAAGAGAACCCAATATTACATAAGAAAATATCCTTGGTGACAGATAAAACTAGTGGGAACATTTCCATTTCCATTTACATTATCTAAGCATTAATTAGCATTCAATTAGTATGTTTTAGGATTTTCAACATTAGTGAGTCAATTTCAAGAAAATAAAAATTCTATAATAGAAAATGCTCACTCACTTATCTCAGATGCATAGAATATCAGTTATTTAGACTAGGGACTTATCTGCTAAATTAATAGAATAAATAAATAAGTCCTATATAAAGGAAAAAAATCACTGAATGCCCACAGCATATACTGTTCTCAAGGACAAGGTTCTGAAAATGTCCCAATTTACACTAAAAAGTACCAAATAACCTTTCAGTCATGTCTATCCATCACCTTCTTTCAGCATAACTAATAAACATGTTCCCTACACATAAACACCCAATGACCTTACTGCTGAGTTTCAAAGCAGTTTTTACATGTTTGTTTGTACATGTATCAATATTTTTTTATGTTCAAAAAGATATTATATATTCTAAATTGTGAAGTGATATGCAAGTCAATTTTTCATATCTTTTATTGCATAATAACATGAACTTCTAATTGTTAAAATTGCTCATAGGCTACAGGTGTTATAAGTGTACATAACTGGATTATATCTCTTCATTTGCCTTCTGAAGTTCATTTTGTTAGCTGATATCATTTTAAATAGCAGTACAAATGATCTTTTACCAACAGGAAAACATCAATTAACAAAGACACATTTTGTCAACACATGAACTACCAGTGCCTTAAAATACAATTATGAAACAAAGAAACTACTGAAGTAATTCATGGTAATTAAAACTATAAATGTCTCTTTCAGGGAAGATATATTTTCTTAAAACACACCTTACTTGAATCGGAAGGTTTTCTTTAACAAAACAAACAACCATTTCCTCCATTCCTAAGAATAGTTTCACTCAACCTATTTATTATCTCTTTAGGTTAACAAAGCAACTTATTGTTCAGTGCTGGGATATTTCTCAATTAGCCACACAATTAATTTTGAAAGCCACTAGTATAATCAGACATATAAATCAAGCTCAAAATGTCACTGACTCATTAGTTATATGTATTTACCAATGTTGGTTCCTGCTCTTGAGTAATGTGATACTCCATGTAACGGTTTGATTAACCATTTCCATTAAAGTTAGTTATCAAATCACTACAGTTAAGCCAGAAACTAAAAACAAACAGAGAAAACAATGTCAACGAATTTTTAGTTGATTACATTTAATAAATAAAAAAACTATTATGAATGAATGAAAGAAAAAGAGAGATATCAATCACAGCAATTATATGTATAGATTATTCACATTAACAGGACATAAAAGAGAACAAAAAGCATAGAGAGAGAACAAAATTAGCATATCAAACAAGAGCAATTTTCTATCATCAAGTACATTTAAACACATGATGACTGAGACATTTGAAGAAATGTTCTTTCACTTTGTTTATGGTGTTAGTTACACAGAAAGGGGGTTTAGTCTGACATTGAGGCATACAAATAGGGACTGTTTACCTCAGCAGAAGACTCAAGAATTTCAATGATCTCCACATGTAAGTTGCTACAGCAAAAACTTATACAAGACAGAACTAGCAAATGCAGCAGTATATTTTAGAGTTACTCAGCAGCAGTTTCCTTTGATTTGGTTGTACTCAAAATGAAATGTCTTGAAAGTTTATCGACCCAAAGCTGCTTGAAGAGGCACATCATTCAGTTCATATGATTGCATTCAGCAAGAGTCCATGCTCAGTTGGATCAATCTACATAGAATGATAGTTTCATTGGAATTGCACCCTAAGATATCTTCCTTTAAATGGAAAAATCAAAGAAAGCATAAAGTTATTTAACTTATTGAAAAGTTCTGTCACCTACCACATGCACCGGATTTCCTATCAACAATTCTTATATGTCTGGTTTCTGTGATCAGCCTTTGATTTGTTGTATCCATGTGGTCGTGGATGTCATCAAGGATCTCTAAAACAAATAATCATCAAATACCATTCATGACTAAAACCTATGTAACAGGACAGCTACAAAAACTTGCTGTATTCATACAGTTTTACATGTAAAGAAGAAAATCACTAAAATATTCATGAATAAGAGACACTATATTTATTATATACAAGTATCTATACTGAAATGGGGAGTTGTGTTTATAAGTCGTATAAATAAGTGTTTCTATTCAAAATTCTCACATTTTATTATCCAGGAAAGCAAAATGTTAACATGCACCATTATTTTTAGCTTAACAAACAAATTATTTCAACATTTTTCCTAGGCAGGATACCCAGACACTCAATTGTTTCAGTGATTTATCCATAAATTGGATGATGAATGAATCTAAAAGTGTTCCTTTGTGTTCATAAATTCTTACATTTCTCTAAAACACTGTCTAAGGAAAATCTTACCATCCTGATGATCTACTTCATCTCCTATGTCTAAAGCTATCCTCTTTTGTTTGGCCACAACATCAGCTAAACTGTCAAGACCATGGTCCTGCGCTGAAATTGCAAGGAAAACACAATCATGATCTCAACTAAAACAATGAGGTGGAACATGCTGTAAAATGGCACATTTGCAGTATCAGTACAATTAGGACCAATACACTTTTTAAAAAATGCTTAATTAATTTGTAACATTTTAGTCAATTTTCAAACGAATACCACAACACAAATTGCTGTTGTCATGTCACGTATTCAGTTTTATAAAATGTTAACAAACCTCTCCGCACAGGAAACAAGTAATTTGTTGCTATTGCATATCAAATTTAATAATTCACATGTAAGGCATTAAATAGTGTTTCACAATCAACCTTTTATAAGATGTTGCTGCTGCTGCTTAATTTCATCTACGGACATTCCTCTGATGGCTTCTGGTTCTTCCCTCACTCCCCAGGGGTCACTATTCCATCCTGCTGGCCCTGCTCCAAGAAGGGCTGATCTGAAAATACATGCAGCAAAGTCGTGACTATTTCATCTACACTATCCTATTCTTGCATGTTTGTCTTATAGTGATTCCAATGATCAATATATTGCATTTATATGATAAACTAGAATGTTAATCTGGATTTCATAATAATATCAGTCTTTTTTCCACATAGATCATTTAAATATGATAAAACAATTTAACATATGGACATTTAATATACTAATCATTGTACTTGAAGGTAGTCACAAAATGTTTCAAAATCTTGACAAGGTCTTGATTTTCACCTGAAATTTGGTAATAAGATTGGTGTCATGGTCTGGTTTTAATGTATGGATGAATCACAATTGTTGGGTTGGTAACAAATTATAATACTCACCTTCCAGCACCAGAATCCTGTCTCTGCAAATTAAATGCTTGGTCAATCTGTTTCTCTTTAGACATAAGTTCGTCAAGGCTGGACTGACGTCTTTCTTTTTCTCTCTCTGTTCTGGTATTACAGTCAAGGGATAATGTAATACAACTCTTGGAATTTGGATTCATCAGGCCAACAATTCATTACACTTTTTGGTGATATAAAGTTTTTGTATTTGATATGAGTGTTTGTTGTTAAGTTTCTTGATCTATAATGTGTATTCGTACTATTTATCATTATTATGAAATATTAAAGCAAGATTACCGGACAGTGAGCCCAACTTTTATCAGTAAGGAAATATTTTTGTAATGTGTAGCAAACTGATCAATAAAAAGAATACAGTCCATACATTGCTGTCCTACTTAAGTTTACTTTCAGTCTGTTTAAATCATTGGAAAATTGTCTTATCATACTGCGAATCTGGCCAGACAGCTGAAATACATAAGAAGGTTTACAAATATAGCTGTGAGCAATAAAGGGAAAAGTACTGTTAACTCAATCAAAAAGTTTCATAAATTATTTCACGCCATGATAATCTAGGAACTAGCACAAGGTTATATGCATGAAGAAGTACTTTTACGCAGCATTATCTCTATATGCTTTTTGTCTTATCTAAGTTCATGATGATGAGATACCTAACTCTTAATTTTTTTACTAAAGTATCCTATACCAATACTGTCCATGTTACAATTAAAGCAGAAGATATTAAAAAAGTGAAAACTTTGGATGCTGGTATATAGTAACTGTTGTGGACAACAGTGCCTCAAAGCCCCTTTTTTTTATGGCAATAAGCCCAACACTGGACATACCTTAGTGTACTGTGCACTGGTCCTATCATGTCTGTTTCTCTCATTGATTCTTTGCAGTATATCCTGTGCCAGAGCAGCACAGCTGTCATACTCTGAAAGCCTGTAAAAAATCATTATTAGTTTTTCATGTTTAAGGGCATATTTCCAGAGCTTTTAGATCGATCTATCCCCGCGGGGAGTCTTACTAGATTACTGTCAGATAATCCGGCTTAAATGTCCATCCCGCCTACTACAAGCTGTAAGGGGGTAATTAACTTTTGTGCCCGCTTGGCTGACAGCTATTTAGTTAGGTCGAACTAAAGTAGATCGATCTAATCTCTGGGAATGGGGTCTAAGTGAGCCTCTGGAAATGCTAGCTATTACAAATAGCATCTTAGCACAAAAAATTGCAGTTACCACAAATAGTACATATCTGAAACTGTAAATATGAGCGCTAACACAAGAAATTTCGTGCTAGTGGCATTTTTGCTTTAGAAAGTTACATGTATTACAGTAAGAAAAATTTCTAAAAGTGTTTTAGTCTGTGGTTACACAGGGTGCTATTTCAAACAAATAATTTATCCTGAGCAGTCTACCTAATCATCGGGTCTAAACGATAGGAGACAATAATGTTATTGCCACAGCCATTGTTTAGCTTCTAAGTTCTAGTACTACTACTGATTATAAATACTATTATTTATGCATGTAATGTCAATATACTCGGAACACCACATCATACTGTACAAGAAATGTCAAATTAAAACGCCGGTTTAATGAAGACCTTTTGCAGTCAAATCGCACATTATGTATACATAAGACACTTAAAGCAGTTAAGTTAAGTTCAGTTCAACAACACAAGGTGTTCAATGTTTCTTAACCAGGAAGGTTTCACAACTACAAACCAAAATAAAGACCGAGACGTACCACATATCTCCAGCCATGTTGATCCCAGTTTGCGGAAGTTGATCGGCACGTGACATAGTGGATGACCTTTGACCTACCTTGTCGCACAGACGAGCAGGCATGCTCTTTCGTTTCTCTAAATATCTTATATTTCGTTTCTTAAACTTTAAAATACTTAAAGTTTTTTGGATATGTAACTGGCAGCCAACTGTCCCAAGCACCGCGGATTTTTTTCTTGAGAGAAGGGGGAAATGAGCATGCCAGTATAAAATGGAAAGGCAGTAAAACTAGAAATTTCACAGACATACCGGGTACACGATATAAATCACAACTGACGGAAGCAGTAATCACACAGACGCAGTCTAAAATGTTGAAAAATCAATTCAGCTTTGAAAATGCACAAAATTCTTTTTGTCAATTTGTTGTAACGTTAAAACGATTCATAAAAATCAGTTACTGTAAAAACTCAAATAATGTAATTACCACTATACTAGTACTTACATGTAGTATTTAAACCAATGTGGGAATTTCAACTTACACATAGAAAAGTGTTAAAAATAAGAAATTCACAAAAAGGAAAAAAATCAATCTCAAGAAAAAAAGAAAATCAGGCTGACATTATAATTTGAACTGTATTTTAGGTCTGTGAATAAGTCATGTAAGTTTGAGAATAATACACATAACATTTTTTACTTTTATTCCTAAGTAAAAATTCCAGGAGTGTACAGAGATAGATGGAGGTGTTGGCTGTATAGTCCAGATGCAGTGTCTGTCCATACAAACTAGTGAGATAATAATTTTCTATGACCAAATTAATGTTTCTCTCAAAAAACATTCACATTATTTGTCTTTTTTTCCTGCAGTTTTTAATTTAAAAAAATGGTTAGAAATACTACCATTAAGTAAATAAAATAAATAAATTTTGAATGATAAACAACAGTTGCTTTTTTTATCATTCAAAACAATTTATAAAGGGGTAGAAAGAATCATGTATTTAAATTAAGAACTAATTAAATCACATTATTCTTAAATTGACTCATTCAGCAAAGTTATCAATTTCAGCTAAGCACCTAATAAGTATATCATAGATAGCTACAAAAAGTGTACCTTTGCATGCATTTACACACAAAAAAAATTTTCAAATATCTTAGTATTGCAAATTCACTAACAGTTGTTCATAAATCCCACCAAATCATGGCACCAATGAAAGATTCTAATTTGATAACAACATAAATTTATGATCAACTCTGTTCCAATTCCTATACATGCATGTATATCATCCAACCAGTAAGACACCAATTCCAATCTCCATTCATCATATAATTAGAATCTTCTCTCCAGGTTTACAACAGCCGCAGGTCAAAAAAACTTGCAAATATTTTTTGGATTTTTTTTTCAAATTTTTATCAGGAGTAAATCAGTTCCACAATTTTTAATCCCTGATGCAAATTCTTTTCTCTAAAAACTGGATATTTCAAGAACATCAAATGAATGTCTGATTTCTGCCGCCTAAAGATGATGTCCGAAAATACCAAATGTCCATTTTATTTGAATGTTACTGAAACTTGTCTGCAGTTTGTTACTACTTTGGTTTCTGCTTAAAGAAGGATAAGATTGACCGATTTCTTGGTGATGCAACCTGAAAGAAAGAAGCAAAACATTGAATAAAGGTTATTGATTGATGCACCATTTTACTTTATATAACTGTTTTTATACTTATGGCTTGTCTCTCAGTGATTAACCAGTGATTAATCACATTTTATTCAACTGTTCAAAAATTACTCTATATTAAAAGTGGGCTACTAGCAGAACAGACCCAGAACCAGAAAGAAGTATTTTATGGGTAAAAATGACTGAGAAACAATAGTTTACTTACCAGTGGTGAAGTTGGAGAGGCTGAGCGGCTTACAGATTTTGGACTTCCTTTGACTTGGTCCAGTGTCTCCTCTTTAGAGAGAATTCTCTCCTTCCTCACTTTGAGTTTTAATTTTCCACATGCATTATCCACAGCTGTCTTTTTTCCAATTTCTCCACTCTCTAAGGTTACTGAACCTCTTCGCTGTAGACTTATTTTTGTTAGCCAGTCTATAGATTTGGGAGAGTTTTCTTTATTTTGAGGGGCTTGTGGCACCCTTGGTTCTGGATTGAGAACCCAGTTTGGGAGATTGCTTGTTGGGGAGCGGGTCAGAGAACTTTCAATTGTTTTCAGTTTGTGAACAGTTTCTCCTTCTTTAAAGTCTGAAGAGAAAAGCTGTTTTTTTGCCCCTTGAGGTGTCTTTACAGTCTCACTAAAACATAAATCACCACTACTGTCTTGATTCACTTTTTCTGGACTATTATAGTTCACTTCATCTAAAGCATTCCCATACTCTACTTGGCCATTTGTCACAGTTTTTGCCACCTTATTTCTTTGCATTAATTCTCCACTGCTGTGTTGCCTCTTTATCCCCACACTTCTGACAGGTGTTGGAACAGATGGCCTTTTCATGGGACTAATAATTAATTTTCTTGGGGATGGTGGAGGTGGTTTCCGTGGGGAAGTCATAAGTGCACTGTCAACTTTTCCAGTCCTATTCAGCCACTTTGTTAGGGTTACTGGTACCAATTTAGCTGTCATATTCCTAGTGTTACTCAGGTTTGCTGTGACTGATAAAGTGGTCGGATTGACATTAACATTTCTGACAACTCTGGAGTCTTTGTGAGGTGACACTTTTTGTCCTGATGAGGATGGAGGCTTCAGATTTTTAGAAGGTGAAACTAAAATGAAATGAAAGATATAAGCTGCCATTTACAAACAAAGTACTATAATGCTAAATAACTTTTCAATATACACAGGAAGTAGCAAAATTATTCCAATATACCATTTAACATAAAATCAGACAAACATCAATTTTGTTAACATTAGGAAGAAATGTAACAATTCAATATTTTTACATGTGTACAATTTTGCCCAAACAAAGGGACTTTTTTAAGTAATTCATACCAAACAAAACTGTAAAACTTTTCAAGACATTCATATTTTAAAATTCTTTCTTCATGAGACACTATTTGCATTTTACATCACAATAACAGCTAAGCTTCTGATACATTTTATAAATCAAGAGCTATCCAAATGTCCCCTAGGTTCACAATATTAAATTTTAATCAATGGTTTTCTCTTGCAAAGACTGATCATAGTTTTACAGCTTGTAAAAATCATCTCTAACAGTTAAACTGTTACATGCTATGCTGAAGTAAGGCAATGTGTACAGAAATAGCAAGCTACATTTTTCCACATAACCAATGTACTGACCCTTGGTTTGGGGTGCTCTCTCAGCATGTCCAATGGTCACCCTTTCTGAGTCAGCGGTACTGTGCCTGTACAACCGCCACACACGCATGGTGCTATCATCACTTAGGGTCACAGCCTGAGAGAAAAGAGGGGTCATTGGTATGGCTGCTATTTAGTTTACAGCATAACTTAATAAAATAATCCTCTTAGCTCCCAATAATTAAACAACATCCAATTATTAAAGTCTCTATGAAGTAAAAAACAAAATGCACACTTGCCATGGCATATATAATTTTATCAAAATAAATTTAAATTATTTTATCCCAAAAATATTTTTAAAATACCTGTGTGAAGTCAGCAGGATTCCATGCCACACTGGTCACCTCTCCCAAGTGACCCTTCAATAAAACTGGACTGGACAATGGATCATCAATCTGATAAAATCACACTGTATAAATTACTGAATTTTTAAGCTAAAATCTAACTTAATTGATAACTTAAACTTAAGATCAAAATATTTTGAGTTATTTCCTAACACCATATCTGTTATATATAAATCAAAAATACAAGTTTCTGTCAGCAGAAAAGTATAAATTCAAACTGCCAAAGGGAAAAAAACTTTTGATCAAGAACCTCAAAATTTATTTACTTTCTTAAAAATGAGCTTGACATACCTTTATATAATAAAAAGTTTTACATGTGACTAGTAAGTTATTCCAGTGTTAATTTAAAAATCTGAAACCAACCTTCCACATGTAAGCATTGTTATCACTGGATCCACTGAGGAGAAACCTGTCATCTGGGCTGACACAGGCCTTCACATAGAATGTGGAGTTCCTATGCCCTTTATACACACCCTCTGAAACAATACAAATCACAACTTTTGAAATACCTATACTTACATGCTTCATTACTATTATGATGGTCATATAATGCATACAATTCTTTTCAATCATAAACTTAACACAATTTAAACATTTTTTTCTTTTAGAAAAAAAAAGACAATATTTTCAGCTTCAAAATTGCTTGGTGGAGGGATAAACACATGGTTATATTCAATCCCTGCTGATTATCAATCTTCAGTTTTCTTTTGTTTATTCCAGCTGATTCATTGATTGAAAATACAGACATTCATTTCTTCTACTTATTATTCAGATTCAGATAATGTAAAACACATAGATACTTACCTGACTTAGAAGTGTAACTGGCACAGTTATACTGGTAAATATGGTCATCTGTACAACTTGCAAACAACTTTGTGCGGCTAGAGTCAAATGCAAGATTAGAGAAGCCTAAAAACATCAAATGGAAATGATATACTCTTATTGTATACAAAAAAATCTGTACACACAAATTCCTTCACATAAATGCGAAGAGTTGAGCAAAATGTTATAAGATGCAAAACATGAATATCAAAACAAGTCTATTATTGGTCCAAAAAGTTCAAATTAACATTTACCATGTTTTCTGATGCTTGAACCATTGTATGGAAAGTTGTGCATGGGTTGTGCCCCCATCTTCAAAACAGAGTAGTTCTTTCTCATGTCCCACACTTTCACTGTCCTGGAAACATACAAACAAAATATACCAATAAATTGCCAAGATATAAAATACAATCAATACTTAAATATAACAGAATGATATTTTACAAAATCTGTAAGAAAAACTTTTAAACAGATATTGCAGAACACGGGGGATATATAATCCACAAGCAAAGTAGAAAACTAACCTACTGATGAAAATCAATGAGTAACTTTTCTAATTTGTGTTATTTCAAAATTATACAACAAAGTAAGCGCTTGATAATCTATATATCAATTAAATGAACAAAACAGACAACTACATAATTCTTTTTTTGCAGAACCCAAACCCAAAAAAAGTGCAGTAACTTACCCATCCACAGCCCCTGCTGAAACCAAATGATTCTCATCTTGGAATAAAACAGATGTCACACTTTGCTGAGAATCCTGAAATAATATTCATTAAATAATTACGATATTTTTCTCACATACCTTCAAGATAATCTTCATCTTAGTTAGGACTTAAGTTTCAAAAATGTTTTCAAAACAACACTTTCAAGTTGCAGTACAAAGAACATAGGTTAAAACATCCCTCATTTGTCATAAAATCACATCGGGATTATGACAACAAAATCAAATATATATTAAGTAGAAGCAAATAATCATATTGCTATAAATACTAGGTTTACTGGAGTTAATTTTTTGTTTAGGTCAAATAGCACATTTTTGTTTTTGCTAAATCATTGAGAAACTGGCAAAACACTGTGAAAAAATTGAACTTTTTTTTAAATAAATGTTATGTATACCTGAGCTGGGCCAAGTTTTGTTCTTTTCTTTGGTTTGGGTGTGGAGCCTGAACTTGTGGTGAGGTGAGCATTCCTTACAATGTTAACAGATGGGATGGAACCATCTAAAAACAAAAACAGCAATAATCCATGAGTTTCCTTAAATCTTAAACCAAGAATTAGAACTAAGTTACAGTTTGTTACAGCCAAAAGAGCTTGGAAAAGTGTTCTTTTAAACCCAAATGGAACAGAATACCGTATGCACATTACCCAAATTTGTAAACTTATAATTTCTGATCCATTTAATTACAAGGCTCCCTGGCAACACTTTTCTTCCCAAAGATTCAAAATTAAGCAAATAGCTACATATTTTTATCCCAGTTAATCAATTTCAGCTACAGAGGAAATTCTCATGGAATTCATTGCAAAGAACCACTGTTTATCACTGACCTTTTTTACTGCACCTAGTATCCCAGAGCATGATATGCCCATCTCTGGAACCTGAGCTGAATATGTCTGAAAAATTCAAAAGTAGAGGATATCCCTTTAAATATGAGTAAATACATCACTCTATAAAGAGCATGACAATCAACGGGAACATAAAACCCTGCAGCCTGCTAAACAGCTATATTTTACAAGCTTAATTTTAACTTGTGTAAATGCTAATATATGTATAAACTGAACTGAAATGAATTGAAAATTGAAAATTAATTTAAATTACTTATTTCATGGTATCCCTGGTTAGTGGGACTTTCTAACATAAATCTTACTAGATGTACTTACATGGATCATTCCAACGTGAGCTGATTGATTTGACACTACTAGTGTGACCACGAAATACAGCCAGTTTTTGTGAAGTTTCCACATCCCACAAAGCTATTGTTTGGTCTCCAGATGCTGTAAGTATCTTGTTTTCACCAATGACCCAACTGACATCAAAGATGGCATTGGAATGGGCTGACCAATCTGAAATAAAGTGCACAGGTTATTCCTGACTTAAGTTTAACTATTATAATATATCTGGATATGAACATGCTAATTACTTACATGTATAAATTTTCATGACAGTGCATAGATACTTATACCCTATCAAAAAATCTACTTACTCACAAAATTGCATGAAAATTCATAACTAAACCACATTGTGATGTAGTTGTTTAGTAACCTTTAAGTACAGGGGCGGATTTAGGCCGTCTTCTGGGTCTTCCAGAAGACGGTCAGATTTTCAAGTTTACATTAAAAGGTATCTTATTTTTTCTGTTGGAAGACGGTCAAAATTGGAGGATAGATCAATAAATATAATTTGGAAGACTGTTAGAAAATAGCTCTGGATCCGCCCCTGAAGTATTCCTTCAAGCTTACACAATTTCTTTCATAAGAAAAAGAAAAAGTTTGTCAGGAGGAGAAATAAAACATGGAGGCATTACCTTTAACAACAGCTTCAGTTCCTGTTTTATTCAGGTTGTAAAGCACCACTGTTCCATCTTCATCTGCCACAGCCAGAAAATGCAAACTCCCTGGGACTTAACACAAAATCATTATACATCAATATGTATGCAATCAAATATCATAAACTTAATACTTTCATGGCTTTTGAGCAAATATAGCATTTTTTAAAGTTTTAAGTAAGTGAGGCAAGTATACTGTCAAATGTGAATAAAAGTTATGAAAATGTTAAATGAAAATCAATCTAAAGGATCTATAAAAACCTTTTAAATTTACACATAAATTGCTTAAGTTTTTCACAAAACAACAATCAAAATATCTCAATAAGTGAAAAATATATATCATTGCTTACCTTTGCAGAAACTGCATGCAAAAGGGGGGATAATCTGTAATGAAAAACATTTTTTTTATTTTAACTGTATGAAAATTGCAACAATGCACTAAAAATACAAGCTTTATTGCATGTGTTGTATCAATGGAAGTGTTGAGTACAAAAAAAAAGTATGTTGCCATGCATCATCTACTCCTATAAATTGCTGGTAACTAATGAAAGGATAAATACACACACAACTATTTTCTGGTGTTTTCAAAGGTGTTCTTTATCAGTATATCATTATCTATTCACCAAGAACTATTACGCTGTGCAGTAATTCTAGACACCCAAAGCCTTGCTCAAGTTGCTGCCTACAATTTAAATGCATATTCAGTGATAGTGACTAATACCAATGAGTACAGAATTTACCTCATATTCTTGTCCTTCAATCAGGTGCTGGTCAAAGCTGTAGCACCTGAAATCCTCTGTGATCCGGTCTAAGCAGGACGTTAAGGTACCTGGAATTGAAGTCCAGGGCAAAAGATTTTCATCTAATTATAAACACTCGGTAACTAAATCAGCACTGCGATAAGTCTGTCTTAGTCCTGTAGACAAGGAGCGAAGCACTGACCACAATGAGCAATCTCTAATGTTTCAAATGCATTTATGAACATACCTTCTTTACCAAACGATGCTGTTGCCTCCCTTGCAAATAATCGAGACAATAAAGCCATGAATATAACTTCTTTGATGGAAAATACTGGAAAATAAGCTGGTGTGAATTTTAACAACTTCCCGCCATGTACGTCATATTTGACCTAATTCAATTGAGGAGATCTCGCGTTAAGTGGAAGCCATATTGGAAGCACAGATTTACTAGAAGGTTCAGTCCCAAAATCCAGTAAAATCATTAGATTTTTAAGAGCATCGTACCCTTTATTTATTTCAGTTACACATTAAAAGCTTTGATCTTTCACCATGTCGAAAGGGAAAACGCAACAACCTAGTAGTCGGTCAGAATACAGGGACAGAGAGAAGCCAACTGCAGTGAGGGACAGTAATATTACTGCAGCGAAAGGTATGGCATACGAAAAATAAATTGTAACATAAAAATTTAGTTAAGTTCAACATTTTGATGCGTTTCTCTATATTGCATATTTTAATATGAAGGTTTTTTTTTGCTATTGTGTGTGAAAGTACCAAAGACTTGGACATCACATTCGAAGCAAAGCTCTGATACTGTACTGAAGTAAATGGTAGTTTGCCGAGTCTTGTTCTCACTCGTCGACCATCTCAGTTTGATGTCAGTTATCACAGAGTTTTGTAAAAGCCTAACGTTGATTCGTTGTCTGTACTGGGATCTAAGATTTTCAGTCCCTGATCGCTTTTTCCTATTGCTCTATAAATGTAATAAAATTATTTTTTGTAATGCGAGCATTCCAATTTCGGCAGCTCCACAATTTTCCTTTTTGAGGTTGATTTTGATTGTTTATCTGATGCGATATAATTAGATAACTGTTAATATCTTCAAAAGGGCTTTAATTTATTGCAAGAAATGAATCTGCTGTCAAACATGATATAATGACATTATTGAACATTTGTTTGCAGCGGTTGCCGATGCCATCCGAACAAGTCTAGGCCCAAGGGGCATGGACAAAATGGTAAGTTACTCTTGCACATTTTACTTGGTGTCTAGACAGAAACGTACTTATATCTAAGTTCAAACTTGCATTATTGAAAATTTTTACCAAATCAGAAGTACCAAATCTTAATACCAGTATTTATCATAAAGCAATTTGTGAAAAATTTTGGTTTGGCTGTTTGTTTGGTGGAGAGAAAATTTATTCCAGATTGAGCCCAGAAACTGTTATGTTACCAGGGCGGTGCAAACGCATATGGTTTAGATTAGTCAATTTATTTAAGTAATTATTTAAACTGATTGAAAGTATTTTATAACTTGTTTGCCAAAGAATTATTTGTGGGATTGCAGATATAAAAATGCAGTTAAAACCATATATTTGAAAACGAAAGGCAGTTATATTTGCAAATGTTACTTTAGATCCAGTCTGCCAATGGAGATGTGACCATTACAAATGATGGGGCCACAATTCTCAAACAAATGCAAGTGTTGCATCCAGCAGCTAAAATGGTATGTAATGTAAATAATAACTTAATCTATCTTTATCCAACAAAATATAGTATAAAGAATCATTTATAATAAATATTGTGAATGTATCCAGGTGTTTAGAAAGAAATTTATAAAAGTCAAATACCCGACTTTTCTTTATATTACTACCTTCATATTGTGCCCTGAATTGATGAATAAGGTTCATGGAGTTTTGATCACGTAAAAATGCTATTTACTCTGAAAGAGTCATCTGTTGAGTCATCAATAACATGTAATCTCAGTGTGCAAGTAACATCTAATTACTGCCAGCTGTATTATTTGCTCAAGTGTAATACTGTGAATGGTGTGGGTTTGCCTTGCAGCTGGTGGAACTTTCCAAAGCCCAAGATGTTGAAGCTGGAGATGGCACCACATCTGTTGTTGTCATTGCTGGAAGTTTTCTTGATGCCAGTGCCAAGCTATTAGCCAAAGGTGAGATGATGGTAATTTTACATCCATATCTGATAGTAATACTTTTAATGGAATCCATGTAGAATGTTCTGAGCAGCAGTTTAAAATTAAGGCTAATTAAGGCTAAGGCTAATTAAAAGGCTAATTGGATAATGTCTTATTTGGAAGAAAAGAGCTTAGTTATTGAGTGTTATTTATTTTTTTCAGAAATTGTTTTTACAGAGGATTATAGTGTTTGATCATTTTTGTCAGGTATCCATCCAACAACTATATCTGAAGCGTTTCAGTCGGCAGCAGTAAAATGTTGTGAAATTCTGGAGTCCACAATGGCAACAAAAGTAGAACTAAGTGATCGTGCCTCTTTACTTAAGAGTGCCTCCACTTCTCTCAATTCTAAGGTGAGCAAAAATGGAAGTGGTGTTTTGCTTAGTATGAACTAAATGTGTGAGAATACCCCTTTATCTTTAGATGATTGAGATAAAATATTATCAGTAGTTTTGTGGTGTTACGGGTTTTATAGTAACCAGAAAAACTGTTATACTGCTAAGTGCTCTAAAAGATATTTTCAATTATCAGTTTTAGTCCTTGTGGTCTTTTCTGTGAAAGAAAATAGAATAATGCATTTTGCATAATTTTTCTTTTTTAGTGTAAATTATCCTTTAAGTTGGGAATGTTTTATTACAAGTTATATGACAAACGTGCAAACCATTTCTTTTATTTCAGGTTGTATCACAATACTCCAGTTCCCTTTCACCAATTGCTGTGGATGCAGTTTTAAAAGTGGTAGACCCAGCATCAGATACAAATGTAGACTTAAGGGACATCAGGGTTGTCAAAAAGCTTGGGTGAGTTGGAGCGTTTTACATATTTTTGTAAGGGATGTTCTATTTAGTCCAGATATTTTCCCCCAGCTTGATTGGTCTAGAGTAAGAAAATTTAATTTTTTGTAGTATGTAAATGTTTTATTTTTGAAATTCTATCCCAATTGATAATGAAATTGTCTTCTTTTCATGTCCTAGCTGTTACTGTTAGATAAAATATGAATTTAATAAAATCTCATCTGTTGATATACTTTACAGGGGCACAGTAGATGACACGGAGCTCATTGATGGTGTTGTCTTTACACAGAGAACTGCTGGCAGTGGGGGTCCAAATAAAGTGGAAAAAGCAAAGATTGGTTTAATACAGTTTTGTATTTCACCACCAAAAACTGATGTAAGTCATTAATGTATTGATTCCTGTTATTTGAATTATTGGGTCCATATGTATGACATCAGTGTTTTAGAAATAAGACGTGTAACTATTCACTTTTCGTTAGAGTATATGAAATATTGATTTGATAATAAAGTTATAAAAGGGCTTCAAATTATATAAACAAATTTCTAATATTTGTTGCAGATGGAGAACAATGTGATTATTTCTGACTATGCACAAATGGACAGAATAATGAAAGAAGAGAGAACATATATCCTCAATATTGTAAAACAGATAAAGAAAGCTGGCTGTAATGTCCTCCTAATACAAAAGTCCATCTTGAGGTAAATAATTTATCTCTCACTCAAAACTTATGTAATTGGTTTGCTGTGGAATGCAATATATTTGAAATGTGTACTTGTTAAGTTTTAAAATAAATGTGATGGAAATTATTTCAGTCTTTAAATATGTCTTTTCATTATTCTTACTAGTTATCTTCAATGTGTATTATATTTCCAGGGATGCTGTAAGTGATTTAGCTCTACATTTTCTGGCCAAAATGAAAATCTTGGTGATAAAAGATATAGAAAGGGAAGACATAGAGTTTTATTGCAAGGTGAGTGTGTTAACAAAATTTACCAGTTAAAAGTTTTGTGAGTCATGGATGTGAAAAATTATATCTTATCTAGTAGGAAGTAACACTTTGTATCATTAAAGGAAAATTGAACTTTGAAAATTTGGGAATCGGAACGATGATAATAAATGAGACAATATTGTTATGCTTGATTATTGACTTTCAGAGTTTGGGCTGCAAACCAATTGCGAGTCTCGATCATTTCCAACCTGATATGTTGGCTGCTGCAGATCTGGTGGAAGAAGTCCAAACTGGAAGCAGCAAGATAGTCAAGGTACTACAACTGTTTCTTATAAGTGCAACAGTGCATTGTGTGTGTGTGTGTGTGTGTGTGTGTGTGTGTGTGTGTGTGTGTGTGTTGGTGTTTGGGGGGGGGGGGATGAAAGTCTAATTCAGTAGAAATGAAGAGCTCTGAAAGAACGGTGGGACCTGTTTCACCTTTTTTCTTCCCAATTGAAAGTCAAATGTGAAGACGTGTGTTTTGTCAAAGGTAGTCAAGAATGAATAATTTATTACTTTTAACAATTTTAACAAGGTCACTGGCATACAAAGTGGGGGCAGGTCCGTCAGTATTCTGGTCAGAGGGTCCAACAAATTGGTCTTGGAGGAGGCTGACCGATCAATTCATGATGCTCTCTGTGTCATAAGATGTTTAGTGAAGAAGAGGTATGTAAATTGCTCAGTTCATAACAATTGTCGGGTTTAATTGAAGCAGTTAATTAATTAATTTAATTTAATTCTCAATTGATCGTTAACGATTTGAATAATAAGTTAATTGCTACACCCTTGTTAAAATTTAAGCTAAGTAAAAATGCTTCAAAACAAAGGTTACCATCCTGCAGCATCTTGTGTGCTTTTTAATCTCTCTGAAGATGGCAAATTTGAAAAGATGTATACTGGGAATGTGTGTACTGGGAATTGTAGAAAGTAGTAGTTGCCCTTGTAATACAATGTTTTTTCTACTATTTGCTTCCAGAGCCCTTATAGCTGGTGGTGGAGCCCCGGAGATTGAGTTGTCTCTGAGGTTGAGAGAGTACTCCCACACCCTCACTGGCATGGAACAGTACTGCTTCAGAGCATTTGCTGACGCCCTGGAGATTGTTCCCTTCACTCTTGCTGAAAACGCAGGTCTCAATCCCATTGCCACAGTCACAGAGCTCAGGAATAGGCATGCACAGGGCGAGAAGACAGCTGGGATAAATGTCAGAAAGGTATGTTCACATAAGGGTGTTATTGTAGTTTTTTGATGTAACAAATGCATCATCAGTAACTGACAGTGATCAGTGGACAGGAGTTTTGGTAAAAAAAGCCTTTCTTCCATAAGATACCCTGTAATCTGAGTATGCCCAGTACCACTTGCTGGAATTATATGATTCCAAGTTTTGCAAAAATTGTTGGGGAAATAATAAATCCAAATTCTTTACTTGGATTGTATTACTAAGTTCATTGGTTTTGTTCTTAGGGTTGTATAACTAACATCCTTGAAGAGAATGTAGTTCAGCCTCTGCTGGTGTCCACCAGTGCAGTGACATTAGCTGCTGAGACGGTCAGGAGCATAATGAAGATTGATGACATTGTAAGTAGAACTCAAAAATGATGTATATTACTATGAAAATATTTCAGAATGAGAGAGGCATTAGCAGTACTAACAGGATGAATATATCAAGTTGTGTAGTAAGAATTATAATATACAGAAGTACCACATTCTTCATGGCCCAAGTCTTTACTGTTTGACTTGGTTTGACTTATACTAATAAATCAAATTATGGTGTTGTGTTATATCATATTTTATACTCTGGGTAACTCTGATGCCATTTTCCTACACAATTTCTAAATTTTGACATGTTCTTTAACTTCAGGTAAATACAAGATAACAAAAGGATGGATAATTTCGGCAGCCTCTGATACAAGGACCACGGCCTGTGAACAATATTTCCATATTTGAAGTGGGATTATTAGGCTACAGTTTCTGTCATTCAAATTAATTTCACCTGAATGCAAAGACTTCAATGGCCGACCTGCTTTACTGCCGCTCAACTGACATTTATTCCAAGAACTAGTGCCACATTTTGATTTGTATTGCCAAGCAGTGGTGTTGGTTTGGCACATGTCCATAAACTTTTGTTTTATACAATCATGCTGAGCATAACATTCGTCGATCAGTTATTGCTTTATATTCATTTGTTATTACTCGCCTGTTATAATAATTCTCCAGGTTTTGTTTGCATAGTCATTGTTTTTCTTGTCTAGTGAAAAGTATCTTTGCAGTGTAATAAAGAAGCAAGTCAATATTTTCTCTTGTTATTCGACGTCAAATATATCAACTCTTGATATGTTTTTCATCCATAGAAACCAATTTTAAGCGCAATGAAATATATATGATTTATTCAAGTGCCAGGGGAAATGCTCTTGTGGTAGGGCCTTGTCAGTAATACAACTACTTCAAATGCATTAAAAAATCGTGGGAAGGGGAGACGATTTCCGTTTACGGCACTGTTGTATTGTTTATTCGTAGTGATGTTTTTAATTGCTTTTCGTTTTCCATTTCTCCTGCCTGTGATTTCTTTATAAACAAATAATAATAATAATAAACGTTTCGCGCGCTTTTCGGCAATTAGTCTGTAATAAGTTTAGGTCCGGAGTCTGTTCTTGTATTACGTACATTCTGAGGTGCATTTCTAGTAAAAAGTAAATATTTTTGTTTACTTGTCAATATTTCCCTTTTCACGTGAAATATTGCGAGAAACGGGCGAATAATTTGTCAACTTTACGACGAACCTTATCGAAGGCTTCCAGAAACGTTTTTGCGACCAATTTCGAACATTTAAATGAGTATGACTGCTATATTTGAAGACTAAACTCTGCCCTTTAACACATTAGAAGCCAGTCAAAGTGATAATGATCAATTCTTTAGTTTGTGCAATTTTATTTTGCGTGGACTGACATGGGGACAGTCCGCCTACCTTCCAACACCAGCAAGTGTATAAAATTGATAATCATCAAAATAGGACTTCTTTTAATAATTATAAGGTAATAACTTTGATTTCCACTACACTCATGGAATAACTTTATCAAGTGATAAGTGGCGGCCAAAGATAGGGAAACTGTTGGCGTTCGTGAAACCCTCCTTGACCAATCTTGGAAAGCAGTCGTCCCTGAACTCGGGCCTACCCAACTACCAGACTCACCACCGAACGATAATGAATTCACCGGTATATCGGACCACACTACCCGTTTTCAAGGTGTGTGTCAGTACGCGCTTCAGAGTATCAGTCGCGCCTAGTACGCGATGTGAAAGTGATGATTCTCAGCGGGGTTGGAAAGTAGTGCACCTCATCTCAAAATATGTTCCGGGGTATGATACTGTGAAATGCGTACTGACGCACACCGGGTGGTGTGGTCCGATCTACCGGTGAATTCAGAATCATTCGGTGCCGAGTCTGGTAGTTGTAGGCCTGGAACCGCAGGCAGGACCGTGATTTGTGCGGTGCTGAACACAGACTAAAGAAACAACAAGGCAGGTATGATTTACAAAAACTATCAAATTCAGTGAAGATTTGTTTTATTCATAAGTATCGCCTTGCATCAATATCTTTACACTTACATCATTCTGACTAGTTACTGTCCTTTGAGCGATAATGAGCGTCACTGGCAAATAGCAATATTTGTCAGGGTTAATCAAGCAGTCATTTTTCCAGAACATTACATAACTGAAGATTTAAATAAAAATCAAGTATTAAACTCTAAAGTACAAACATTATAAAATACAAATACAGGTATTTTGATCTCCTTAACACTGCAAGACAACAATACTAAAAAGTGGTTAAAACGCGGCAAAATTACTAAAAACAGATTTGCGTATTCTGCGTATGTGTGAAAGAGGTTTTGTAAATAAAATTTGGCAAGATAGGCTAACGTGAGTTACAGTGTTCTTTATATAAAAATGCGTACAAATATGTTACACTTGCTAATATTTAGTTAAGTTTTCGACAATAACAAGTGCAAACAAATTTAAAATTGAGCGGGGTAGCTTCATAAGTCCAGCAGTGCGGCCCGACTAGACAGTTTTGATTCGTTGGCTCTATCTGTAAAGGTGCAATACGTTGGAAAAAGTGTTTTTCCCAGGACGTTTTTCTTTAAAAAATAATTCGGAAAATGTTTTGCCCTGGTTATTTGACCCATCAATATTTTCTTTGATTTTGTTTTGGAGTTCATTACGTTGTTGAACCGTCGGAGGCGCAAAAGCTGACAGCGCCCTCTGAAATTACGGAAAGTTCCGAAATAGCACCTAAGGCTCGACTCGACGGTTTGGCCTCGTCGGCCACATCTTGCTTTTCCTGTTCAATCATATTATTCAATTTGTTTGCCATAACAATCGGCAACTTATTATCCAGTTCTCTTGGTAAGACTTTAGAAACGGTCCCGGTTATGTCACCAGGCTTTAGAATTTTCGCTTTTATTTTATTTTCAGATGTCCCGAACGTATTCAAACCTGCTGTTACTGGGCGAAGCTCTTTGCTGAGTTCTCCTGGTATGGTAGACTTCTTGGCCTTCCTGTCAGCAAAATCAAAGGAACTCTCTCTGTTTAAATTAGGCGTCGAGGTGACTTGCCAGTCGAGGTGCACGCCCTGAACTTTTTTGGGTTGATTACCTGGAAGCCAGTTAAATTTAAACGAAGGCCGGGCTAATTTAAGATATCTGCCGGCATCTATCTTAAATGCCCCGATAGTCCCATCGCCGCGATTTGTGTTTTGACTGACCGAGGTCCTCGTAAACTGAGACTCCATTGTTGCAGGTGCGCTTTTTGTCACGTAAACGGGGCGCTTCAGTATTCCCTTTTGACCGTGGATTTGATCCACTCCTCTGTATCTTACGCCGTACTGTGGGGTGTGAATAAACTGCCTTGGGTCTCTTTGGACGGGTTTTGCAAAATTAAACTCGCTGTTCATCCTTTCTAAGTATGCTTCCTTTTGAGAAATTCTGATAGCTTCGATTGCCTTTTCAACGTTCATCTCCTCCAGTTCGTCACTTGAGGCAGTGGAGGTAACACTATCCGTGGCAGGGGTTTGAAATCTAACTTTCAGTTGTTCGTTAGTTATTTCATTTTGCTCTATCGCTGGATCTATTGAGGGAGCACTTTGTGTATTTCGGGACACCGACGTTGGGGGTTTTGACGCCGTTCCGGGAGTAGTACACACACTTGGTAGTCGAATGGTGTCTATAGATTTTGATCTACCTTGAGAAGACAATTTTTCCTTTTTCAGTCGACTGTCTACGGAATTTTTTCTAAGTCTCTGCTGCCTTTTGAGAATTTCATGTCCCTCGGTTTGTAGCATATAATTCTGTCTGTGCATTTCACTCTCAAGTTGTTTCGTCAGGGCAGATAATCTGACCATGTCGCGCATGTTTTCCCGCTTTATCTTGTGCATGACCACCGCATTGTTGATAAGCTCCCCAGGCACGGCCCGACGCAGACGTGCACTCAGACTGTTACTGAGTAAATTTGTATTGAACCTTGGTACGGTATAATCTGTCAACCAAACACCTTCTCGCACTAATTCTTTAGAGTGGGGCTTTTTGCGTATTTGCCGGTTTTCCTGTTCATCTAACATGCCCGGTATGCCGATGAGTTCGGAGTCAGAGTTGTCATTTTCTGGAGCAGTGCTGTCGCTTGTCACGCTGTGTCTCCCCGTCATAATGCCAGCCACACTGCGTGAGTTCATCGACGATGGAATGTAGTATGTGCACCTTGCAAAGGCGGCGTTAGAAATTCTTTCTTTGCATGCGTAGGTCGTTTGGCATCATGCTTCCTGAAATGTGGAAAATATATTGTGTCATAAATAAAAATTGGCAGTTATGCATTACATAAATCAAAGCAAGTATTTTTTTCTCAAGCCCATATTTCCTACCCCGAAACGTGTCAACAAGGCCTCCGAAACGTAAAATTATGAATACTTTGCGAATGCTTTTTACAGCGTAGAATATAATACAGTAGTTCAATCAACACAAAAACCCAAAGGATCGTCTCTCTGAAATCCTATACCGTCATGCACGGATTTTGTTGACTTATCCAACATTTCGAACGGGCTAGAAACTCTCACAAGAACATAACCTTACCTTAAGAAACTTCCATCGATTATTATTTATCACGCTCACTTGGTTTACAGATAGAGATAGCGTTGTTTGGACGTTCTCGACTAGGTGCATCGTCAGGGAGACAACTCGTAAGCCTACGGGGACATATGACTTACCTAATATTGCCATCTAATGTTTTCTAACGTCTTGTTGATAAAGCGCTTACATACATTGTGCTGTACAACTATGCTCAGATTCCTCTCGTCTGACCCCATTGCACTTAATTCAAATCTCCTTGGAAACCCTGACGTGCCTTAAAAAACACTACGATTACACCGACAGCGAAATAATACGCATGGTGGATTTTATATTCCAAGAGACTTGTATCACTCTTATTTTGATGATAATTGTTAAGAAATGACTGAAACAATTACCTTTTCTTCACAATGTTGCCCACATGGTTTTCTCTCATCTCTCACACCAGGCCGAGTATCGACTGCCTTCTGAAGGACCGGCAGACTTTCATATCACCGGAAAGTAAATGGTCGGTATTTGAGTAATGGCCGTCATGAAGTCACACAAAACCTAGCAACCCGGTCGCCGTTCGCAAACTCACTGTTAGGCAAACGTATAGAGGAAAATCTTACAAAGCGACTACTATCGGATTTCTATGCGTGAATATATGCATTATAAACCGTGTTTGGACTGCTTTCAATCCAATTTCATTAGAGCACACAGTTGGCTTTGTTACATTGTAAAGGTAGAGCCCCCGGTTTGATGAAGGCTTTTTATTTATTGAAGTTATGTTGACATACGTAATTCATATAAACACAATTTGTTGTATATATCAGAATTAAGTACTCGGCAAACCCGATTAAGCGCCTCATAAGTAGAATCGTATTAATCAAATTGATATAAAGTTGGTTATACAAAGACTGTGTCGGATTGAGTAAAGAATATTTCCTAATCGAGACATTGTTGATACTGCTCCAGTGGCGGAAAGGTAAACATATCAATCTACTTTCATTTGAAAAGGTTTCCACAGGGCAATCTGTTCGCTTTTTGTGTTCTATCCCATGATTGTGCAGTAAGATTTATTCTTGGTCATTTGACAAAATAATATATTTCATTCTTGGTTTGTAACAAAATACATATTTTATCCGAAATGCTAATACAAATATACCAACACTAACATTTTAGGCTGAACTAGTGAAAAGTATGTAAGCTTAAATTTTCTCGCGCATGTTAAATGATTGTCCATTTCTTAATGGATAAAGCAAGCAACTTTTTGAATGCGTCTGTGCTGAAACTTTTTGTAACTGATATTTTATGACCAAAATCCACCACGTTCAAAACATTAAAACTGTATAAATTTCACTCTGTAAGTTGAACGCTGTTCCATGGGAAGATAAATTAAACATGCTTTTTTGTCGATATATATATCGCCGTTTATGTAATTGATAAACCTTACATGACCTAAATGTGTCACGTTTTAAACATTGAAAGGGGAATTGGTGTAAAAATTACCGAGATACGAGACCACACGCAGTGGTTTAAAAAAAAAAAAAAAAAAAAAAAAAAAAAAAAAAAAAAAAAAACGGTTCGGTCAACCCAGTTTTAGAACATGTTCTACGAAACACGTTTGCATGCGGTGAAATGAATAACAGGGATGATGTGAAGTTACCATTGATCGATCTGCGACATCTGCGGGAGAAATACAAATTTATCAGCTTTTTGTAAAATATTTCCATAAGGTTTTTCCTCCTTTGTCTTTGAAGAGCTTGTTGGTTGTACGGGTTATCTGTATCATCTATTATTCGGCAACATGTTTTTTCAATACATTTCATCATTTTACAACGCATGATTAGGTTGAATTTTACATCCACTTATGCGAACATTTGAAATAAAAAGTTGGAGTGGCATCCTCATTCTCGCCGTACGTCCTATCGGCCAACGACTTGTGTATTGTGATAAAAATAATGAGGAGAAAAATAAGAATTTATAATTGTATATATCGGCGATTTGCAGGATGGAGAAGCCGCCGGTATTATAAAACTTGGGNCGTTCAAAACATCAAAACTGTATAAATTTCACTCTGTAAGTTGAACGCTGTTCCATGGGAAGATAAATTAAACATGCTTTTTTGTCGATATATATATCGCCGTTTATGTAATTGATAAACCTTACATGACCTAAATGTGTCACGTTTTAAACATTGAAAGGGGAATCGGTGTAAAAATTACCGAGATACGAGACCACACGCAGTGGTTTAAAAAAAAAAAAAAAAAAAAAAAAAAAAAAAAAACGGTTCGGTCAACCCAGTTTTAGAACATGTTCTACGAAACACGTTTGCATGCGGTGAAATGAATAACAGGGATGATGTGAAGTTACCATTGATCGATCTGCGACATCTGCGGGAGAAATAAAAATTTATCAGCTTTTTGTAAAATATTTCCATAAGGTTTTTCCTTCTTTGTCTTTGAAGAGCTTGTTGGTTGTACGGGTTATCTGTATCATCTATTATTCGGCAACATGTTTTTTCAATACATTTCATAATTTTACAACGCATGATTACGTTGACTTTTACATCCACTTATGCGAACATTTGAAATAAAAAGTTGGAGTGGCATCCTCATTCTCGCCGTACGTCCTATCGGCCAACGACTTGTGTATTGTGATAAAAATAATGAGGAGAAAAATAAGAATTTATAATTGTATATATCGGCGATTTGCAGGATGGAGAAGCCGCCGGTATTATAAAACTTGGGCTGGTTATCCCTTGCTTAAACAGTGAAATTCTTTAATAACAAGAATTACTTTTTTACCAAAAATTAAGCCTCTCAACTTTTATCAACACAAAGCAAATTCAGTGTTTACAACGAAAGCACAAAAAAAGTCAATAAACAGATTGCAAATAATGCAAAAGTGAAGAAAAAGGATTCATAATCATGAATCTTTTACATGAGAGAAAATAATACTTTGGACCTGGTTCAATCATAACAAAGAATAACATTAATTCAGAGTTAGTTTATTCAAAAATAAGCAATGATGTACAGTTCTTTTTTTCATTTTTGGTAATAAACCATAATGCCTTTTTAATATATGAGTGTATTCTTAAAATCTGAATGGGAAAAACTAGATGAAATGGAAACCAAAATAACTGCTGAAATAAAATTACTGCTGTAAAAAAATCAATAAAACAAGAATTAAAAAAATAATAATAAAAAGAAAGGAACAGACATACACAAAGTTTTCATGATATCACATATATGAATACATGGAATAACTGCTAACACCATTACCAGAACCTGAAAGTGAATATCCAGTCACAACATGCATAAACTTTAAATTTTGGAATCCCCACCCCCCTTTCCAAACTTTATAGGGTTCAACTTCTGCACCAATTTTGTAACCAAAAGGTCATTATAGTAAATTTCACTTCAGCATTTTATTTTTGAGGAACACCAGGAATATTTTTAAATGGGCAATTTTTTTAAATCAATTATTTCCAAATTACACAACGTCCTTCTTGAATGAACTCTCACCAAAAAAGATCTTAGGACTAGTTACCCCCAAATTCAATGATTAAAACCCGGCAAAATACAATCCATATATGTACATTTTGATTTGAATGAGTCCCAAAAAAAGAGGTGTCCCCCCTCCTAATCATTATGAAAAGATATTAAGATGCCCCCTCCCAAAAATATCAAGCTACACTATTCCTGCATAGATTTTTCTTCCACATCACTCTTTATTTGCCTTTCCTCTTCCTCTTCATCATTCTTTATATCTGACTTAATGTCATCCATCACCACTCGCCTATCTCCAGACTTAAAATCTTCCACGTTTATTTCTACTTGCCTTTCCTCTTTGACATCATCATCAACCTGACCCTCTTCCCTCTCAGATTCCCATGTTTCTTGTTTAACAACCTCCCCCTCCCTATCCTCAGTCTGCTCTCTTTTCACTGGGCCCTCATCCTCCCTCTCTTCCCTACCCTCCCTTGTCTCATTAACTTCACCCCCCTCCCTGTTATTATCCTCTGCCATTTCTACATCATCCTCATCCTGATCCCTTGACCTTCTGCTGCCCCTCCTGTGTGACCTCTTGACCTTTGTGTCATCCCCTTCATTTGTTTCTCCCTTCTCTATCTCTCCTTCAACCTCCATCTCCTCTTCGTTCTCTTGATTTTCATCTTTGGCTGTCAGGGCCTCCAATTCCTCATCAAGTTTCTTTTTCTTTTCCTTTATCAGGTCTAAAAATATCAAAAGAAATAATGTTCAGGCCACTGTGTTGTTTCTTAAATAATCAAGTCTAAGACACTGAAAGTTAAGGAATATGTATACCAAAATGAAAATATGTTGCGACAAAGAAGCAACATGGTTTCATTAGAATTCCGTGGCAATATATGCAAAGTAATACATATTTATGATGTTCTTTTCCCATACCACCCATTTCAGTGTTTAACATATTGTGTTACAAGTTATATTCCGAACACAAAAGCTAGCTATTCAGCTTATTTGTAAGATATATTCACTTTCTGAATTAAAAGGATGTTGCAAGCATTAGAACAGTAACATTCTATCCCCTCTTACAAACAATTTGTTCTTTCAAGAAGCCTTTTCATTTACCTAAACACCTTTTAGGTTTTTTTAAGGATAAAATACATACAGACACTGAATTGCAGACTTACTGGGGTCTTTATTTTAGATGATTATCATAATTATGCAGATGCTAGACGTACCCCCATCCTCCTACTCCAGAGTCTATTTACATGGAGGAAAGTTGTAAAAACTGAAAATGTAGCTTGCAATTTTTCATCGCATTTGGGGAAAAAAAAAAAAAACTGAAAATCCTGAATTCTGGCATCATCCTGATCCTAAAAACTTTCACCCACACATTTACTGACTACTATATTGAAGCTCACCTTCAATGACCTTGGCTGTCTCCTTGATTTGCTTGCTGGTAGTGGAGGTAGACACTTTTGGCATGTAGAACAGGTGGGGTTTGGCTTTAGTTCGTATGAAGTGCTTATAGTACTCTGTCTGCTTTACCCATTCCTCATGCTGAAAAAAATCAATTCAATATGATAATCTGAAATTATTCCAATATCTAAATTAAGAAAACAATGATCAAGTAATAATAAGAACAACTTCTTAGCTTGTTTGGTTTCATATCTACCAATTTTTCCATAACGTGTCATTTGTGAACTACTTAAACTACTTCACAATACTCTTAACAATTTGTACAGTGCCACAAACATGCAAATCACTTAAATATTTTTGCTTCTTTAAATAACTTATTAATGTAAAATTTTGTAATAAAATCCAACACTCTCTTATTGACACTCAATGTCATGTTAATATCTAACTACAAAACGGTTTAATTAAGTTTGTATTGCCATACCATTTGTACCATCTCCATTTTCTGTTCTAATCTCTGAATTCTGGCTTGTTGTGCACGGCGCTCTTTGAACAAAGACTGTCGCTCTTTTCTTATGTCATCTTTCTCTTGTTTTTCTCTGTCTTCCAATTTTTGAAGTATTTCCTGTCTGTGTTGTTCCTAAAATAAATATAACATGTTGTTTTATCATATGAGATATATGAACCACACATTCCAATTCGGTATCAAAATATTACAATGTGTGTGTGTGAGTGTGTGCGTCTGTGTGTGTGTTAACCTTTTGTTATACTTTATTTCGCATGACAGGTCACATTTATAGCTTAAAAGTACAAAAATAATTTAAATTCCTTTGAATTGTTCCTGACCTTTTTCATATTAAAATCACTTTAACACGTAATTAAAGCATGTTGATGTAATATTGTATTTCTTAAGCAACCTATTTGCAAATATATGTACATATCAATAGACAATACCACAAACACAATGTCAATTACCTTGTCTGTCTTTTCTTTGGAATCTTCTTTAAATCTCTGAAGGGTTCCCAGTAGCAGACCAAACATGCGTCGGTTCCTGCATATAAAGAAAATAATTTAAGTATTATAACAACAGATAGATTAAAATTTCATTATGGCTCCCTCTATGTCATATTAAATTCAACCATAAAAGTAACTCACTTTGGTTGAGCAAAATAAGAGTTCAAAACATCTTGTCAAAATGACCATTTACTTAGCCAAAGCTTAAAATGAAATTCCAATGGCAAAATAAACAAAATGGATTTTAGACTTACTATCAGAAAACAACAAAACAAAAATACACACACTTTACAGAAAAGAGTGATTCCCATTGCTGCATTTTACCATAAACGGGCACATTTTACTGAACAATATTAAAGAACATTAATAAAAATAATCCCATCATGTTGATTTTTAAAAAAGAACATGCCTCATTGCAAAACAAAGTCACTCAATAAATTTTGAAACTTTTCCTGCACTATTCATTATTAAACCCTACCTCTGCAGTCCTTTTTTGTCACTTTTTTGTTCCTTTAGACTGTCTTCCCTGGTGCGGGATTCCTTTGGGGTGGCAACGACTGATGACTGGATAGTGGGCTGAAAAGTGAATGATAAATTCATGTATAATAGTACAACATAACCTTGGGTTGTGTTTAATCAATACTTCTTCAATTGAGTAACGCATTTACAGCAGCTACATAAATATTTATATACTATATATAGCTTATGTAATGAAAAAAAGACACACCATTAACATGACTTCTAATTATACATTTCATTATAATTTTTTCTTCATTAGAAAAAAATAATAAATTCTTATTTGTCTATTTGTTATGTCAGCAATTCAACACATAAGACAGAAGGAAAGAACTAAATAATATTATATCCCCAAAGTTCAGATTAAAGTTCTCCAGTCGTTGAAGTATTGTCCTATTTACCTTGTTTGGCAGCTCCTCCTCGTCCCCACTATCCGGCCTAGGTGGTCTTCTTTCTCCTACCCTTGGACCCAGCCTGAAGTATAAAGATAACTTCATATCTATTCATCATAATTATTTTTGGTAACTTAAATCCTACCAGTGCAGTTTGTGCACCACAATTGTTTTATTGACTTTCCTGAATGAGAAATGGAGACCACAGTAAATCTTCATAATTTAGCAATATACTTCTCAGAGTTTTGTCTCCTTGATGATGTTGGGTATCAACAAAAGTATGGTTACAAACACATGGTTACAAACCATGGTTCTAAAATAATTTAAGTTACATGCAAAGTAAAATCTTTGTCACTAAAAAGTCTCAAATGGCACCACTTACAGGAATATCAGAGATCATTGTCTCTCACTTCCTGAAAAGCTGTATTTTAACAGATATTTTGTCTTCTCTCTAAATATAATCTTTGGTCAGTTCTGTCCCTCATTCTAATATTTATGCTTTTGCTCTCAAAGCAGTTATGCGTCATACATAACTACGTCATTTTGGCAGACTAAGGAACTGGAAGGGTGGATTTATAAACAGGTCGAGTTTACAACCAGAAATTTGAAAAAGGTGCAGTTTTACAGCTATTTTTCAGCTGAGAGAGTGATTAATTTGGTTCAGCTTTTATTTTATTTATTTTTTTTTTTTTGAGTCATAAAAGAAATGAGTAGAAGTTGTTTAAATATGCATTACAAGGAATCTACACTTGCTCATATGTAACTATAGGGATAGACATTTTACACTTTCCAATAGCTAATAAAGTCAGATGAGCTGTTACCTGCTAAATGCTCCACCTACAGGCCTTCGCTTTGCTGGGGGCATATCACCGTCACTAAGACCACGCCTGGAAGATGAATGTTGAAACCGTTCTTGATGAAACTTCAACAACAGTTAAATAGCTCCAATAATTGTAAATTATATCACTTTTTATTTCAGAAACAAATAAAATTACCATAGTATTTTTATTTCATTGTGCTATGGCACTATTACATAAAATATAATACAATATTTTAACCCATTGCATCTCATAATTCAAATTCTCACCTTGCTCCTGCAAAAATACGGGCACCACCCCTTCCAGGAACCGTTCCTGCACTTGCTGAAACCCTTCTTGTTGGTCCAGTTCTAAAATGTACAGACATGAAAATATATGGATATTCTCACTCTGATGTATATATCTACTTGTAGATTTGTCTTTGACTTTTTACTTCATTCTTTCTTAACCCAGGGTATTACCAACTGCAATTTCCCCATCCACAGTAACCGGCGACTGTAAAAGCTGCTGATTAAAAAATGGCTAGTAAAATGGTTCTTCAATAACTGTATTAAATATATATTACCTATGGATACCTCGATATACTAGTACAAACGTGATTTCATTGACTTTCGTATTCGGTTTGCGGTTTTTATTGAGACTATTTTTCAAAACTTTGGCCACTGTGAAATAACATTGAAAGTACATACTTTTGATAATGTGTAAAGATTATCTAACCTGCCTGGTCCTGGTTCTCTTCCAGTTTCTTTCTTGATCTTTTCATCCACATTTTTCAGTTTTTCCCTCTCTCTTTCCAATTCCGCCTGCAAGTCGCTCACGCCATGCACCTCCACCGCCATACTTGAGGTCGATAATGCGCATGCTCAATGACTTTCTTCCGGTTGTGAATCTGTGCCATTTTTAGACGAAATATAGAAATATTTATTCATTCCAAAACTTTAAAAGTTATGGAATTCATATTTCAGCTGTTAAATCGAAGAAAATGCGCATTTTAATGTTTTGAATTGTCTTCCGATACTTGTGTCAAACTGACCTATTTACTATCCTCTATTACCCACAATTCCTTGCATCAAAATAAGAGGGATGGCAGACGAGGTTCTGTTTGAGTTCTTTCACATGGAAATTGTTGGTCAGTTCTTACAGTCAGCGAGAAAAGATGAAAAGGTACATATGGTAAAAGTGTGTGTTGCAATATCATTCTCATGTTATGATGACCTTTGCAATAGCTAACGTGAAGACAATGAACTATTATAATTAAAATTAAATGGGTTATTTGTTATATGCATGGTTTCTAGTAAGATATTAATGGAGCACCATAAGCTTATTTAAACCAAGGCCCTTCTGCCTCCTTGCAACTCTGTGAAACCGACAGTAAAAGTGGGGGAAAGGCGGGTCATGATTTAAGGAAAATGTTAGGATGGATTACTTTACTAGTAACTGTCAGTTAATTTTGTTTTACATTTCTTTAAAAGTTTAAATCTCGTTTTAAGTACATGTAGGTGTCCTCCCACCAAAATTGCAGTCATTCATACTGGTGGTGAGCAGCTTCTTTGGTCAACATTTTATATTACAGGAAAGTGCATTCACCAAGCTTGAATTCCTTGGTTACAGAGTGGGCCAGAGACTCGTAGAAAGGTAAGTCACATCCTTCCTTTCCTTTTCTATTAGCCACACTGACATGTTGATAAAAATGGAAAGGAGGATAGACCAGTAAGAATGACAGGTGAATTTTGTAAGCTCCCCCATCTTAAAATCCTGGATATTTTCCTAGCATTGTGACATGTGCTTGTCATAAACAAAAATGTGTATATTTATTTCATCTGTACAGAGTTGAAGGCACTAAGTTTTTATTAAAAATTTTATTTATATAAATGTAGTGAAAAGAAATAATAAGATGGTTGTGTATTATTTTGATAAATACTCAAATAACTTATTAAGATGTATTGATTCCAGCAAGTTATTTTTCAGATTTACAAAAGAAGTTCCACGTTTTAAAGATGAATTAGACACCATGAAATTTATATGCAAGGACCTGTGGACATCTTGTTACAAAAAACAAATTGACAATCTTAGAACAAATCACCAGGTTGGTTTTAACTTATTAGGTCACTCTATAATATGTTTCGAATTGTGCCAATTTAACTAATTTATTCCCAAATCAGTTATAGATTTTTTTTCAGCTTTTAATAAAAATTTTATAGAACCATGAGCCTATCAATTATATCATTGTCAATAAGAAATACAGAATTATGTAAAGCTATATTTTAGTAACAAAATGTGACGTCATACTTAATTTATCGGGATGGGTGAAGTGCTCATCTAAGCAACTTCCAATTTATTATTATACATTTAATATGACTGAATTCAACATTTCAAGAATATAAACTGTTTAATAGTTGGTTTTTACATTTTCAGGGTGTTTATGTATTACAGGACAATAAATTTAGGCTACTTACACAAATATCAGAGGGGAAACAATATATGGAGTATGCCCCACAGGTAAAGTTAATCATGTAAAATAGAAAACAGTTTTTAGATTCTGTACATTTTCTTAAAATGGGAAGAAAAATGGTTTTACAATATTTTGCTTTGCTATGTTTTCTATCTGAATTACTTAACTATGATTTGCATATCTTTTTCAGTTTTTAGCCTTTCCCTGTGGTTTGATCAGAGGTGCTCTGAGCAATCTAGGAATTGCTAGTAATGTTACTGCTGAAGTTAGTGCAATGCCAGCTTGTAAGTCTCATTGTTTCAGACAAAATATTGACGGGTGTATATAACTGTATTTTCTATTATCATTCTGTTTGAAAAATACTGTGTTTGTACACATGTTAGTGCCAATGTGTTTTATCTTTTTGAAAATATTTTGTACAGCTTAAAATAGGGATATATTTGGTTAAAGATAGTGTAAATCCCAGTAAAGTGAAGTGAAATGAATTCTAAGTTATTGCCATAATTTAATTATTTTCTTCCATTCATATGGTCTCATTTTTCCAGGTAAATTCCAAATTCAGATCCAAAGGTTATAGCAGAGTTTAGCCTGACTTAATGCTGGACATCAGACTGAGTGTATTAAAGACTTTTTTTATCTACTCAAGCAAGACATGGTGGTTTTTAATATTCATTTTGCTTATTGAGAGACACAAATTGTATAACTTTTGCCACCAAATGTGCTCTTCTGCCAGATGAAATGGGTCAAATGAAGACTTCTCAGCACAGAAATTCACGCTGTCATATGAACTGAAATCCAGGAAAGTAGATGGTGGAAATTGTCTGTAAAACACATTTAAAAAGTCGAATGAATGTAGGTGTAGAGTAGTTGCTTGAGATGTATAATCCAGGAGACAGAGTATAGATTCTTGGCAGCACATTGTCTGAGAATAACATTTCTGATGATTCCCTTTTCTAGAAGAGCTAAGGAGAATCTCAATCTGAATGTGGACAATGCATTGAGTTGCAGAAATCCTGTGAGGCCATACAGTGCTGTTAGTGCTGCCTTATCTGGGATATCAATAATACAGCAAAGAGACTTATTGTGGCCATTTCCTGTTCCTGAAACACCAATAGATATCAAGATAGCTTACAGGCCATATGAAGCTCTTATTGAGTTGCAAGTTTTCCTATTTGTTCATTGTTGAGACCATTGTTAAATGTTTGTGTGCCAGTTAGAACATCCCAGTGGGTCATGTTTGGAATGAGACACAGATGCTCCTAATGTAATTACCCACCCCCCTCTGTGTACTAGCTGGTGTACGTATTCTAGTCCTCAGGACTAGTTACAGTAGCTTTCCTTTACTGTTTTTTTTTTCTTATTATAAGTCCTTTGTATGCCTCACTGTTTAATTGCACTCTGGGTTTCAGGTTTTTTATAGATAATTAATTTCCTCCCTCCATCTCTAAGAGCTTGTCCAGTACGCTTTCATGTTAGGGGCTGTCAAAGTCCTTATCAACATNAATTTCTCTCCCTTATATCTTGAAAACTGGCAGAGATAAGCCCATAGTTACTATTGAACCTAAATAGGAAGTCATATACTGGCAATCTAACTGTGCCATTGAAATTGACCTTTGACCTACTTTTTATGATGAACTGTACTTTGCATGTTTTCTGGCCTTTACATTTCCAAAATTGGCAAGGAAATGTCCATAGTTACTATTGAACTTGAATAGAAAGTCATATACTGTGACCTTGAAATTGACCTACTTTTTCATCATGAACTGAACTTTGCATATTTTCTTGCCCCTCACATCTTCAAAACTAGCAGAGATATGCCCAGTGTTGCCCCTCTTTTGTCAGCATATATGCAACACTGATAACTCATTTCAAGGAAAACCAATGGGCCTATCGTCCAGAAAATCACAGGAGTGATCAATGTTAGGAAAATACAGGCCATGTATGTTATATTTTTTCGATTTTTTTTATACTTTGAGAATTCTTGTTTATTGCATAGAGCTTGTCAAGGACAAGACTGGTTGTGGTGTTCCTTTTTTTTGGGGGGGGGGGTTCCATTCGAATGCACTTACTCCAGCTGGTGGTACAATATCCAGAGGCGGTATCGCCTCTCTGATCCTCTAGTTTTTTAGATGAAGTGTAATTAGAAAGACAGATTTTGCTTGTTTTCTTATTGTAGTTAAAATAAAAAATTTGTTACATTGTTAGACACTGAATTAACACCCCTGCTGAAAAAATTATTGGAGAGAAAAAAACAGCAGTTCATGTTTAATTACTGAAAACCAAAGAAAAATTAGAAAAGTTATCTCAAAAAAGAAAAAGAATGTTGCGCATTTTGGGTTGTATGGCAATATGCTGATGGAACCAACAAAAAACTAACAAGGAAAGAGTTGAGGTAATTTACATATACGTATAATGATGTGGCTATATATATATACTGACGTTTTACTGTAAGCAAGTAATTGAGTTTCGATGACTTTGAAATTAAAAAAAAACCAAACTGCTGTTTCGTCCTTTACTTGAAAATAATTAAACGAGCAATTGTGCAAGGTAGAGTAGAAAACAGCAAGCATGTTTTGTCACTATGTATGGTACATGTGTAATTGAAATTAAAGAGAAAATGTTGTAATATATTATTTATGAAGATATATAAAATATATATATGTACATTGAAATGTTTGTGTTATTACTGACACACATTACTGGAAACCTCAAACCTGAGATAAGACGTTGGGTAAGCACATCAAAGCGGTAGCTGCGACCAATATACATTTATGCCATTGATGTCCCTGGATTTATTCCCACATAATTCAATCCATCAACTTAAATATCCATTTCATTCAAAGAGGTGGAGCCTAGAATTTGATCCTGATACCTTTATGACCCAANGGGCTGTCAAAGTCCTTATCAACATCCAAAGTGGCCTCAAATATAGTTTTCTTTGAAGTTTGCAATAGCTCCTATCAAGAAAAAGGCTTTTGTCTTATCCTAATTTGCCTTCAGCGAACCCATAATCTTGTTGGTGATGCAGTGTGCTGGTGGTTTAAGAAGATTCCATCAATAACTCTAACTATTATGGTAGGAGTGATTGTGATAGTTCTAGTTCCCTGGAACAGAGTTCTCCTTCCTAACCAGCTGATCAACAAAAATTGTCAATGGTATTATTTTTTAGATGAAGTGTAATTAGAAAGACAGATTTTGCTTGTTTTCTTATTGTAGTTAAAATAAAAATTTGTTACATTGTTAGACATTGAATTAACACCCCTGCTGAAAAAAATTATTGGAGAGAAAAAACAGCAGTTCAATGACATGTTTAATTACTGAAAACCAAAGAAAATTTAGAAAAGTTATCTCAAAAAAGAAAAAGAATGTTGTGCATTTTGGGTTGTATGGCAATATGATGATGGAACCAACAAAAAACTAACAAGGAAAGAGTTGAGGTAATTTACATATACGTATAATGATATACTGACATTTTACTGTAAGCAAGTAATTGAGTTTCGATGACTTTGAAATTAAAAAAAAACCAAACTGCTGTTTCGTCCTTTACTTGAAAATAATTAAACGAGCAATTGTGCAAGGTAGAGTAGAAAACAGCAAGCATGTTTTGTCACTACGTATGGTACATGTGTAATTGAAATTAAAGAGAAAATGTTGTAATATATTATTTATGAAGATATATAAATATATATATATATGTACATTGGAATGTTTCTGTTATTACTGACACACATTACTGGAAACCCCAAACCTGAGATAAGACGTTGGGTAAGCACATCAAAGCGGTAGCTGCGACCAATATACATTTATGCCATTGATGTCCCTGAATTTATTCCCACATAATTCAATCCATCAACTTAAATATCCATTTTATTCAAAGAGGTGGAGCCTAGAATTTGATCCTGATACCTTTATGACCCAATTTTTTTTTATTAAGATACTATTCAGATATAATCAGCAATATATAATTCTAATAATAAACAAAATTTCTTGTTTTGAGAAAGATGGACATTGTACGAAACTAAGGCGCATAGCAAAACATTAGCTCTATGGCTGTAGGCCACGTGCTTGTCTAGAATCCGCGGGAGTCATTGTCATCCTGACCTGTGACTACATTCCCTACCCTTCTTGTATACACAGAAGAGTCATTACCATCAAGCAAAAAATACACTAAAATATTGACTAAAGATATTTATGCGTTTTGTAACGATTCCCCTCCATCATTTGGACGTAGTCCCGCCCCGCATCCTCGCAGCTCAAAAAATATGCTGAACAATGTAATCAAATTATTTATATTTTAAATAGAAATAATTGAGGGTTGATGAACCTTTCGTTGATTATCTATTTATACAAAAAAAAAAAAAAAAAAAAAAACATTTTTATGACGAGCCACGTGCCATCATTTTAAACTCACTAGCAAAAGAGCACATCATGTGGTACGTCATGATCTTTACTTCGGTCCTTCCCTCACGTTTTCAAGATGGCCGAGGACAAGCCCGAAGGTGGCGGCAAGAAAAAGTCTCAAAAAGACAAAGAAAATCAACAGGCAAATGCTGTTGACGATGACACTGATGACGAAGAAGATTTCAAGGATCCAGAGGGATTCGTTGATAATATTACAGATGAGGGTAAGTACATCAAGTTTACTTATTTTCGGACCATACTTAGGGCATGTGTTTCATTCGCACTCTATCATTCCATATGGACCTCCATCTCAGACCGGTGCTGAAGTTTTAGCATTATAATTGTGAATTTCTTGCGGTTGATTACATTCACGGTATCAGATACCAATTTAGTTTTATGTACACTGCACTTTGACAGTGGCTTTTTGATGAGTACAATTTCCTGATTAAGTTTGAGGTACCAGACGTCACGTTGATGACATGTGTTATAAATTGCATGCACCTCGCAATTGTTTGAAAAATGATTTATATAAAATTAAATCAGAGAATTTAAATATATCTTTAAAAATTTACTTTAATATAACTGAATATATTAATTTAAAATTTAGTTTATTTGTCAAAAAGGGACTTGCGTCAAAATGTGTGTTGTAATGCACTGTAGTTGTGTATTGATTTGGGATAATTTTGCAGTTTGTTTTAATTTTTGCAGAATTGCTGGGAGACCTTTTACGACAAAAGCCCAGGGAAGCAGATGGTGTTGAATCTGTTATAGTAGTAGACAATATTCCTCAAGTTGGTCAGGAGCGCTTAGAAAAACTCCAGAATGTTATCAGAAAAATATTTTCTAAGTTTGGAAATATAGTGAATGAAAACTATCCTACAGATGAAAGTGGCAAGACGAAAGGGTAAGCACAACTTAATTTTGGTATATGAAAAAGTTTCAGCTGAAAATTTGTATATATTTTTTGTTCATTTGATGAATTATAAATAAGGATATTTTGAACTCTCTTTGTAATATGTGCATCATATTGTGAATGCATATGTAAAATTAAGTATTAAAATGGAGATAGATTCAATCACTTAAACCTTAAAAATGAATATTAAAAATAGTGTTCTTTATAATAGACAGTTCATTGATACATGTATTAGCAGATCGGTGTAATGTACAGCTTAGTCCAACACTTTCTATAAGATTGTAGCCCTTATCCAGTCCCTTTTACAAGCACATTAAATTTTTTCCTTCTTTTGTACTTTGTAAATCTGTGGTAATTTTGTATTTTACTTATGTACAATTAAATGTACAGTTACCATAATTGTTTCCAATTTCTTTTCCAGGTACATTTTTCTGGAGTATTCCTCTCCTGCTAATGCTGCTGAAGCAGTAAAAATGGCAAATGGATACAAGTTAGACAAACAGCACACATTTCTGGTCAATTTGGTCTCAGATTTTGACAGGTAAAAGACTCTGACTGGCTAAAACAAGATCTAGTTGTTGAAAAATTGACTAAAGAAAATTTACAGAATATATATCCAACTGATGATTTGTTTTAGCTGTATATTTTATCTGTACAAAAACAGTGTTTTTAGGTGGAAATCATCTTCAACATAATCATAATTATTATTTTTTCTTTGACATTTGCTAGGTATGTCAATGTTTCTGAAGAGTGGGAACCCCCAGAGCAACAACCTTTTAAAGATCCAGTAAGTATAGTTACAGAAGGATCACCTAATGAACTGTATATATCAGACTAATGCAGGTGGAGAAAATGACTGTAACAATGTTTTAATTCAGAATGAGAGAGTACTGAATGTAAAGTATAAGACATTTTAGCAAAAGGTAAGAAAGAAAATTAAAAAAAAAAAACATAAGAGTGGTAAAGATGAGTGGTAAGAGGAAGAAAATATTACATCTTTTCAGGGCAATCTTCATCAATGGCTTCTGGACGCCGAGTGTCGGGACCAGTACAGTGTTATCTATGAAGGAGGAGAGAAAACTGCTATTTATCTAAATACACCAGGGGAGCCTACTTGTCTAGATGAAAGAGTGGTAAGTATTTTACAGAGATAAATATACCAACCTGTCACATTTTACTGACCAGAAATATGGAAAGAAAGTTCAGAATATCACCAGCAATTTTGTGACTTAAGTTATATACATAGTCTAAAGCAACACCAGATATTGTTGAACAGTTAACAAATTCAGAATGCAAGGAACACTAGGGATACAGGACAGTAAATAGTTACTGCACAACAAAAACAGTATGTTATTAAGATGTATATCTATAGATGAACACCTTTTTGTTCAGCGTTGGACAGAAACCTATGTGAGGTGGTCTCCACTGGGTACCTACCTGGCAACTCTACACCAGAAAGGTATAGCTCTGTGGGGAGGGGAAAAGTTCAAGCAGATCATGAGGTTCAGTCATCCAGGAGTTCAGCTGATAGATTTCTCACCCTGTGAAAGGTAAGAAGAGGGCTGGGTTGTCTACTGGACATCCTTGGACCAGAAACTGTATAAAAATCACCCCAGATGCACCAAACTATAAGCTTTAATGTTGCAATGGAAATTTGATTTAGACGTGGCTTTTTTTCTTGTCAAAAATTTTAATTGTTTCTTATGTAAACCAGTTGGTTAGTAAAAATGACCAAATTATAATTATGAGTTTGAATATGTTGTTTGAATTACACCATTGACAAATGAAAAAACATGATATTTAAGAACAATTTTTATGATTTTAGAATCGCCCTTTTACATTTTGTTAACTAGTAACAGTGAAGGTATTTAAGGGTTCCCAGCATGGTTGTACGTTTTGGACGGTCACAAATAAAACTTGACGATTTGCCTATCATTTCAATATGGTAAACAAGTTCTTGAAACTAGAACTCAAAACTAAATAGCAAAACTAAAAGATTATCACCTTAGCCAGTAGTCTTATCACCAGGGAGCTGCTATTGAAATATCATGTAAGTCAAGTTTTGAGTTGTATATTTGTCTTTCAGCTATGTGGTTACATTTAGCCCACTCCCAGGAGATAGGGAAGATCCAACTGCAATTATCATATGGGATGCACGCACTGGACAAAAGAAGCGTGGTTTTCACTGTGAAAGCGCCTCTCAGTGGCCTGTATTTAAGTAAGTACCTAAAAGATTGTTTGTGTGTCATTAATTTCGCAGGGTCAACAGGGTTGGGTTGGGTTCGAGTTTCTTTTGGGTCATACATAACATTTTGATTTCTTTAAACTCACATATTTTTATGATCTTTGGATGTTTATTGATGGTCAGTTTTTAACATAATCTACATTTTGTATTTTAAATTCAACTTCTGGTTTCTAGGTGGAGTCATGATGGAAAATACTTTGCTAGGATGTCACATGACACTCTTAGTGTGTATGAAACTCCAGTAAGTAAAAAGATATATTTTACTTATTAAATTCCATTTGTGAACCTATTTATTTCCTCATTACTCTCTACCATTCTTTAGTTATCAAAAGATACAGACGTCTTTCTAAGAAGTGTCTCTCACCCAAGAAATGTAGGGATAGTATCCAGCATCCAGTATAATTGTTTTGATTTTACCTCATAATGTTACATGTTTGATTTTTTTATGTGGCCTGATCATCTCTATTTTCTTTTTCTTTAAGTCTTTTGGTTTGCTAGGAAAAAAGAGCATCAAGGTGTCAGGTATCAAGGATTTCAGCTGGTCGCCCTCAGACAACATCATAGCATATTTTGTACCAGAGGAAAAGGATGTGCCGGCACGTGTTGTTCTGACGGAGATGCCGAGCAGGGGGGAACTGCAGACGAAGAATTTGTTCCATGTTGCAGACTGCAGGATGCACTGGCAAAAGAGTGGGGATTATTTGTGTGTCAAAGTAGATCGCTACGCCAAAAAGAAAGAAGATAAGGAGCAGGGGATGAAATATGTGGTATGTTTGCATCACCTTACATCGTTGTAATTGACAGTAACAAGTGATCATACACTGGGTTTTTTTTTTGTCCCAGCAGGTAGACTAATTTAGAAGTATTTAAAAGGTTAATCATTTAAGGAGATGTGCTGTTTTTTCCAGGGTATCACATATTACTTTGAGTTGTTCCGCATGCGGGAGAAGGAAATTCCAGTTGATCATTTAGAATGCAAAGGTATGATCTTAATAAGGTTAAATTTTTTCAACTGTTATAATGGCAATATCCACATGCAGGTCATATATATCAAGTGATTAAAATGAATTTTTTTAAAATTCGTTTTCAATGTAGTGCTTCGTAAAAGATGGCCTTGACATTATCAAGTTTAACTGACACCTGTCATCTTACTGTACATTACAGAGAATACCTTGGCTTTTGCTTGGGAACCAAATGGCCACAGGTTTGCCTTCATTCATGGAGAATCGCCCAGAATATCTGCTAGTTTCTACATCATGAGACCCAGTGGGAAAGTAGAATTGCTGAGTAAGGCTGTTTTAGTATTTTTGAATTTGAATAATAAAAGTCAATTGTCGGCTTAGATGTATGTATGAAAATGTTTAAAAGAAGAGGATATTTTGTGAATGTTTTATGTATTGAATAAAGAGCTTGATTGTATTTTAAGCATCTTGTATTTTAATCATTGTTTATGCATCTTCTTTATGCTGTGTTTAGTCTTCATAGCAATATTGTGATGACAAAATCCATTTTTTTCTCACAGAAACTATGGACAAACAGTCTGCCAATCACATCTTCTGGAGTCCCAATGGCCAGTTTGTGGTGCTAGCAGGATTAAGGAGGTAATGACATTTCACTTTTGAATTATTGGAATTTGAGAGCTGGCAGTTTTATCTCATTTATTCAGACATTAATTAACTCTGGTAAAATTAGACATTGAATGGAACAGATATTTCTTTTTACTTGACTCCAGTTCAGTTAAATATCTTCATGTACTCCTTAATTCTGTTAAATGCTCTGGAGAACAGATTTTAGCAATGTGCCTCATATAAAAATTTTTCATAGTTCTCAAACTTGCCTACTAGTATTCCCATTTGTGATCCCATTTTTGGTACACCCAGAATGCTTTTTATCTTTTACTTTATAAACAACCCTTTCTCTTTCTGCATTAAAATATTGTTACAATATCTCTGATGTCTAAGTATAGATCTGTTCTATGCTGTTCCAGTATGAATGGCACTATGGAGTTCATTGACACATCTGACATGACAGTGATGAACCAGGTGGAGCACTATATGGCCAGTGATGTGGAGTGGGACCCCTCTGGACGCTATGTGGTCAGTGCTGTCAGCTGGTGGGCACACAAGGTAAGTCCATGGATCTGATAAATGACTGACCCTGCAAAAATGAGGCATTACTTGTGTTGTCTAAGAGTTATTTTATACCAGCCATGGGGAATGTGTTTTCATTTATTGCACACACAAATTGGATCTGAAACTTTAGTAATTATTTTCTTCTACAAATATTTCTTTTTGAAGATTTGAAAGAAAAGAACTTAAAATCAGGCGCAAATTTGATGAAGTTGTCTGAAATAAGTATCACTGATTGTTCTGTCAGGTTGATAATGCCTACTGGATGTGGAACTTCCAAGGTCGTCTGCTGTCCAAACATCCATTGGAGAGATTCTGTCAGTTCTTGTGGAGACCAAGACCACCAAGTTTGCTCACTCCCGAGATGATAAAGGTATTGCCAATACCTTATTATGTGAGATGATGTATAATATTTTTTTTAAGTCTTTGTAATTTTTCCCCGAAAAGGTATGTTTGGTTTTGGTTGTGGCAAAAATTTCAGTGCTTGTCTGTAGTTCAGGAAGTCAAGTAGATATGTCTGAAGTCTAAATGTTTAAAGTGTACCATTCATGCTAATTAATGTGGTGTTTTTTTTTTCTTTGCAGGATATCAAAAAGAACATGAAGAAATACAGCACTCAGTTTGAACTGAAGGATCGTATGACACAGAGCAAGGCGTCAAAGGTGAGTTGGTTTTGCACAGGAAATGCCCAAAATGTGGATAATTCGTATTTTGGAAAAAATATTTGTAGCTAATATTTCATTACATAAATAAATTAGCAGTTTTTTTTCACCAATAGCACTTCACATAGTTTTAACACATTATGTAAGTGAATGGTGAAGAATTTGCTTCAAAAATGCTGACCATTTGAAATGTTTTTTTCTTAGGAACTTATTGAACGTCGCAGAAAAATGTGTGATGATTTCAACAAGTATCGAGCCAAGTTGCAGGAGGTGGTAAGAAACCAGAAACAAGAGAGGCTTGCATTGCGCGATGGTAAATATAAAACTTTTTTTTAGTAAAAAGTTTTGATATTTTAAAACACTCTATTAAAAATGTGCTTGTTTTTTATGAAAATAATTTAGTTTTGGAATGCCTTGTTAATTTTTAGGTTTTAAGAAAATTATTTTTAATATGTCAGCTGTAAAAGATATTTAAGTAAATCATTGTCACGAATGATATTTCAAATGTTAAAATATTGCATTTCATTAGGAATTGATACTGATGAACTTGAGGCGCACACAGAAAATTTTGAGGAGGAGGTCATTGAATTCTTGGAAAAAGTTGAAGAAATCCTCATCGGGGAGTAATCATCAAGAGCACCGCGTGTACTGACATCTGCTCTCCAGGTCTGCCATCTTTGAAAGAACATCTGCCATCTTGAAAATTGGGGTGAATCTACACACACAAGAAGAATATATACATATATCATCAGACTTGACTAGCGTTTATGTTGTCATATCTAATATTTATTTCAAGCTTATAGGCCACCATTGGTAAAAAGTTGCTCGCTAGTAATCAAAATTCTACAAGTGGATATTTTTTGCATACATTGTAATACTACGGAATGGGCAGAAGATCCAAAGTCAGTTTTAGTGACTGGTTGATCAATTTGAAGTTTACCGTTTTCCGTTTGGTCACTAATGGTGCCAATACATTATGCATTAGCCTATGCTCTATGAAATGTCATGTCTTAAGCAATGCTAGTATATATGGCCACTTTTGTGGTTACTTTCCTGTACCTTATCGACTGGAAGATGAATTTCTTTTAGTCAATTTTGTGTGTTTTCTAGATTCCCTAAAATTAAACTTTATTGTAGTAAAGAAAAAGATCCTTTTTACTTTATGCTTTATGTAGTAGTTTATGGTGAGAAATGATTCAATATTACAGACATTTTTCACGAGCTGCTTTCAATAACAAACCTGTTACAAAAAGAAAAGACCAGTAACATTCTCGAGATATTGTAAAATTCCGCAGTGTCAGTTAAAAAGAAAAAGTGAAACAAAAATGAATAAAAAGTGGATTTGAAATATGTTGTTGTTGGCTTGTTATCTATGTGTGGGTGACTGATGTGAAACGAAGCAAAATGTTGAACTACCCGTGTCTCTAGAACTATATTTCGAGAGGACTACTTAAACAAAATTGTTCTTTTTTAAAGTGGGGCATCGTCCTTAAATTACGGACACGTATTCTGGCATATATTAGTGGGATCATATTTTTAAAATTGAAGAAGGTATTGTTGTAGTTGTCATTGTGTGTATGTGACATCAGTTCCTTGTATCCACGTGACCCCTTATGACGTCACATATAGGTACCGCACTACGCTAAAGTAGACATGCGTGTATTCACGATGTTGTTTAAATCGCACGAAATATGCCATCCTGGCTAAGAAGAGCCTGGAATAGAGTCAATTGTTGCTCCTCGGGATCAACCGAAGTAGTTGAGAGTATCAGACCAAACTCCGTAAGAAGAAACGATGAAAAATTGACTCAGAATCCGACAAGGTAAGAATCGCTTTCATAGCGTTATGAGGATACGTCCCTGTTTGTAATATATGCGATTATTCTGCCACTTCATATAACACCAACAGTCATTTAAAAAATCGCCCAGAATTTTGCTCTGATTTCTTTCAAAAATCACATAAATACGTTGAAGATTCGAAATTTTCCATGCAGAAAACATGAGGCATCTATTTCGTTTCATGTTCTTATTTATTGATTACAGTAGGCCTAGTCCTAGTAGTAGAAGTATTGTACTAACTTACGTACTTGTGCACATTCGAACATTTTTATGGGCATTGAAAAGAGTCCTAAAATTAGTGTTAACGGATTTAATCTCGGCATGAAATATTTTAGTCAAGGATTTAGTGCACTTGGATATTATAAGGATTGGTTTTCAAAGTCATTGTTTTTTCTAAAATGATGTTATTTATTTTTGCAGTCTTGATGTAAGAGGAGATAGAGAACATGTGGACAGGGCTCAGGTCCAAGAAGAACGCTCCGCTTCGTCTTCTCTCGATGCCTCTGAGAAAATTTCTTCTGGGGGAGAAGACACCTGCAGATCCGAGGCGTCTCTCTTGTCAACAGCTTCTGAGATATTTGAAACGAGTTCTAGCTGTGACAGCAGCTCAGATTCGGAAGGGAACGGGTCCCTCACAACCGTTTCTATGCTGTCTTTTCCTAACCCAGACACGAACGACAGCGGAACCTCCACTGGACGAGAGAACTCTGTCCTTGCAGAGGAAATGAGTGTGAGAAGCTTTGTTTTCTCAAGCACCTCAGAAGTAACAATCTCTGCATTCGATGGACTGGAAGACACCTTCATGGCACAAGACACGCTGGAGGTACAGACACCAGTCCTTCATGAAAGCACCTCAGATGGTTCGTTAGTCTCTCTGTCGCCCTCCTCTTCCAGCACCACTGTGAACGTGTCTGACAGCGCAGCAAGCTACAGCAGTTCATTCGATAGCATTTCGGAGGGATCACTCCACACACCTGGACATTCCTTCTCCTCTGTCACCCTTGAAACGCCTCAGTCACGTGAAAAAGAGCCAGCCGCTGGACCTAGTGAAACCTCGGTTGCAGAGGAAATAGGCCATGCATCTCTGAATAAAGAGTCAACCTCAACCACCACTCTTTGTGAGGCTGAATGTGGACTGCGGCCAAACAGTTATGCCAGTGACATCAGCTTCCCAGAGGATTTTGAGCCATTTAGCTCTCTGTCTGAGGTGTCTCTCTCATCTAGTCCCAATAATTCAGCTGATATTAGACTGGGCGTTGCGTATAACAAATGTGAACACTCTATCATGGAAGAGATTGTTGGAGCAAGTGAAGAACTCGCAGAGACCGTGTCCACTATGGCATCTAAGGACCTGGGATCAGACAGTGAAGAAAGCATTCCAGAAGACCTGGCTGCCTTCAGTTGTCTGAGCGCGATGTCAAACTCCAAAGACACAGCAGGTCCCAGGCCGGACATTGAGTATAGCACAAGTGAGCACTCCTTCATGGAGGAGATATTTGGAGAGTATGCGAAACCCATAGAGACAGTGTCTACTGTAACATATAAAGAGTCACTGTCGCCTGATCTAGTCGCAGATGAGCGGGACTCGAACCCGTAACTTTGCGTTGGTGACGCTTTGGCTGTCTCATTTGCATCCATGCACGCTACCGACTGCTCCGTGACTGACCCGCCCACCCTCCGTACGTGCGAGTTTCCTCTTATAGTAATCAATCGCAATTTTTTAAAAATTAATTTTGGCAAAAAGTGACACAGTATCTACTGGGACTCGAATCATCGTCCGAGTTCCTACCTATCTACAAAGCAGCAGAGTTACCACGCAGCCACGACAGCTTCGTCGACAAGCAACGATCAGATGGAAACTTTCAACCTTGTCGCGGAGAGCGCCAGATTGGATGTACATGTGTACATCTGCTATCCCAATCGATAATCCCGGTGCCCCATTTCATCCCACAAAACCCCAGTCCCAGCAAAGGAAATCGTGTTTGAGAACCCGACACGGAGCTCGGAGTTTGTTTCATACTGAGATTTATTTTGGATTTACCCATGATATTAAAGAGTCCACACGGATCAGAGGCGGTTCACAACAGGCGTGTTTTACTTTTAGTGAGAACCTAAGAGGAGAGAATCAAAAATAATAATAATAATAATAATAATAATAAATAACATTCAATGGTAATTTTGAGTGAAACATATTTGGCAAATAATTCTGCCGAGGAGACATCGTTTTTCTACCGAACACGGTTAACAGGTGGTATGACCTGCTGTTATACGGGAAAAGCTACTGAATCAAAACAAGTTGGATCGCATTCATTGATAGGCCTGTTCTGAACGTTCCTATAGTTAAATGACTTCAGATGCCTTTATTTTCATTTTGTTTTGCACTGAGATAACGTTTGGTTTCACCTTTGACGTTATAGAGCAAGGTGAGATGCACAGCTGTTCAAACCTCGGCGGTTTTAGTATTGAGTAGTCTTTACTCTTTCAAATGTCGACTGCGGACTTGCCCCGGGTACTGCATGAACATATGAACGGTCTTGAGAAGCAAGGGCCCAAGATAGGAAAGGAGGGGCATAAAAAGACAAAGCTTGTGCCTGATAAAAGGAGTAGAGGCGACGCAACTTTTGTAAAAAATCAAAAGTTTTCTCTCTGATAATCCCACCAAAAAGATAGCACTTTTTGATGAAATGCAGTACGTACGGAGTTAGCTTTAGCTCAGTTTAAGTTCAAGATCCTGGCAGCAATATAAGGACTTTTAACTGAAGAGCAAGGAAATATAATTGTCGAAGCAGATTTAAACTTTCTGAAATATATCGTATTTTTATGCAAAAGGTAATTTGCTAAGTCCCACGAGAGCCCTCATTCGTTCTCGTCTCGTGGCATCCCGATTCAGGGGCCAGGTCGTTGTTGTGACGTGCACTTGTTCAGCTACGTTATTTGCCCTTTGTCTATCTATTGGTTTGTAGTCCCAAGTTTCTAGTCGGAGCATTTGATACAACAAATATATCAATTTATATCTATCGTTGGCTTGGAACTGATTACTGTATATATAGATATGTTTGTTATCGGAAATACTTGAAATTTAAATAGATATGTGAATAATGTAAATAGTAAAAGGAAAACTTATTTCAAAAGTCAGATTTTTTTCACGATTTCATCTTTCATCAATGAGTCAAAACGGCCAGATGTGAAATACTGCACCATTGTGTCTGACAAATGTTGGTTTGCAACTAAATATGTATGTATGAAATGAAAGCATATGTGAATGTCAAATAACATACAGTATACACACAGAATAAAATTTTTTTTTTTTTTTTTTTTTTTTTTACAAAATACGAAATATTACGCCGCTAAATATTACGCCGCTTTCACATTTGCTTCAACAGAATTTATCTATACTAGTACTGTATAAAGAAATACGTTTTTTTTTTTTTTTTTTTTTCAAAAAAAGAAGCTAATATTAATTAGAAACTGTGGATTTAAATTGCCATCTCTGTGAATAAAAGTTTTTTCAAGTCAATACTGTTTTTTTTTTTTTTTGTCAGATTTTCCATGTATTTAATTTTAATTGAAATATGTCTGCAAGAGATGAGCCACAAAACTGGAAAGCATATCAGACGAGTTTCAAAGTAGAATAGTTTTGTCCCAACGAACGGTATAGGCCCTATACCGTTCGTTGGGACAAAAAGGCCTCACTGTATCCACATAAATAAATCGTTCTCCTAAATGTTACCATAGAAGTCGATTCTGCCTCGTCTTCACTCACCAAGGGCTTACGTGAGATAGAACTAGGCCGCGCATGCTCAGTGAACTTAGTTGCCTTGTACATGCGAATCAGGTTTTCCCTTCGTCTCTGTTGTGTTTTGATTTTTTCTCCGGACTTCTTTTTGATTACCAAGTAGTTTCTTGGTTTTCTATACAGTTTATTGTGGATTACAACTTCTGGTTGGATTTTCGGGACGCGGTTATTGCCGGATTTGGACTTTGTGGACGTTCTACGTTCGGTTCTTTGTCTACGCCCTCAGCTAGTATTACGTAACTCTCGCCATGGCGGCCAAAGACCAACGGTCTTTATTTGATCAACTGGCCGCGGATATTAGTGTTCAGCCATGTCAGGCTCTCCCCACCGGGGATGTTGCTACTGCAGGCAGTAGCAAGAACGCATCTCAGGACAGCAGATCCACCGGATCAAATGCTGTGAAGTTACCGATTGGAAATCCAGCCTATCTTGTACGGAATATGGATAAAACAATTTGTCTACCATTTTCTGGAGACTTATAATTGAAAATTTTAGAACAAATGTAAAAGAACACAGTGCATAAATATAATGATATCAACTTCCTTTTTTGTGTCTTTTTTCAAATATTGTTTATTTTCCTCTCGTTTCCAAAAAGTTTAATTGTGACGTCAATCCCTTCTTCATCATTAAAAGATTTCACCACTTTTTTGATAATGAAAGAGGTATTGTTGTCCACAATAAAAGAAGAGCCGAACCCACGTGACCCTTTCTTATGA